CTGACAGATGGATTAGGGATGCGAGCTCGCGTTCAACGAGCAAACAATTGTTTTACTTGGTCCCCTTTAACTTTTTGCCCTTTGTTTATTATCTTGAGACGCGATAGGCCTCGTAATAAAGCAATCAAAATTGGAAAAACCCAAGCATTTTTAAAATAAGGTCGAGAAACGAAGAAAATAATGGCCTCATTTATGCAGACATATAATAGCTGTTCAAAAAAAACAGAATCTTTGGAGTGCGTCGTTCCTTATGCACACAGCTGCACAGTGAAATCGGGGAAAAAAGAGGCAGGTCCGACTGTTATAATCACGCGGTGAGCTCGTCGTCGAAGCCGTGTACCATACGTTTAACTCCGTAAAAAGGGCAAACTGCGAAAAATCAGCTGGTTTACATTTTCGACGCGTTCATGCTACTACAGCTCTTCATCTATAAATATATCTATAGTTTATTCCATAGCAGCGAGCGGTGGTACTACTAGCCGCAACTCACCGCGCTGCATCGGAAAGCCAACCTTTTCTACGGTCTCTTTTGCGAAAAATCATTTCGCGTGACTCTGCGCTATAGTATAGACGCGCTCGCGCCCGACGAGCCGAATGAAAGTTGGTCGTTATCGCATACTCTCTTCGCTATATCCGAGCCGCGCGTCGAGCTTTGTCTGCGATATCACGCGCGTGCCACCTCGTCCTGACAAACGATCACGTCGCCTAAACTTTACTCTTAACTAATTTCTTCGATACAAAACCTATGCACTGACGCGTATTGTTACCGATCTCAAAATTTCAATGCCCGAGTCGATGAAAAATGAGAAAACGCAGAAACTTTTTCCTGCGGTGCACAGCCAAAGTCGATAAGTTTAGCTTCTGCTGCGCCTCGACTCGTAAGTCTAGCATGTAACTATAAAGAATTTATACACAAAGATTGGCAGTTCCTTTGCGCATGGAAGCAGGGATTTATATATGTTGCATGTAGCAGAGCGGAGTGCTACTGCCGCCGACGCCACGTGTGAGGAATATTTCGATAAAGTAAAAGCTCACCCCGGCCACCCGGCTTGCGCGCCTATCATCAAAGGAGCTCTTACTTTCTCGGTAAGTCTGGCGCAAAAAATCAGCGGCGGGGTTAAAAATAGGAGCGATCAGAGAAAGAAAAATCAAACGGAAAGGAAAAACACGTTGGGAATCGCATTTTCACTTGGCATTTTCAGTACAGTTGCTGGAGAGGAGCAAGCGAGCTGGAAGGGGGGAAGGCCAAGCTGGAGAGAAGCTCGGTGTTAGTGGTTATCGAGCGTCGCTACATGGCAAGCCGCCAAAGGGGTTTACCACTTGGGCAACAATAAAACTTTATCTCTCTCGTTTTCTCTTGCTCTCTTGCACTGCAGTAACGTGCCACCTATATGTGTGATAGAGCTACCTAGGTATACGCATTATATAGGACAGAGAGTCACTTTAACGCTTGTGCGCTGCAGGAAATCCTGCGAATTGTTTTTTCAAACGTTCACCCTATTATATAGATGTACGTATAATGTACAGAGACGAATGCATTCGCAGACTCAAACGCAGCTATAAGTGTGTATGTATATACGTGTGTGTGTGTGTGTGTGTGTGTGTGTGTGTGTGTGTGTGTGTGTGTGTGTGTGTGTGTGTGTGTGTGTGTGTGTGTGTGTGTGTGTACAATTTTACATACCGAGCATACACGGAAATGCGTTTCTATATACAAATATATACATTGGAAGCTTAAAGTAAACGCGAAAGACGGTAGCGGAGACGAGCGACAAAATCTCGTATACTGGCAGAAAAAGAGAGCTTCGCTCAGGAAAAAATATATAATATATAAAACAAGTGCTGGGTTGGCGCGTATAAGGGATATCGGAATAAAGCGCATCCGATCGCGTAGCGCAAAAGCATCGTGGCTGCGGCTGTGCTGGACTCGCACGCGCTCTTTCAACGAGCGAAAAAGAGATGTCGGCCGAGAGATAAAAATACACGTAGAGCTACTCGGGGCGAGAAAAGGGGTGAATAAATACGCTTACGCTTATACGCATCGAGTATTGTGTATGGAATTTATTATACATACGCGAGTGCGAGCGCGTTTTCTATGTACGTATAATGCATGCATGTATGCGCGGCAATGCCAGGAGAAGAGTGTGAATCAAGCGTTTTGCTCGCTCGCGCGAACGATGCGTGGACGCTGATAAGTACAACTCAAAACAACAGCCACAGCAGCAGCAGCAGCAGCAGCGCCAATAGGAGAATATTATCAATCATCGAGCTGCTACTGGGAGTTCCGAGACTGCTGCTTCTGCTTTGCGAAAGGCCGTGGCAGGCGCATTCGCGCGCGATATACCGAGTGTTCCTGTGCCAAGGGGGCAAAAGTTGCGCCGACGATATGCCTACCCACCTTATATCAACGTAGTACATACGGGCGAGCACTTACGCGTACACCTACGTACCTATACATGCACGTGTGCGACGCATGTGCGTCCACGTACATGTATGCTGCAAACGTATTTGGCTTACGCGCGGAGGTAGGATAGGTGCGCGCAGAGCGAGGTTCGGGGTACGGAGGCTCTTGAGACTTTTTAACGAGGGAGAGCCAAGAGCAGCAGCCGCTGCGAGCTACACCCGCACAGCGGTGCGCCCACCCTCCCCCCCGGAGTCGCTGCTACCGTATGCGAAAGAGTCAGCGAGAAAGCGTCGTCTACTCTAGTCGTCGCCGACGCCGGAAAAGCTGCTGCCTACGCGCTCTTTTTTTCCCTACCCTCGCGCGCTAGCCCTCGCTTACTGCCGCCGTCTCTTGCACGCACTCACACATGTTACGCTTGCCCGTCTCGACTTCTCGGCAGCGTCTTCTTTTCGGCTGCTGTTCTGCTGCTGCTGCTGATGCTGATGCACCTTTAGTCTCGGGCGTTTCGAGTGCAGTGTCTACTGTACGCCGCTGCACACGTTATGTATGTGCAGCAGCAGCAGCATCATCCCCCTTTCGCTGGCAAAGTTGAGACGAGCTACTGCTGCTACAATACAGGAACCCCCCTCGAGCTAGGCCCCCGACTACTTACTCAGCTACGTACCTATGTAGCCCACGTACGTGTTGCTGTGTATGCGTGTCCGGTGCAGTGCGCGATGTTGTTTTTCCGTCTAGACTGCCAGAATAATACTCTTGATGCAGCAGCAACCCTGGCGTATACGACGCATACGTGTCATCGTCCGTCTCTCTTACGTATATGCACTACTTGTAATTCTGCTGCTGCCCCCTCTTGTCTCTCGCATGCGACTCACGGCCTCGCTCGCTCTTACTCGCTCGTTCGCTCAGCTGCTCGATTAAGGTGACGACGACGAATATTGCAAACTCCTGCAATTTTCCATCATCGATTGGGCTTGCTTTTTTCTCTCCCTCGTCCCCCTCTTGAACGAGCGGTATCGGAAAACTGACCTGCTGGCTGCTACGGTATTTAACAAGTCGCTCGGGACATTATTTGAAAAGCGCATCGAGCAGCGAGTATAAGTATAGCCAGCAGCAGCAGCACCGGCTCGTACAGTAATATAGGAATGTATCGCAAATAGCTGGGATTTCGATAGCTTCGGGCCATGGGAGCTCGCGAGCAGCGAGCCATTGTGGCTTTGAAATTCGGCAAAGTCCGCCAGGCTGCACACGTGTACACATGCATACTATATAACGTATTGCTTCTGCTGCCGAGCGACTGGAATGAAATTGTGGTCGCAATCCGGACCGACAAACGCATGCCTCATGCAGCTTCGATTAAAGGATTCCTAAGCGCCTCGTTGTACTACAGCTGTCCTATATAGCTATATAGCTCTCGCATCTAGCGCAAATTAGACTTATTTGCCTACCCAACTTCTCACTCAACTGACTCGGCTATTTATATTAACGATCGATCGCGGATATGCAGTTGTTTATCACTTTTTTCTTTATTAAAAAATTACACGTGAATCGAGAAAAACTGCGCAACTAGTGTGAAAAATTCAAGCACGTCTAACGATGCTAATGATAATGAACAATTCAACGTCTCATCTGTCTTCATTCGATTTTCGAATATTATGAAAGAAGAAGGAAGTGAGTCAAATTTATTACCACGCGATAGTTTGAGAGAGCCTCTATTATCATTATCGTCAGTGAAGCAAAGAACGAGCGCGAAGGAGGGAGAGAAGGCTCCATTGAACAGGTTTAGAAAGAGATTCTTCTTTCCTAGTCATAAAATGCATTGTTTTCCTTTTTTCAAGCGCTAGCGCTTGTATTTCTCTCTTGGCTTGCGGAGAAAAGAGCTGCATTGTTTGGCTCTAGCACGCATGTACACATCTATGCCGCACCTGATGCATTTATATGTGTGTGCGGTTTGTTACTGAAGTAAATTCACCTTGCTGCGGCATAAATAGCATATATAGCGCCGTCCAATTTCTTATTATACATATACCATCTATACCTGACCTTCTCTATGTACTATCGCGTAAATATTTTACCTGGTCGACTTATTATACTTATTACTCGCAAAGCGATTACAGTAATAGAAAAAAAAATATACGCATGCTTATGTGTGTGTGAGCAAATTCGCACGGGGTGCTGCTGTACACGCATGCAGACTGCAGAGTGAAAAAACGAATGAAATTCTTTAGCGCCTCGCACGTATACATTACTGCCCTAAGAGGTTTAAGGGGTTTCGTCTGATATAGCTCGTATACGATTACGCCCTCTCCAAAGAGGTGTAATTTTCGCCTCTCTTTACACAAAGTAGGAATATTTACACTAGCCAGCTCTATACGTATACGCGTACACACTTTGGCTAATAATACCGCGCACACACTTTCTCTTGGCGCAGCGGGCTCTGCTTTAGCACCAGTACCAACACCAGCACCTTTATATAGATATATAAATATGCTACTGCCGCATAATATGAAATAAAAATTAATCTTGTGGCCCTTGGCTTTTTGGTTCGTTAAGCTACAAAAGTATAATTAATTCAGTACCACGTGTCTTGTCTTGCTTACAGAAGCGCCGGGTGAGATCGGATGGTTGTTGACCCTCATCATCGTATCTCTCATATCAGCCGGTATCGGAGCAGTAGTCATGGTCACGCTTTTGCATTGTCGCAGGCTCAAGAGCGCCAACGGACGCGCCAACAGTGGTAAGTAGCCTATTAAATCTACATCTTATATTAGCGGCCGCGAATTAACTATACACGTCAAGTTTAATGTACACTTCAAGTGCTTACAATGAATATCTCTTCGCACCTCGTGAATTTCACTTATATTTATACGCTTTGGCATATCTCAATCGTGCATCGGCAATATAATCCATTTTCATTCGCGAGCTGTGGTGCGCGCGCCAAACAGAGCGAGTGAAAAAAAGGAGTTGAGAGGAGCGCGAGGAAAGGGAGAATTTATTCGCCAGACGTGAGAGATGCTCGCCTGTCGATATGCACATATACAAGCTCGACTGAGTATCGAGAATCGCTCGGTAGCCTATCTCAAGTCGAACGATTATTAACGCAGATGAATGATCTCTTGGACGTCCTGTGTGCCTCTGTATTATATACATGTACATATATTATATACACGTTATTATATACGTACTTGAGCTCGCATTTGAAGCTTGTTTGTTTTCAATTTGTAACGATTCAATACTACCAACTGCACGCGAACTTCCCTTTTCCTTTTCTTTTTTTATTCTCTATCTCTCTCTACCCGTTTATTAATATGAAAAGTATGAAACCAAATACGTATAACCGCGGAGTAGATGGTCTTTTGTACGATATTTTTAATACTTGAAGCAAAAAATAATGATTATAATAATAAAAATGAGCGCTTGTTTCCGACTGTAAATAGTACAACATAATAGCGTATATTGTTCCATACGTGTGTCCGAATGAGAAAAAGTTTTTTCTCGAGTATAGAGTTTAAGCGCGGATCAATCACACGGGGCGCCGCGCAATAGCAATAGCTGTCATCGCGTTTAATAAAGACGCTCAAACGTTCGTACATAAATATATATGGACGATTCTATGTGAAATCGAGAGACAAAAAAAAATTTCGAAGTCGAGGTCGATTAGTACGTGCACTGGGGTTTTCTTTTTTCCGGTATAGGGCAGTATGCTATTTTACATACCCCGTGGCCCGAAAATAGCAATGTACCGTTTAGCGCAGTGGCTGGGAAATGCTCGTTTCGGGCTACCAGCTACCAGCTACCAGCGCGCTGGTATGTAAAAACTCGTTACTCTTGACATTAAGAGTGTTCCCAAATTTTATTAGAATTTTTTGGACCGGCGACAAGTTTTTCATGCTAGCAAAAACAAAAATTTTGGGTCATACGATTCGCAGAGAATAGGCCATATATAAATGTACAAAACGAAGGTGAGTGCGACTAATATAATGGCTGAAAAAAAAATGGAAGACAGAATTTTGAGAGAGCAAAAAGGAAAAAGCCGCAGTTAGTGCATATAGTATACTATAACAAAACTAGCATTTATGATTGATGCGTACAAGGGTACAAGGGGTTATGACGTCCTTGGGCGTCTTTGTCGAATATATCATACGCTCTTGAGGCAACTTTACTATAACTACGTGTATATATAGTAATGACGCGATCAACAAACGCGAGGGCGCATCTATACAATATAATTAAGTAGCTTCATATGTGCGTGTGCGTCTGCGCTTATGTAGTTACTCTGCTCAGTGGAAAATCAAACGTTTCGCGCACTCGCGCACACACACGGCTGCACGATTTTACCTCTGTCAAACACACAGCTACGTATACCCTCGTATAGATGTATGCAGCATAGACGAGAAAAAGCAGACGCTTTTTTTTCTTTTTCTCTCTCTTTTCTCGCCCTCGCTCACTCCGTCTCTCGCTTGGTGTTTATAAGCACTCAAAAGCAGCCTGTTCGCAGCACACAGAATGTTGGTATACGTGCGTTCGCGCAAGGCAACTTGAGAAGAGCGCTGTGCTGCTGCTGCTGCTGTATGTATCGCTGCTACATGTATGACGAGTATGACGCGCGGGGTACAATGAAGCCGTATCCTACCCTTCTGTCGCTCTCTTGCGGTGCCTACTCTGGGCCTTTGTCTATAAGCGCAGCCTAGAATATACATATGCACACGCATACATATATTCATCAGCAGTAACAAAAACTATTTCGACGGCTAAAGCTGTAACAGTCATTCAATAGACCGAACGTTAATTTGTATAGCAGCGCGAAGAAGTGAGTTTATCACGTTAAAAGTGGCCTTTGCGTTTTCTTAAACCATCCACTCAGCCAAGAAAGTTTATCAGAGAATTCATGTTGCGCATCAGACAGAGGCGAGCATCGACGCAGCCGCTTCATCCTGTACACGTTACGATTGCGCCAGAGTATAACAGTAACCCAGTTGCTTCTTCTTCTCGTTCGTTCACGTAGTTCATTTGTTCGTATACATAAATGTAGCAGCAGCAGCAGTTGCATATAGTGCCGAGCAGTGTGCAAACGATCGATTTTCCAATGTTAAAAGCATCCGTCTCTCCCTCTCCCTCTCTTTCCCGCGGGCGAGCTTGCGAGCTTGCTTCCGCCAAATGGCCAAAGTAATAAACTGAATTAGCTATGCTTCTAAGCCAATAATAGTTCATAGCTCGCAAGCTCTTTCTCTCTCTCTCTCTCTCTCTCTCTCTCTCTCTCTTTCTCTTCACTCACATAAATTGAAATATCGTTTAAATATAAATCGCTGACGGTTTTGTTTCCGACCTGTCCTATGGAACAAAAGTGCAGTGAAAAAAATGAACAAGTTTTTCGCGCGCAAATGTATACTTATAGCCAGAGAAAAAGAAAAATATACTCGCAGAGGATGAGACATAAGAGCAGTAGTGGTAGTAGCGGCAACGGGCACGTATGAGAGAACTACCGAGCGCGAATCTGAGCAAACGTCAATCTCACTCTCTGCTTCTTTCGTTCGTTTCTTTTTCTAGCTCACTCTCGCCATACATATATGCAACGCTGCGCTGCTCTATCTCTATCTCCATCTGTTTCTGACTGACTGGCATTATCATAAAACCATTCGGACTGTAGCTCGTATCGCCGTACTTACACATACATACGACGACTGCTCCGTCTCTCGCGCGCCACCGCTTCGAGGGGATGAAAACAACGCACGAAGCGATAGGGTGCGCGTGAAATACGAAACGACATTCAGATCAAGAGAGACACGCGCTCACGTAAGAGTGCCTGCCTGCCTGCCTGCCTGCCTTTTCACGAGTCGCAAAAAAATCGAAAGCTCGAAAAATCTGTGAACCCCCGTAGCAGCGACAGCATCGGAGGCAGTAACGCGTCCCCCGCATACGCATACGCACACACGTACGCGATATAATATATAATAGCATCGCCGTCGCAGCTTCCCTTGCCTCGTATACCGATACTGCTTCCAAAGATATTCCGAATGCGCTTTTATAAACACATGTGCAAACCCGCTTGATACTGTACAATAGAAATAAAGATATACATATACATAAAATGTCTCTAATGTACGCGCGATAATGATGTTTGCTTTATCTATTTGGCTTTGCAGCGAGCTGTTGCGGCGTTGCATTAGACGAGGAAGTTGGCAGTAGTAGTGCTAGTCATCGTCGCCATCACCACCATCATCATCGTCGTCAGGACTCGGCTAATCCTGCAGGTGGCGGCGTCATACTCGCTGGACCGGGACCGGGGGGCGTCGGTCTCGCCGTTATACCAGACAGGCCGCCCTTGGAACTTGACAAGCTGCCGCCCTATCACGACGTCGCTACCCCGTCTGGTTAGTATACGCTTATTCGAACTTATCATTATTCGTTTATTCGCCCAGCAAGAATGACGAGTTGCTGCATCTGTAATTTTCCACTAGCGAAATTAGCTATATCGTATTTCCAATTGAACTGACTAGAGCAAAGGGCGCAAAGTCCAGATTAGTTTTCAAATCTGGGCCGCTGGCAAAAAATACATCGCCAAAAAATATGGCAATTTCTGTTTCTTATTTATTCTTTTTACACGAACAGCTCGTGCGTACATTTCATTTTCTGCTCGAATATAAAATTTTTACCCGATCACTGTAGCATCGAGTAATTACTTAGATGACAACGTAATATTCTCAAGCTTCGTGCCCAATCGATCTACAATATTGAGGAAAAAAAGAAGAAAAGTTGATGAACGAATGATTCTATTCTATGAGTGAAACGTGGATTCTCTTAAGCACTGTGGCAGCTCCGTCGTCGTAACTCGCTCCAAGTTCCTATGCAACTTATACTCGTCGTCGCGCTGTGCGAGGGTGTTCGATTGATTGGATTTCAGCCGTATAGGTGTGCTACAAGTTTAATTCGTGAGCCGCGTCGTCAGAGTCGGTGACGCGTGTACCGAGTGCTCGCTCGCGTGCATGCGAATCCATGTGTGTGGCGAATACAGAAAAAAAAAGCGAGTGAGAAAGAGAGAGAAAGAGAGAAAAAGAGAGAAGGGTTGTTGTGCGTTGCCAGCGGGGCTCTGCGGAGTCGTCGTCGAGGGAGAGTGAGGCTCGAAGCCCGGTAATGAGTGTTTGACACGAGACTCTGCACACGGCTCTGGAAACATAGAGAAAGAGAGAGAGAGAGAGAGAGAGAGATTTCACCCAGACTCGCGTTCGCGCGAGGGGCTTTTGTGTCTCAAGTTTTTTGCAGACGCACATGTAGCCCCCTGCTTTCCCACCCACCTTCACATGTATATATACTCACACACACTCGCTTCAATGTATACTCGCGAGTGCACACGTGAAAAAACGTTTTACCTGGTTCTGCAATGTTCTCCCTTGCTCGCTGACTCTCTGTGCATACGCGAATGCGCGACTTGGCTCTAAAAGAGAGAGAGAGAGAGGGAGAGAGCGAAGGCGACTTTGTGCTTTGTATACGCGCACAGCGCACATGAGTTACAAATTCAATTTAATTACTCCGCTGCTCTGAATATACATAAAACATAAAGACGCTGGCGCTCGTGTAGGCACACGACGATGATGGTACTTTGAAAACTCACGACCGCACGCGACTTTCCTTTTCTTCGCATTTTCACCTTAAAGGATCGTCGAAGAAAAAGGAGCAAGAGCCAGCTTGACGATGATAACGTTGACGATGAAGAGCGCGTGCCGAACCTTGTTCCAAATCACAATTATCATATATTTACCGCTGATGGAATTTTTACTTTCCTATGAATAATAAAAGCTAAACTCTTTATAAATCCTCTTCATCGCTGAGAACGTACTCGCTGGCTGTGTAAACAATTTCGAGGATTATATTAAAACGAGCCGCGCTAACGTGCACATACACGCAGGCACACTCGCGGCTGCAGTATATAAAAGTCGCTCATCGTGCGGCAGCGCTCGTCATCCTGTTAGATCGATACAAGCGTTGAGATATTAAAGCTACTACGTGCGCTACAAGTATATATTCCGCCAAGCGTAAAATAAAAAAGGCCGCGCGCCCCAGAAAGAGCTTGCACGAGGCAACGTCGACGACGACGACTCGAGCTGGGAAAGAAGCAGGAAAAGAGGAGGCAATCTTATCATATTTCTTAACTCCTCTTCTACTTTTCTCTCTGTCTTCTCCAAAGCAATCTTCTTTTTCAACCGTTGGTGGTTATTCGCGCTAGCTCGCTTGCTCGGTCTCGGCAGTTGAAGAAAGAGAGAGAGAACTGAAAAAGAGAAAAAGAGCAAGAGAAAAACTTTTTCTGGGTGCGGGCGGAAGAAAAAATTTAATGAATTCACAAGCAAAAGATTACGCGCACACTACTTCTTGCAGCGTGCGGTCTCGTGCTTGGAAATCATCATATTCCTCATCGGTTGAAATGATTATTACGTATTCACAAAGTTTTCTCTTTCTCCTTTTCCTCCCCAGGTAGCAGTAGAAAAGCCCCAGCTGTGCGTATAAATGATCACCTTATAAATATCCGCTGCTTCATTTGGCCGTTTTTCTGACTTACAGGAGGACACAACGTGAACGTCTGGTCGTGGCTGAGCACGAGGCGAGGCGGAGGGCCCGCCGGTTGCGTGGTCGGCTCGCCTCTCAGTCTGCCAGGTCAGCATCACCATAGCGTCGGAACGTTGAGTCTGCCCGTGGAGAATCATTACACGCATATGCAGCAGGCCGACGAGGCCCTCTACGCCGAGCTCGACTCGCAAGCGGCCAGCTACGCCAGCGGCTCCGAGGACAAACATTATCACGAATTGGACGCCGTCGGCCTTCACAGACAGCACCAGGACACAGTTTGCTCAAGGCACAGTCAGAGGTGAGTGCTTCAAGTACTTGCTGCGCGTCGCAAGCCTGCAACGCTGCAACTCCGCTGACTATCTTTTACCCACCCTCCTGCGCTGCGCCCCTTGTTATGTACCACTTACCCAACGTAGATTTGATTGTTTACCCTGTAAATAGCTACTTTACAATCTCTATACATACATAAATAGATATAACCTACTTTGAGTTTGCTTATTAAACCAATTTACTGATGTAGACAAATTTAGCGAGCTTATAAAATTAATTATTTATCGCGCAAAATGTATAACTCTTCTCCAGACGAGCTTGTTAGCTCGCTTTTGCTTGTGCATTGCGATTATGCTGAACTAGAGAAGGATGACTAAATAAAATGCAGAAGAAAAAACAACATCAGTAATAGGGAAAAATGAAAATGTGACGTTTGTTTTCAGTTGTCGATACCAAATACTCCCCATGATGATGATTGGCTCCGACGAACTTTAGAATATGGATCGATTTTTCTCGCACACTGAGAAGTCCTTAGCAAGTGTGCACTTTGCTAAAAGAAAAATGTACGTGATGTTGTTCAATCAATAAATCCAATGGTTTTTTTTTTTCACTTTTTTCAAGTACATACGCTATACATGATAGCTATTTTCTCATTTCATCGCGTTTTCACATTCATATTATGAAAAAAAAAAAAAATAATAATACATTTTTCACTTTTATGTCGCTATTTATATATATCTGTGTTGAATGCGTTTATGTACATGTGCACATAACTCATGTAAAGTAACAAAAAAAAAAAAAAAAAGAATACTCGCAGGTCGTTGTAGGTACGTTTTGTGTATTTTAAGCTAAAAAAAGTTCACGGAAGATAATCGGAATTGTGTGTGGAGCATTTCATGTCAAATTTCATTTTTTTTACCATCAGCTTACTCGTCGTCGTACACCACGATTATTATGCATGCATCTTTAAAATCTAGGAAGTAATTACACTTGAGTGATAATATCAAAGAAAAAAGAATTTTAATACACATTTTTAACTTTTATTAATAAATATCAATGTATATAACTTCATCTTACAAGACGTTAGTATTAATTCCTTTACAAACAGTTACTTTATTATAATACAAAATATATACAAAAATTAATTTGGTTTTGCAAGTAACTTATTAATTTGTTTCGCCTTACGCGTGACAACATAAATTATGACATTTATAATATATAATTATTAACAACTTTAACGCATGGTGTGTTTTTGTACTGTGACATATATTGTCTAATGAGTTTATTATCGAAAACAAATTGGATATTTTTAACATTTACAACAAACTTCCACACTACTGATCTGATACAATTTTGATGATTATTGGCTGTTCATTTGGTTTTGATGTGCAATCCTTGCGGTTTGCGTCTATGTAATATAATAAACAAAAACAATTTATATAGAACAACTAACGAAAGAATAACTTTCGCAGCAAAATTTAATAAAAAAACTATTCGGAAAAAACAAGTAAACAAGTAAAACTATTCGATTCAAAGCCATAGAAGTTTGCCTTACGGTAGTTGCGCACCGGCGAACGTGCATCTTCCCGCGGCATGATCCAATTGTTCATTCAACAAACAAAACCATTTACAACTGCACGCAACTGGCAGCCAGCTGCGTCAAACTTTTATGATTTTAAATTGTATATTTTCGATTTTCTCGTTGTTTTTATATTCGCTTTGATAAACGCGAACTACTCAATTTTGTTGCAGAAGTAGTTTAATTTTTCATTGTTGACCTGTTACAATTTCGATTTTCATTCCATATAACATAGATACATGTATATTATATGTGTAACGTGCACACATTCACACTCACACGCTCTCACGCGTGAAAATCATAACTATATAATGCACCCAATGAAAAACTCTGCTTTGTGGAAGCTTTACAATCATTTTTAACATCAATTCTGGTCCCATCTCAACATGCATTAACTTCATAAAGTATATACTTTGTATATTTATACAAATAGATTATTAATATTATTATAATAATAACCAATTTTTCGATACGACAATAAATACAACAAACATGAATATTTTTTTCTTAAAACGATGGTAAAATATTATTAACGCCTTAATAAAAGCGTACATTTCACGAGAGAGACTTTCGTTTAATTTCCTTTTTGGGACGAAGATGACGCGAAATGTTATCTGCAGATTTAAAAGTAAAAAAAACTGCGAAAAAATATTCAGCGTGTGCGGTGTACCTATTATATTCAGTCGATTGTGCAGTAACAAAAGTGCCTCGTCTATTTGGCTTATAAATCGCAAGTAACTATTGTGATTGAAAATCTCTTCGCGAGTTCGCGTCTATTGCTTTCCTCCCAATGTAAACATTTGGTTTTAAAAAAAATGGGAAAATTTTTTTTTCACTCGTGGCCGACGAGCCGCGAATGCACGAGCAGAGAATTTCATCTAACATCTCTTCTTTTCTTGAGCATTCACCTAGCATATAACACATACTTGCGCGCACACACATACACGCTCGCATACGTTGTACACCGTTGATGAAAAAAAACATCACACATACACGCACGCCCAATATGTGCATCCAAAACCACACGTCAGACAGTGAAGTATACCATGCTAGAAGCTCGCTTCTCTCTCGCTCTCTCAGACATTCGCATTAAAAGAAGCTAAAACCGCTTTTCAAGCCTCTCCGATGGCAGACGTGTGCATACATGCAGTGTCTGCCATACGCTATATCTATGCACACCCAGACACACAGCTGCACACATGCAAGCACGCACTCGAGAAAAGCCTTTCTTTCTTCTTTACGTATAACACATACACGTTCGTCTGTTTCTCTCATATACATAGCACGCATCTTTCAAGCTTGCACTGGATTTTTGCTCTTCAACGTTTTGTTCTTGTCTTTGCAGGCGGGCTTGCGAGTCCGAGTACGAGATGTACGAGAACGGGCCGAGTTTAGTGCTGCCTTCGCCGCATCATCATCATCATCACCATCACGTGTATCACCACGTACTGGACAAGTCCGGTGGGCCGGGTTCGCATCAGCACCATTACAGCGCGGGTAGCGGCGGCAGTGGCGGTGAGGGCAGCAACCAACCGTCTTATCAGAACACGGCCTACACGGGCAGCGACAACGAGCCCGACAACAGTGCGCCCAGCAGCGCCTATTACAGCGATTTGAGCGCTGGATCAGCCGCCGCAGCAGCTACTGCCGCTACGAATCAACATCATCCACATCATAATCTTCAGCAGCAGCAGCAGCAGCAGCAGCAGCAGCAGACGCCGCAACACATACCCGTTGCCTGCTGTGGCCATCCCGAGGATGACGCGCCGCCGATTTACGAGCCCGCTCCAAATTACAGGCTCACGTCGATTCGCGAGGCCGCTCAAACTGCTAATACCTGCTCGTCGGATTATATATGACGACGCGCCAACGACGCCAGCGTCGTGCAGGAGAGTTCGCACTAAACTGCTCCGGAGATTTAAGTGAGAAGATTCTTCTGACGTAGCTGTTGTTATTCTTGTTGTTGCGACGAACCAAAAAACGCCCGAATGAAACGAACTTTCCATTGTGATATTTACGTTGTAATGAAAGAGAAGACAAAACTGACAAATACGATGCGTCGCGCGCGAGTCGTGTGATTTACTCGTATTGTTTATAGAATTTATTAGCCGATAGTCGTATATTCTCTCACGCAAATATAAATACATACAAGTCCACATACACATATATGCAGAGTACGCGATTTATACTCGATTCACTTTAAACATTAAAACCTACACACTCCTATGCATAAGGCATGTAGAGCGTTGATATTTTATTTATTGCGATTCGTAGTCGAAGCAATGTAGAGCGTATATTGCAGTATTGTGTTCTTCTCTACGAATGTACGCTTACGGCTCCGTAACACGCGTACTCTTTTTTTTTTAATGATATCTATGTCACTTTTTACTAATATCAACATTGTTTATTTTTCTTTTTCTTTTTTTGTAAAAAAATTTTTAGTACTTTGAAAGATCCTGTCGTTACTCGACGCTTTGGATAACATAATCTTGTATTATATCGATTTTGAACAAATACAATTTTTAATGATATAGAATATAGATAGAATGAAAAACAATATGTAAATAAAAAATCATACTTGTTGCACTCAGTTTTCGATTGACTGTAACAATAAACAGAGTTTTATGTATAAATTATAGATAGATTTTAAATAATTTTACACACGCTATAAACTCGCTATATCGTTCTTTAGAGAAAAATATAAATATATCGATAATGCAATGTTTATCGTTCTTGTACATATTGTAAAACCTTTGAGTAGAGATAAGTTCAAATTAGATTTAGTAGCAAAGATTGACAATCTTTATGTCGAATTTAAATAACAAATAAAAGAGAGAAATGTATAGGTGTGCTTGTATGTAGCATGTATAAACATGTAAACGAAATATGTAACTTGTACGATTGCAGCGCGCCTATAAAATATATATGTATATATATATATGAATAAATAACATGTGTGAACAGAGAACAGATGAACACGTATAAACTTTAAACAGTCCAATCATCTTGTAAACAGTAACAAAGGGATGTATTTAAAAGTCATCCCTATCTCACGCGCAATTCCTTCAACTCGCGATAAAATTAACCTAGGCCGAGGATCAAGCCCTATACGCATGCCCGCTCGTGTGAGCACGTCGTATATGCACATGCACACATACAAAAGCCAACGAATCGTTCTCCCATCACGAGGCGTGCATCGCATTCTCTTTTCTCGGGGAAATAATGGGCCCGACGAATTACGCGCAAGCAGGAGAGAATAAAGTTGTTCCGCGGCAAGTTGAACAGGTGGCTTGGATAATTCGACGTTACGCCTCTTCTCCGTCCGATCTACTCTCTGTTCGCCTTTTTCTCTCTCTCGCTCTCTTTTGCTCTCTTTCTTTAACTATCGGCTACTTCCGTTCAACTTTTTACCTTCTCCCTTCTAATTCGAATTCACGTATATCGTGGCAGACACACATACACACGCTCACAATCGCTCAAACACACGCGCGCGCACACACACACACACACATTCTTTCGGTATCCTCGCAGATAAATGGCTCTGGCAGCGCTCTTCGCGCGTATAAATCGTCTTGGTTTTTTGCGTCAAATGCAAGTACTCGAAAATAATTTCTGACTTCTCGATGCTGCGAGATAACTCAGCAAGCGGTAAATGGCTCTCGAGTTCGAAAGTTTATAAGACTGTATAATTTTTCGACGAAACTCTAGCGAAGCTCCATAATCGACTATCGAGTTACAAAATGTTTACAGCTGTGCACGATGGTGCCTAACTACATTTCAAAATTAATGCACTCGCAAAGAGCTGAACACATAGTCAATAGTCATGTTAAGTTGAAAGCCTTCGTTGCCGATGAGCGTTTTGTATAATGTAAACGTAACGAAGTGAGGCCCAACGGTGCCTCATTGCCATTCGAGAAAGGCCAGTCTGCGGGCGATACAAACATAAAGTATATAAGAACAAATTAAGCGTTAATTAACATAAAGGTAATAATAATAATAATAATAATAATGTAACAACGATGCGTAAGAGCGTGTCGAGGCGTCGCGTAAATTAGAAGAGCGTTTAGACGTCCTCGTTACCGTATAAGACGCGTCCAGAGCAAGGATCAAACGTTACCGCGAACTACAGGCGGTTTACCACTGGTTTCAGCGGCACTGCTACCGGCAGCAGCCGCCGCCCCCGCCGACGACGACTTGTTCCTTTGTGCGTTGTGGTAGAGATACGAGTGCACGCGCAAACTATTGCTGTTCTTGTACTTGTTACCGCAGAGCTTGCAGGTGAGGCTCTCGAGCGGGCCGTGGATGTATCGCACGTGTAGCTTGAGATTCTCCTTGCGAGTGAAGTGGCGCAGACACCAGGGACACGAGTACATACGTATGACTTTGCCGCGCTCCATGCGTATCGTCGGCCCGAGCTCGGATATGACCCTGAGCGTAGTCTCGAGCGATAAGCTGCTTCCAGGCAAGCCTTTGACCGTGCGCCGTCCTTTGCTGCTGACGCTGCCGCTGCTCGCTGTCGCGGCTGCTGCTGCAGCCTGCTGAGCGCTGTTGAACTCTGCCAGACTCGAGGATGACGTCCCTCCCGCTGTGCCCGTGTCGTGAAAACCTGCCGATACAAAGACATTTTAGCCTCGATTTTTTGCCTCTTTATTTTTCGCTTCTAGCACTACGCGCCTTAGTCGGATTCTTTGAGATAGACAGAGAAAGCGAGAGCGAGAGTAAGAAACATGTTGATCATACAAGTTTAAAAAACTAGAAAGAATTTTCTCAATTTTTAACGAGCAATACAAGTTACGTAGAGTATACGCATTAATCTGTAAGGATGTAAATAAAACAGAAAATATTGTACAAAATACAAACTGCATTATCTAATTTCACCGATGCCTAATTACTCACTCGCACACAAGCTACTATTGCAACGTCTTTCTCTATTTTATAGAGGAAAAATGACTCCCAAACGAAGGAAAATTTTTTTGGCAACATGGTTCCAGCAGCACTGCTCGCGATACAGCTCTCCAAAGAGAGAGAGAGGGAAAAATTCCACGCTGTTTCGCGTATAGTAATAAAAAACAGATGTTTCGTCAGAGTCTATAAATACGGCATGCATGAGGCAGAGCTTCGTGTTTTATAAGGGTAAAAGGGACACTTGTCAAAGCTCCTTTACGGTAGAAAGCGCGCGAGTCTGTGCGTGCTTTCTCACTCAAGAAAATTAAAAGAAATTCAATCGGGCCTTTATCTTGGCGCAGTCGGCTACATAAAGACCGATCGAATGTAATAAATGACGTCGTCGTCGTTTCGTTTTCATTCAGTGAAGCGCGAGGTGTGTATATGCACCGGCAGCAGTAATAGCATCAAAAGGAAACGGCGAGAAATCGAAATATCGCGAAGAGATAAGAAAACAATTTTTTACAGAGATGTCATGTGCGCAGAGCAATATCGTTACTAATAGTGCAAATATTTTTTATGCAAATAATGGCGAATATAAATTCTTCTTCCTGCAATATAATCATCGTGAATAATGATGACTACGACACGATCACCTTGGAACAAACAACATCATTGCAAAAATAACGCGCGCAACAATATGTATCGTGCACGCTTGTACACGGACGCGAGAGAGCCCGAGCTCGAAGGCAGCGACGACGACAACGAGGAGAAGCACACACCTGTCGCGAGCGATCGTATGCATATTTGCAGTTATTTTTATAGCCATAAGATGTAAGCGCATCGCGGAGCTACTTACCGACCGAGTTGCCGGGACAGTAGGCAGCGGATAACATTTGTGCGTTCAGTAAGCTGTCCATGTGGTCCTGCTCGGTGTAGGGTATTGGCAAGCGGTGCGGCGCCGTCGAGCCACTCAGCGACGCCGCTCCCCTTTGAATACATTCGACCTCGGGAGTCAGGTGGCGAATCTCCGTCGAGCCCAGAGTCATGTTGAGCACATCCGAGGATTTGTAATCGTTGGCCGCCGTGATTTTGGCCTGCTGTACGTGATCCGGGGTGCTGCTGCAATCGAGGGGCTGCTCCTCTTCCTCTTCCTCTTCCACCTCCTCTTCGTTCTCGTCGTCGTCGTCGTCGTCGTTGCCTTCGTCCATGTCGTCGTTGTCGAGCTGCTGCCTCCGAGCCGATTTCGTTGAATCGCCAAGCTGTGACTGGCGCCGATGGTGGTGACGGTGCTGCTGTTCTTTGTACGATGTGATCGATACGTCTTCGACTTTGATGGCTGCTTTGACATTGTTGCAGGAGCATCCCGCTGCGTTGTTGTTAACGTTTTGCCAAGAGGCCGTGTGATGCTGGTGTTGCTGATGTTGCTGATGATGCGACATGTCCAAGGAGCCTGGACTCGTTTCCGCCGTCGTACCTTGTCGTTGGCTGGGTGTCAGATTGTCGTTTCCTCGATCGTGGTGAATCAAAGGCAGCGCGTCCGTCAGCTCCGAGTCGACTTCTTCCTGCGGTAATTCCTATGAATTAGATCATTGGTATCGACCGGTTAAATGTTTCACCTCGTGCCGCGATTCGAGAACGAAGCAAATGGTTCAACCGATTTCGTATATATATCGTATGTTATACTAACGAATCGTCTCACGGTCACGAGTACTTCCTACTTTACCAACCATCGTAAAGGGCAAGTCGTTAAAATCCAATGAAAGCTCGACTCGAATTCAAATGCGAGTCGCGCGTCGGAGAGAAAAAAGCGACATTTGGCTTGGGAAAAATCGGTATGCAAGCCTCGAGCGAGCGACGCCAATTTTCCCGAAAGGGTACAATAATAAACGATGCACTTATCGCGGAATAATTGGCATTCCCGCGAGCATCGCGACGTGAGTCACATGCACAATGTCTTTAAGAATAATAAAAAATAAGTTACTGTATCGCTTGGGTTACATTGAACGTATAATATAATACATATTGTATGTGTGTTCCGTTCGAGCATATAGACATTGAAAACGATTAAAAATTCCGCAAGTCGAAACAAAAGCGGCAAAACAATGAGAAGACACTCGCGCGCAGTAAGTAAAATATATAATGCAGATATACACACGTACACTTTTACGCTTACGGAGGCCTCATTGTTTAGAAGGTGCGTACGTGTATATATTGTATATACGTATACATATGTATTCGAGATCAATTAATGTTACATTGAACTCGAGTCGAATTCGTCCATATTCATGTGTGGCCGCACAAAGTCCGCAGGTATAATACGCGACGCGGTATTAAATGCACGTTAAATTTAAACAAATGTTATGCTCTCCTTATACAAGTGCAGCGCGGCGTGTATGTATAAGTTAAACATCGTTAAGAATGAATTATGATCGGTGAGACGATAAGAAGAATAAACTCGGTGCAGCTTGAGCACATTGTATGTGCAGGAGCGCGCGAATATGCGAATGTGTGCGTATAATATGTAAGGAAAAGCCTCGATCGACGTTATTAAAATTAATGCGATGTACGCGTAGGTATAAAACAAGAGCAGACGTACTTTTGCGCGTCGAACTTGGCCCGCGCTAACAGACATACGTATCGGAGCGAGCGCGCGGGAGCCTAAGAGAAGAGAAGCGACGAGAGAGTTCATTGTTCGGTCTTTCTTTGCTCTTTTTGTTGTTGTTGTTGTGGTTGCTCTGTTTTTTTAGCGCTTTGTATAAACACAGGTATATACACGCGCCAGAGGCAAAGAGACAAAGGTGCGTGAGATGATGCGCGTGAGAGCTTTTACGTATATAGCGCGTGTACGTGTAAGCAGAAGAGAGCGACGGGGGAGACGAGTAGCGCGCAAGTGCGAGAAAAGCAAGTTTAACTGCTCGCGCGCTCTCGTTCCGAAATACATTTATAAAATGTGTAGCGCACTTGTACCTATGTGCAAGTATATATAATAGACTTTTGCCTTTTGCCCGCCTTACAGTGCACGATGCGCCTATCTGACCTGGAATAGCTCCAAGGCGTCGTGCGCGCAAAATATACACGTATAAGCGCAAAACCGCGTCTTGCCGTTTTTGCACGCCTGCAGTTACATCGCCATATACGTCTACCAATGCGTCTTTATTAATTTCATCTTGAAAACTTCCTGACTCGCATATATTTTATTAAACGCCGAATGAATAAAAAGACGACCGATTATTCTTCGGAGCGCGTATTAAATTGGCGCGTTTACTAAACGAAGTTCGAATTTAAAAGCATTTCGCGCGTTCGTGCGGCGCGCGAAAAAATTCGCTGCTTATGTTGCAGAAAAAAATGGCACGAAAATCGATCATGACAATGGTACGTAATAAGAGGTGGCTTACGTCGTCATCATTGGTCCTGGTGAGTCCCTTGATTTTGAGAATCTCCGCGACCTTGAGAAAATTAGCTATATCTTCCTGCTTGATGTTGACTTCACCTTGGTACATAAACTGCAGCATGGCAGAGAGGTCCCGATAGTTGACATCCTTGAGGATGACTATTGGATGTTTACACGTGTTAACCTGTGTGCATATGCAGACACACGTCTCTTTATTATACACACTCACACACGTTCATACAAGTATAAATATAGCAGATATATTGTACGTGTATAAAGGCATATGAGATTGTGCGAGGTTCGGTATGTTTATATATGTATATGAAACGTTATGCCATCACCATCATCATCGTCATAGCCTCATAATCATAATCATCTTTGCCACTTTATATGCAACGTATAATGTATATACACATTATAACTTTAGTAGCGTATAGTGTTAGTACACGTGAGCGTGCATCTGTGTGTGTGCGTGTGTGTGTGTGTGTGTGTGTATGCACGATGCCATTGAGAGCGACCAAGTCGCTATGAATAAATAATAATAAAGAAGACGAGAGACGACTTGGTTCGAGATCGCGCGCGTTGAGAATGTCAATTAATATGCGTGCGTCGTACAGATTAGTTCGCTCCGTCTGTATAATATGCGCGCGAATCTCCTGAGCGACCGTGTGAGTTTAAAAAAATATGAAAAAAAAAATTGAACGAGGCGCATATAAGTCGCGCGTTGCGTGCGCGTGTTGTGTATATAGGAGACTCGCGTATATAAAAAAAAAATTATAATACGAGATGAGAAATACGTTTTTTTTCCTTTTTTGCTTTACAACTATACTTCCAAGTGTCGGTCGCTGGATGCGCGCGTATTTGTATTTTTATAAAGTATAATATATTACTCGATGATCTCACTAATCGAAATTTTTGCCCATCGACGTAATGTTTTTCACGCGAGCGCGAGACGATGTAAAAAACGGAGAGAAAGAGAGAGAAGCAATAACAAGGTATTCGCACACGACTCTTTGTTTTTCATTTTTTATTATTATCGTCGACGTTGGATACGCTGTATATGAATTATGCGAGAGTGAGAGTACGAGCGAGAGTGAGAGGCAGCAGACTTTGTCTAGATTATCGGTATTTCTTCTTATCACTTTTAACAACTTTTGCTTTTTCATCTTGTTTACATGAGTTGCACGTACAGTCCTCTACGTGAACACACTCATATGCACGCATACACGGATGCACGCAAGCGTCCAACATTCTTGTAGCAGCAGTTGTGGCGTCGCGAACGTGTATAATTTATGTGTGTGTGCGTGTGTGTACGCGCGTATATTTTTATCGCAATTGCATCGTGCAGTATAAATATATACACAGAGAGCAGCGTAGCTGACGTCGAAATTTCATTTAGCAGTCGAAAAGTTTTTCCCTCCTCCTCGTGCACTTTGCCTCGCGCGCGTATATATGTATATGCGCAGAGCGCGCGCCTCGCTGCATACGCGATATTATATACACACATGCTAGTGTGCATGTGCGCGTTATTGCGTGCCTGTTTATATACGTACAAAAATAATATAGTCGCGAGGGAAAAAGTGAAAAGTCGCTCACGCATGTTACGGAGCGATCGCTATATGTGCGTAGTAAACGTTACGTATACAGCTACGAGCGACTGGGCGCGTATCGTGTGTACATGTATGCAGAAAGAAGCAGTCGCGTACACCTGGAAGTGCACGTGCGAGTGCCTCGTGCACGCAATTGCCATCAGCTGAAATCCGCTCGGCTCTCGTAGTTCGCATACCGACGTCGACGTAAAATTTGCGCGCAATAAACATGGCGCGCTGCACTCCGTGCACTGGACGGCGTATGTCGGGACGCGCGCGCGGACCTTTAAATCGGCGCAGATTCGAACGAACGTCGCATTTATGCCGCTCCTCCGTGTGTCGAGCGTATTCGTGGCTTTTTTGCTCTTTCTCGTCGAGCACTACTCTCGGCTGCGCGCCGAGACGAGCTCGAGCCCGAGTTGGCGCGCGTAACGCAACAACAAAACAAAAGCGAGTTCGCGTGACGCTGCTGCACACGTTCCAAAAATACAGCGCAATGCACGGAAGTATAGGTAGAGCGCGGATTTGAGACGAGAGCGAGTTGTTTACGCGTTGTTTACGTACCTTGAAGAGATCGCGAAAGTAAGTGCTGCAGACGGACAGTATGAGCTTGTGGGCGCGCAAAATCTGGCCCTCGGCGGCCAGAGTCACGTCGACCAGTTGCTCGCCCGTCAACAGACTGTACAGGCCAGTCGACAAATTGTGCGGGAACGTGTTCCAAACGAGCGAAAAGTGTTGCTGCTGCTGCTGCGTTTGGCCAGGGCTGCTGGCCTCGGCAGACGGCTGCTGTTGCGCTTGTTGTTGCTTCGGTGGCTGCTGAGAGTCGATCGACGCACTTGCTTGAGCACTCGCGATCGGCGCACTCGGATTGTTATTGCTGCTACTGCACGACGACATGCTCGCTGGCTGTTTGATCGCGACACATGAGAGATAAAGCGAGCAAAAAGCTCCCAACGCGCCACAACCGCTGCACCGCAAGTTCAACCGTGAGCTTGAATAGAGAGAGGCTAGAAGAAAGGAGCCTGGAAGCGCTGCGACGATGCCTTATACACGGCGTTATATTGCTCGAGCGCTGCGACGAGGCTTTGGCTTGCCAGCACAAAAGTGCAGTGCGCAGCTATACGTGCTGCGATCGGCAAATAAACAACGCACTGGCTGCACTGCGCACCGAGTCGGAGAGCACACGGGGCGCGATCGTGATGCTCTTTCTGCTGTATACGCAATATATATATCGCGCGCGCGCGCGTACGCACACCACCTATATATCTATATGATATATACACGAGAAGATATATATACACACATATGCGCGTCTCGGCTCAATGCGATGCCAGAGAGACCAGCAACAACAGTACTACAAGTAGTAGTAGTAGAAGTAGTTGTAGTAGTCGTACGACCCCCACTTGTAAAACTCGACGTACGCGGCTGCAGTATTATAGCAGCTTTTTATATAGCCACATGCATACGCATACACGCCAATGGCGTGTGTATATGTATGTTTTTGCATGCTCGGTATGTGTATATATACACGTTTCTCTCTCTCTCTCTCTCTCTCTCTGGCTACTTGCGAATCGCGTTGCGTTACCACTACTGCTACGACTATATACTACTGCGTCACTCGGCGCGATCGCGATGCTCCTCCACCATTCAGCTCATAATACACGCGCGCAGTCCCTGCTATATGCGCGTTGCAAAGAGTTATAAGGAGTTTTGTTGTTAAGCGGCTGCTGCTGCTGTTACTGCCAGTTTAACGTACACACAGGCGCGTATATCCCACCTATAAGCACATGTATTCGAGGCGCTCCGTATTGCTGCCGTGCAGCTTTGAGCGAGCGACGAGGTGCTTATGTGCGCGCGCTCTGCCCCTCTACGGCCTGCTCGACTCCTTCCCTCTCGCCTCTCTCTCTCTCTCTCTCTCTCTCTCTCTCTCTATATCTGCATTTCCATATCTGCTGTATGTGTCCGTGTGTATATTAATATACGCACGCATACGTGTATGCATTTACACTTACGGACGCGCGAGCTCTCTTGCGTGTCTGTACCATACGTGCACGCACTCACACGGGCTCGAGCGACGACGCTTTTCTTTGGCGCGATTATGCAGCTCGATCCCCACACATGAATCCACTGCAGAACGAGACGCGTGTTTATGCGCTGCTTAAATATATTTTACCAATTTACTCCGTGAACGAGGACCATTTCGTCGGGCGCTTCATCGACCTGTATAAATTTACCTTATTGGCTACGCATCGCGCTTTACCCAATTTCTTCTGCACGCGTACTATGCATCTATGCAAATCGAGTCATCCGCGCGCCTCGTCTTTTGTCCTTCTTCCTCATTGGGCCTCGATTATATTTCTGCTCTCGGATCGAGCTTTTTTCCCTTTTTTTTTTCTTACTTTTTTTCCTCGGGCCGAGAGAGCGACTTATTTTGTCTGGTCCGAATGGCGATTACAATATCTCTCTTTCTCTCTCTCTCTCTCTCTCTCTCTTTCGCCTTCCTCTCTCTTGCGAATAATGCGTATCATAATAAGAGGCGCGCATTTTTCGTTAGTATATGTGTGTACGCTACGTACACGCTTGTTGGTATGCAGACACGCTTGCGCGTGCTCGAGACTCCGGTTTTTTGTTTGTTTGCCGATTGACCGCTTGTGTATATGTAATCAAAAGAATGTCGTAAGGAAATCAAAAGACGTTTCGGCCGCGTTATGCTCGCTTATGATGATGGAAGGGATCACGCGCCGCCCGTACTGCACCGTCGTCGCCGAGAGAAAAGTAAGGGAGAGACAAATGGAAAGAGAGAGGGAACTGCGAGTTGCACTCGTTATAAATTATAATCCATTTTTCGTCGCATCAACATGTATACATGACGCACAATAACACGCACGGCCATAGCTGTACAAATACTTATGCACGTATTATAGCAGTCCACGCGCTCACGACGACGACGACGACGATGATAAATCGCGCAAATCGCTTCGGCGGCAATAACGACGTATAATGCGCAAGAAATTATACCGACTTGCGTGTAAGTTAATCAAAAAAAAAAGGAGAGAAAAAAGACGAGACTCGTCTCAGCCGCTCGCTTGCACATATATGTATACATTACATACGTACACGATCGCGGGGACAGGCAATAAGAACAAAAAAAGAGAGCAAGTTTATGATTCAGCCAAAACTATGACATTGCACACAAGCAAACGACCAAACGATTTCAGTACGCATATTCACGGTGCTGCAGCGATGCTTTAAATGCGAGCTCAACGTCTCTCTCTCTCTTTGACAGTGCATGTGTGCAATGCAATGCGCGTATTCGTATACATATACGCACACAAATTCACATGCACTTACACTTGTACACAGCTATGAATGTAATACATATTTTCAAGCGCGGCGCGCGAGCTCGAGCTGCATATTGGATAAACACGTATGATGATATTGTGTTAAAATATATGCAATGCGGAAACTAAATGCATTTTACGCAAAATACACCGATTCTTTCTCTCTCCCGCATTCTGCTTCTGCCTAGATATTGTAATTTCATTTTGGCCGGCAAGCGACGCGCGTGCAAATTTTTTTTAATATACTTTGCGCGCGACCGTGTATTCGCGTACAATATATATCTTTGGCATAAAAGCGATAGAGAAAAGTTTTTTCTATAATTTTGTCTAAACGTGAAATTTTCTTATTTATAGAAACGTTTTCTCGGTGTCTTTTGTCGTCGTTGCGTATTCCTGCGCAAACTTGACTATTATATACTCCCGTATGCGAACTTGCGCGCGCTACGCGTCTCTGTCTATGTATATGCTTATAATACGAGAGCGAATTAATTATTATGCAAAAAGACTCGCGCATGAGTGACTATTTAATCATTAAAAATAGACTCGCGGTGAGTATATAGCAGCGCCGTGTCATAAATAAACATCCATAAAGCACAGGGAGACGAGCAGAACCGAGAGTATAAAAATTAACAGACGTTATAATACATTAGTTTCTACATGCTAAGGATGAATTTCATGAAAAACTTTGGTGCATATATAGCATTGCCTCGCCGTTGTCGTTGTGTGCCTGTGAATATGCACTTGCACACACGTACACAACCCTCAGAAAAGCATTGCGCGTCTTTTCTCGTCGAGTATATAATAATATTATTAGTATACAACCGTTACGTATGAATGTATATAGAGGCGGTCGTTCTCCTTTTAAAAACTCTACGCGAGTGCTTTGCTTTGCGCACGCACTTGATGGGAAAAGTTGTTTACTGTGTAGATGTATAATATTCCGCGACCCATGTGCACCGCCTATACATATATGTACGTGCAATATATTCGTATACGTACACACGCACACGCACAAACTCGTATCAAGCGCATATTATTAACGTTGAATACATTTTTTTCTCTTTCGTGCTACATACATTGAAAAAACCAATTTTTACATGAGCATTCTTATGATTCTACGATCTTATCCTCCTTCTTTATTCTTTGTATACTTATTCCAAATTCACAGTTTTATTGCGAGTCAAGAAGCACCATCGATTTCGCTAAATAACAAGTAGATCATCTGCACTATCATTTGTTTTTAATGTACATGAATTAAATTACAGGTGTTCTATGCTCTTACTCTACACGAATATGTGTATCAAGTAAACAATTTCACACTGAATAACAACGATTAACAGATACAATCTCAACAACAAACTTTCATGATTTGGAAACATGCATCTAAAACGATTAGAAATTAAGAACGTAATTTTACAAATTTGAAAGCACAATATAAAAACAGTCTTTAATTATTATTAATATTATTATTATTATTATTATAGTTTGTAAAATTACTAGTGATTTGATTATCAAATAGTTTACTCCACTTATCATTTTGCACATATAATATTTATAATAAATGTCAGTCTTTACTTCAAAAACTTCTCATTGAACCTGGTTTTGCTTGCATTCTTCTTTCTTTTCTTTCCAGTTTTTTTTGCTTTTTGTCAATAACTTCTGCATTTGCTTCAGGTGCTGGTGCAAATATCCATGGACCTATGAAGTTTTTCCATAACATGTAAAATACTCTGGCTGGAGCCTAAAATTTATCAAGGATTAGTAAGAAATTTGGCAAAAATAATTATCAAATGATAAAATATATTTTCAAACTACATACTGCAATCCATAAGAGCCAAAAGTAGTTTGATATGAATGAAAGCATTTCAATGCTAGCTGTTAAAATAATCAAATCTTTCAAATGCCTAAAATAATATTAAAATAATCAAATTATGATCCCATTGTTTGGTTTATGAATGGATGATATCATTTAAAAGGAATACATACTCTGCTACACCACCTTCCATATTCAAATCAATACCAGTATCCAATAATTGACCAGATTCTGAATATTTTGGTGTAGCCATCCATTTCATGCCAAAGAATCCTGTTGCAGAAATTGCTCCACTCATTAATCCTAAGCCCTGAGAGAAGGTAATATATTTATCAAGCGCTTTAAGATTATTTTTTTATTAGATACTAGATATTTACTTACAATTGTCAGGGCATCAAATTGGAAGAAAATATATGTAACCACCAAGTGAATGACGGTTGAAGAAAGTAACATATTTCTATAGAAATTAATTGTAGACTCATTTTCTTCGACTATCTGTTTAGCTCCCCTTGTAGCTTGTTTAGTACTTTTTGTAGGGGGCTAAAAAATTAAGAGATAATTAGAATCTGGTTGATGGTTAATTGTTGCATAATTGTAAATCAATGACACAGAAACCGATAGGAAATTCAAATCAATTTTACAAAAATAGCACTATTGCAAATCGGAGCATACAATAATATCATTATTACACAGCATTTTTGCTAGAGTTTAAATATTTTCTCTGTAGGTTAGATTGCATTTCATAAATTTGCATTTAGCAAGTATTGCCACTGAAATGTATGAATTAATTTTTTTAAAGGAAACATATGCCAACTAAGTTACACATAAATTTATATTATTATCAAAATAATAAGTTTAAAAATAAAACTTACCGCCATTATTATTTTAAATCACTAAATTTGAGTAGAAAATTGTGGTAATAAACTTATATAAAAATCTACAAACACGCAGGGAAACTGTTAAAAAATTCCGACATCAAAATAACGACGCGAGAGTCAAAAAATTGTATATTAATCGATGCCACATGGGCCTCAGATTAAGCGAGCATCGAGTCAGTGACACTACAATCGCATAGTACAGTACTGTAGTATATTTACATCAATCACTTGAAGCAAACATACGCTATGAGGCAGCATGAAAGGCATTATACACGTACAATATGCGTACAGGCCAGCACACCGGCAGGTAAAAAAACAAGTCAAGTTGAGCTTGCCGACGAATTTTTAAAATTGAAATAACACGCAAGATGTCAGCACAGTGACTCTTGGGTAGCATGCGCCACCTACTTGTCGTCTGCTTTTGACACATGCCACTACGTGGAGCAGAATACAGATATACCGCATTATGTCAATTATGCGTCCAGATTCACTCACAGAGCCTTGCATACGACGAGGCGACTGTTTAGTAACACGTCTGACGTTACACTTGCAATGTATTCTCGTTTTAATCGTGTAAAGTGCAAACTCTATAACTATAGGTAGTTACTTATAGTTAAACTATTGAATGAAAGCTGCAACGAAGAAGCCTAGTTGCTGCTTGATTTAGCTGTCTAATGTGTATTATTCGATTATTTACATTTCCGGAAATACTTCCGTCCAGAACCATCCGTGCAACTTACTCTGTGATAAGAGTATTTGCCCTTTTAACCTATCAGCTTGACAACTTTACTTCAGTAAATTAGTGATATTATTTAAATTTTACTTTGCTTGGAAATATTCAATAATGTCGATTCTACGACTTTTATCGGACGGGCTGAGTATCATCACAATATCCATGTGTTTGGTATTGAAGGTTCCGCAAATAAAAAAAATACTTGACAGCAAATCAGCAGTAGGCATATCTGTGATGGGTTTATTACTGGAATTGACTAGGTAAATCGATTACCATTTTTCAATGCACGAAAAATATTTTCCGGCAATGTGTAATGAATTGAACTTAGGATTTTTGAATTCCATTACTAAAACTTTTGTGAATGAATTACAAATCTAAAATCTTACTTTTACTAATTAAAAAAAGCAAAGTTTTATTCCTTCAAACAAAATTACTGGACTTCCGCAAAAAAAATTCAGTCAAATTAATTATTTATTAATAAAAAAACATATTTAGCTAAATTGAGTAAATTTTTAAATCATTCTTTCGTTCTTCGTTGATCCAAAAAAATATTTCGTAGGCTCAAATAAACCACTATCAGCTACTAAAAATTTTTTCAGTGATAATTGCTTTTAAAGTAAAAGTAAACGTTTCTTTTAATTTAGACATGAATAATTTATAAGATTAAAATTGAGATGAAATTTTTTCATCATCATTATGTTAAAATTAGCAATGAAAAATGAAAATTTTTTCCGCTGTTAATCACAACATCGTTTTTTTACCTTCAACAGTTATACTATCATGACCTGTTACAATTATACCAATGGATATGGAATTCTGTCTTATATGGATTATCCAATTATCTTGATTCAAGAATATGTTTTAATATTCTTAGTTCTCAAGTACCTGAATCTGATAAATACTCCCATGCTGCTGGCAGTATTCGGTTATTTTTTGATCTTCATTGGTTTGCTGACTAATTCATTACCAAAAACAATTTTAACGATAATGGTGGTTTGTATAAAAAAATATAATTTCGTACTTTTATTATAACGATAAGTAATAAACTTTGCCAAAAAAATTTACAGCCTTTATGCACACCGATATCTGCATCTAGCAAAGTTGCTCAACTCTTAGCTATTTTAAAAGCTAAAAATGCTGACGCTGTCTCTCCAAAAACATGGATGCTTTCTGCTTTTACAAATTTAAGTAAGTAAAAAAAGATTTCATGAAAAATTTACAGATTAATAAAATAATATTATGAATTTTTTTTTAACTTCAGCTCGGGTCTTTACTACATTCATGGATTCAGCGGATATATTATTGCTAGGAAATTATACCGTCTCTGTGGCATTGAGTTCTTCAGTCTTATTTGCTGCTCTTCATTATAGAAAAATTGTTAAAAAAGAAGAATAAGATTACTTTTTACTCTGCTTTTTTGACTTCGTGAGTGCATGCTTATAGTAGTGAGATCGATGTTTAATTCTATGTTGCACTTAATTATTGAATTCTGTTGATATAAAATCATCATTAAATCGGTAGATGTTGCAATTAGAATTCAATTTGACAAAGAGCTGTAGAACAGTTGTCATAGCATAATCATTTTTGCTTACTTTACGGGACAAAGAAGGAATAAATTAATATAAAATATACGAACAAAATCTAACAAAAACGGATGAACAATGTAATCTTAAAAACTTTAAAGCAAAAATTTAATAATTTAATAATTTTTGCGCTGAATAATCAGTTCTTTTTATTAGTCAAAAAATGTATAGATGCCATATATAAATAAAAATCACAACTATGCAATACTCAAAAAAATTATTCATAGTATAAATTGTTGATAAAAATGTTTGTAATTGTTTTCGAAGGTAATCATATTGTTATTTTTAAAAGTAAACTTTTGTTTTCTTTGAAATACCTTTAAGTGATAATTGTAAAAAACATATTTTTTAAGTGTATATCTAAAGATATTTTTATAAAATATTAATTGAGTTGTAATAAATAAAAAAAATTTTATTTAAATTGATTTGTGTCGATATTTGTGTGTTTAATTTTCGAAAGTAGTAAAGGGACATTAACCTTTAATTCCAAATTTTTTTATTCGATTATTTAGTAAAATTTTTCCTCCTCTTTTCATTGCATTTTTCGAAATTCCAAAATTTTGATTTTACACTGAGATACAGCTGTTTCCGTGAGCCTTTTTCGTATACTTTACGTGTTAAATTTTTTCTTCTTTTGGGTTTTCTGGCGAGTAGTGTTTTTCGTCATATGTTGTAACTTTCAAAGAGTACCGATTGAGCTTCAGCACCAGGATCGAGAAAACGCAAAAGAAGAAAAATTTTAACGCGTAAAGTATAGGGAAAAGGCTCACGGAAACGGCTGTATCTCAACGCAAAATCAAATTTTGGAATTTCGAAAAATGCAATGAAAAGGGATGGAAAAATCTTACTAAAAATTGAATAAAAAATTTTTGAGTTTAAGGTGTATGTGTCCCCTTAAGCAATAATAATTATATATAAAGCAATAATAAGAGAGAACTTTACGGTCATGACTTTTTAGTATAACTAGCAATGAAAAAATTGCGAAATGATTGATTCATATCAATTAAATAATTTTGTACTTTATTTTATTATATTTATATAAACTTTGGTTTTTTAGTTGATGGTATCAAAATAATAAAGAAGTAAGTATGAAATAATAATATATAATGAGATAGGGAATAATGAATCATGAGATTTTTAAAAGTTACATTTTTACGTTGTTGGGCACACGTTAGCAATAACGTTTCCATGAATGCGAGAAGCATCCAGTGCATAAGGAACATTTCTAATGGTCAAGTTGTTGATGCAACCGACATATTGGGCTCTCGAAACACTGCCTTTCAGTGGTTTGCCTGCTTCCAGATTAGGATGACCGCCAATGTAGATTGCATTTTTTGAAGGCATGCCCATGAGATTTTTATTACCAATTCCAGGTGACGAGTTTTGATGATCAACGGATAAAATCACTACGTTCTTTTGTTTCACAGCTGGAAGAAAAATGTAAATTTAAAAATGTGAAGTGATAAAATTTGCATTGATGGAATGAGTGTAATAATTTACCTCGAACGACGTGCCAATTGCCATCGCATAAAGCGTTAGGACTAGCTGCTTCATAAGATGTTTCGATTTGTCCTTTGGCAGCCTTAACTAAGAACTTGATCGTGCCATTTACCATTTCTAAAACTAAATAATCGTTCTTTCCGTGAATCGCAAGCAATAGACCGGACGCTGATCTTGGCTTGATGTCCATTTGAATTTGCATGTTCTTTCCGACACTGAATTTGTCCTCTATAAATCAAATACGAGAAATTAATTGAAATAAGACATAATATAATAAACGTCTACGATGAGAACAAAAATAATTACCTGCTTTGAAATAATTGCTACCGTTTCCAGGGTAAAAGAACATTCCAGGCTCGACTCTCTTTGAACAAGGAATAACTCCAAGTACCACCGATGGTCCCGTAACGTACTGTCCATTCAGCATGAAGTTTCGGATGCAACCGCTGAAGGTTTGATTTACGCCCTGCATCGCGCGAGTAAAATTGTTAATAAATTGTTTAAAGTAAATAAATCGAAAGGCTAAAAAGCTTCAACTCACAATGGCTTCGGTGGCTTTATTACTGAAGCTTGGATGTAATCCTCCAAGGAAGAACGGCGGCTCGACGCTGATACTCTTTGTGGTGCCCTGGGAATATTGGGTCACCGGCTCATTTTGGTCGACGATCAATTCTCCTCGAGTTCCTTCGCGTTTGAAGTAAATCGCGTGCCAATGATTGTCATTGATTTTTTGTTCACTGATCAGTTCGGCTGGACCGCTACCACAGTCAAACGTAAAGTGCACTAAGCCGTCTTTGATGAATAAGGCGATGAGATCGCGCTTGTTGAAATCGGCCCCAAAGAATACGACACCTTCGTTCGCCAGCGTTTTGATGTCAATTTGGAAAGCAAAGCTGTCCTTGTAACGCCCTCCAAGAGCGCTGAATTCAAAGCGACTCTCTGGTTTGGTACCTGCAAGAACGTCACAATCTTCAGACTTGGGAAATAAGACTTAGCTATCTACTCTGCTCAAAATAAATTGTTATTTACCAAATCTCCAAGCGCGTTCAGCCTGCTGATCAGGATCCTCCAATGGGAACTGAGGTAATCTGCAGCCATCGACTGTCAAAGGTTCTTCCGATGTTGGAGATTGTAACGTTGTAGTCCAAACGGGTACGGGCGACGTTTGTGGTTCTGGACTCTGCGAAGAAGGTGAATCCGTCGTTTCACCAAATCGAGGATTGAATTCTTTATCCTCATTATCATCTTGACCAGGGAAGACTACATCTACAAGTTCAATCGATAAATTAGTAAGCTTGTAAAGTCTATTTTCTTACAGTTCATTGGAATTTTATTTACTATCATCCTCTCCAGTTGGTTCTGGTGGGGGTGGTGGTAACGTCATTGATGGCGATCCCTCATCTATTATCAAAGCTGAAAATCCACCTATTTTAGATACCATAAAATATTTGACGGATTTCGAGAAATCTTATTATTACGCTTACTTTGATCTGGTTTTGGGCATTGGGCTAAGTGTGCGTGAGGTCTTTCCGTAGAATTGGCGAAGTTGACGATGACACCATTTAAAGTCGTGTCTCCGATACAACCAACGAATGGCTCGAACGACAATCCGTTCTTAACGTTATCAGGCACGTTACCGACGTATAAGACTCCGTCGTTGATCTGTCGTGGAATATCTACGTTATCAAGCATCTCTTCCTCCGTGTCGTCTATGTCCAATCTGAGCGTCGAACCGTTGTGGGTGGCTGTGACGACGTGCCACTCGTTGTCATTGAATTTGATTTCGGGAGTATTCGTCTGTAGTTTCTCGCCCTGACTTATAAGTACTAGTTGTCCATCCTCCAGAGTTAAGGTGTTGGCTGGAGTTCCGTCGGAGTTCGTCAAATGGTAAATAACTCCGTTCTCTGATCGCGTTCTGAATTTCAGATTTATTTGCAGGGCATCGGGAACTATAACTTTGTCCCATTTCACGTAACCCGGATTTGCGGCATGGAAGGATACTAAACTTGCAAACTGTAACAAATTGCCTCGTGAAAATAGTAAAACTTTTTAAGTCGAGAATAATCGCACGCTTACCTTGATAGGGCAACCGGCAACAACGCCGTAGGCCTGTAAATTTTTCGTTATATCTACCACTATCTCTTGCATCGAAACCTCATCGATACAACCTTCGAATCCAATTTGGGTTACGGTCTTGTACGGGTGTGGCGACGTTGGCAGATGACCGCCGAAGTACACATAGTCGTTGGAAACGAGGTTTTTACTTTCGCCAGGAGCTTCTAGCTGGCTTATCTGTTCTCCATCGATTTTGAGAACACCGATTCTTTCGAGCCTCAATACTTCAACCGTATGCCACTCTCCGTCGTTGTATTTTTTAGGTGAAGACATAACTAATTCACCGTCACCTAAGTCAAATTGGTATAGAACGTGGCCGTCTCTCAGCTCAACAGCTAAGAAATGTTTTTTTCCGCCCATCAAGTACATTAAACCATTGTTCACATATGTTTTGAACTTGAACTGTACTCGGAATCGCTTTTGATCGGCTGGAAGCTGCAAACTCTTTTTGCTTAACAGGGCGTAGCCTCCGCGATCAAATCTATAGCCAGTTGGTGGTTGCATATTGATGAGCTTTGTACGCTCGTAAGCCGGTTTCCAGTTATTCTCTGCTTTGATAAAGTTCCAGAATGATACTGGTGCGTCACCGATCATTAGATCTTCCATTTCACCGTCGAACGGATAGAGATCGAGGGTCTCTTGAACCTGGAAGGAATCCGGGATGCTTCCGACGAAGAGTTTTGATTTTTCTTGATCCAAGTTGAATATTGAATGCGAGCCAGGTAGTGACTGCTCGATTACATAATCTTGCGGTTGCCCGTCGGCCATTTCTTCGCGCACGATAAGTTTGATGTTGCGGCCAGTCCTTGAGGAGTAAAATTTGCGTTATTAGTTTGCGTTACACAAGGTGATATTTTAAAATTATGTAAAAATGCAAATAAAGTTCTTACTTTTCCACAACTAATTGTCGCCATTCGTTGTCAGAAACGTATTTATTATGATTAATTCTCTGAGTTCCCGAACCCAAATCAAGAGTCAAAACTGGATATCCACCTTCGATTGAGAGAGCCATGAAGTCATGCTGAAAAAATTGATGTATAACGATGAATAAATTATTGAATCGAACAAAAATTAATTTAATAAACCTACCGTTTTTCCTCTTAATGAGGTCGGTCTATTTTCATTTCCGAGATACAAGAGGAATCCGTTGGTTCTCGGTGTGCGGAAGTAGAGCGAGATTTTTGTCGCTGTTGTTTGCATAGCCAAGCTTTCTGGATTCTGTAGCTCCAACATGGTATTTGGAACGAACGTCAAACCTATTCTTATTCTATTAGCTAAATCTCGGGCATTGGAGATTTTGCGCTTGAGATCTTCGATTTTATCGTGCAAATGATTTCCACTGTGATTATTTAACTGCTGCTTTTCGTTCAATTCGACTAATTTGCCTTCGATTTTAGGCTGGAAGTTTTTAAAGGTATCGACTTGATGAGTAGCTTGAGAAATGTTGCGATTGGCGTCCGACAAAACCTTAGCTAAAGATTTGATTTTTTTAACGTCATCGGGAATTTGGTCGATATGATTATTAGAAGCAATGACCATTGCGTCCCCAATTCCAAACTCGGCTTTGTCGGCATTGTTCAAAGATTCTTGTGCTATCATGGAAGATTGAACTGATATGCTGTTTAATGATCTGAAATGCAATGAACAAATGAAAAGATTAATTTTTTTTCTTGTCAATTTATAATTTTGAAATGAATATCTATTCGGAGGAAGTAGCATATGCGAAAAAGTATGTTTCTCCGTTCAAAAAACCCATGATATTGTGTTGCGGTACGTAAATATTCTTTTTGCCTATGCTACGCCGACGAATTGATACTCTCTGAAAAATTCGTTCCAATCAATTACTTTAGAATTTTGTCGAGACTGCCATTGTTTTTCTCGTTCAACATGGCTATCTCTTGCATGTGTAAGTTCCTGGCGTTTTCAAGATCAGGTTTTAATTTTCGTTGAGTTTCATTGAATGCCCCAACTGCTGATTTCCACAAGTCTTTGCTTCTCATTTCAGTTTGGTTGCTGTTAACATCAAGCCCAACAGCCTAAAAAACACATTGAATTAATGATCCACAATCTTAATTTAAATTTCATCTTTATAAAAATAATTTACCATAGTAGTAGCGCTTTCGACTGATCTCAGAGCATCTTCAGCAAAGTTTCTTGCGCCTTCGATACTGTTCACGATGTCTTGGTAGGCTGATGCAGCTCTGACACCTGTCAAATTGCGAGTATTCGTAAAGAGATCCTCGATTTGAATTGACTTTTCATTCATTTCCTGAGCATGTTTTCTTGCTTTCGGTACGTCTTCACGGAGATGATTGACAAGCATATCTTCATTTTCTTTGATGAGATTATCGAGTTGCTCACTCAACTCGGGCTTGTCGCCAGGTTTCATGGACGAATTGGCATTGATAAATTTGTATTCAGCTTCAGCCACCAAGCTGCTTGCTTCTTTAATCAATTCATCACCTTTGACAATATCGTTATTTGTGTGGTCTGAAATGTCTTTTAGAGAAGCCAAACTGTTGGAATCAAGTGTCTTCTTATTTTCAAAATTGATCCTTTCGGCAGCATTAGCCAGCTCATCGGCTTGGTGCGTCAAGTTGTACATATCATCGATTTTGAATTCAAGTTCATGCACGTCATCAATGACTTGATTCGTTTGATCCTCCAAGTCTTTGACGGGTTCTTCGTAAGCTATCATTTCTGAATTCAAAATATTTGCTTGGGTAACTTGATCCGTTGCTTTGTCTCGATCCTCGATGAACGACACTTGTTTGATCTTCGTGAGAAGGTCTTGAGACTCCTTCAAAGCACTTTCTGTTTTCGGTCCATGTCCTTGCTCGGTATTTTGAGCGAGTGACTGAACCTCGCTTATGATGGTATTCACAAGATCGATCTCTTTGATGATTGAGTGTTCAAGATCGTATGTGTCTTTAAGACTGTCTTCAGCTTGGGTTTTCCAGGCGTGACTGTTTTGTTCTTGATATTCAATGTCACGCTTTAGCGAAAACACCTTATTGTTCAATTGACCGATCGTGTTTTTTTCAGGATCTAAGTTGACGCGTCGAGGATCGAGTAATTTAACTTCGGGTCCCAACTCATTAACCGTTTCATTAATGAAGTCAAGTCGCTGATTCGTGAAGTAACTGTCAGCTACGTTCTGTAACATTGAAAAATTCGCGATAATTCATCCTACTTACACTATTGAACCAAAAATGCAATGACCCCGACGGAAATAGAATTTGCTCATAACTCTCATAGAAGTTGATATAAACTAAATGATAAAATGTGTTACCTGGAAACTGTCGGCAACGGGGTCAAGTTTTTCCTTTAGTTCGTCAGTAACGTCAAGCAAATCGTGAATACATTTGTCGCAAGTTTGGCAACCTCTACGTGGGTCTAGGACTGTACGATGTGGACAATTATCGCACTTTTCGCCCAGCACTCCAGGCAAACATACGCACTGCCCAGTGACAGGATTACAGGAGGCACCACGTGAGTATTTAGTAATGCAACCGCAAGGGATGCATCCCTCGGGACCATAGTTCCAATATCCGGCCATGCACTGGTCGCAAGTTCGTCCTTCAACGCCGGGTTTACAAACACATTTACCAGTGTCGTCGTCGCATTGACTGCTTTCGGAAGCGATGCCGCATTCGCAGGGTCGGCAGCCTTGGCAGGATTTGAAACCATAGTGATCGGGAGCGCATCTGTTGCATTCTTCGCCGATCACGTTGTCATGACATTGGCAAATGCCGTTCTGGTTGTCACAGCTCTTCATTCCTGTGACGGTGAAACAATGCGGCGATGGTTACATCTCGCTCATCAGCTTTAGAGTTATTGCGAAATAACTTGGTGGCACTTACCGCATTGGTCGCAGGAGCAACTCTTGCAGTCCTTGCGCTCGATGGCATCGCCAAAGTATCCAGGCTTGCATAGATTGCACGCAGTTCCGTATGTGTTGTTTAAGCAGTGCAGACACTCGCCACTGACGGAATCGCAGGAGCCGATCTCGTTGGTGTCGATGTTACCCGAACACTCGCAAGGCTTGCAGTAATCACCGACGTTCTCTGGCTGTCCGTAATATCCAGCAGCGCAAGATTCGCAGCGAGCTCCATAGTACCCGGGAAGGCAACTGCAACTGATTTTGCTTCCGTCCTCGCTAACTTCGCAGCCTTTGGCAAAGTTATTCGAAGCAATTGGCAGAGGACAGGCGCAGATCAAACAATCCGACGGTGTGCCGATCGTGGCATCTCCGTAATATCCTTCTTGACACATCTCACAATGGTCACCGGTTGTTCCATTTTTACAATCCTACGAAGAAAATCAAGTTAAGTAGTATTCGCTGTATAAAAATTCAAGAAAAGGGAGAAAAATTGAGTACTATGCAAATTCCGGTATTGACGTCGCACTCGTCAGCATGTCCATTGCACTGACACTTGACGCAGGAACCTTTAACTCTGTAGTAGCCTTTGGCGCACTCCTCGCACGAGAATCCTTTGTAATTTGGAGGGCACTGGCAGTGTTCCACGCTGCTGGCTATTTCTGCATTGTCTGTCCATTCGTCAGTTGTTACATCGATAGATACATGCGATAGTCTGAAAAATGGATGAACGAGTGTAGAAATGAAAAGAAAAAAAATTGTATAGCGTATTGAATGAAGTAAAAAAACTTACGATACAGTTAAAGACGGCTGCCAGTAAGTAGCCCGAATGTATATTCCGCGAAGATCTTTGAGCGTGGACATGATGGCTTCGCGTGTGGCTCGTCGGCCCTGCTTTGTCACGAAGTTCGATTCCTCCAATCTGACCGATGCTTGGAAATTAGTTAGAGAAGGTGGTTGCTCGTCTCCTCTGTAGATCAAAAAGTTGTCAGCGCCTTGGAGAATGACATCACCACCGGGCACAGCTTGGCCAAACAATCCAGTCGTGTAGTAAATCGTGTAGTTGAACCAGCCGCCGTAGGAGACGAGCTTTTTATTCAAGTAAGCTGGTGGAGCGGAGAAATAAATAATTTGTTTCTCATCGATGCCACCCGCCATATCTACGAGGATGTGGGTGTCGTTGAGTTCCTGAGGCAGGAGTTCGAGAATTTCGACGTTCTCATTGCGCTCGTTGACGAGCACAACTTCCCAGCCGCTCATTTCCATCAAGTGCGAGCGAATGAGACTGGACGAAGTACATCTGGTGGTCTTGCCGAAGCAGAAGCACTGGGTGCAGCCTTGCTCGTTGCTCGCCTGCAAGTTGAACATGCCGTCTTTGCACTGACTGCAATCGGCCCCCTGCACGTTGTCCTTGCAAATACATTCGGCCGTGGCTTGATCGCAAATGTCGGCTCTGGTGCCTGCTACGTCGCAGCTGCACTGGTCGCAGTACGGGAACGAGTGGTGTCCGGCTTTGCATCTGTTGCACTGCCTGTTGACGACGTTCTCCTTGCATTTGCAGTTACCGGTGAGCAGGTCGCACTGAAGGTCGCCGTCCTGAACGCCGTGATAATCGCACTGGCACTCCTCGCAACCGATGACCGGATCGTAACCGTAGGTGCCAGGCTTGCACTGGTCGCAGAGGGCACCTATGACGTTCGAAGGACAGATGCAGGATCCGTTGTCGGGATCGCACAGAGCTGTGCTGGGACAATTGCAAGGCCGGCAATTTGGAAAACCGAAGAAGCCCGTTTTACAAACGTTGCACCTTCGCCCGATAATGTTGGGTTTGCAAGGACATTGACCTCCGAACTTTTCGCACTCGAAGCTGATGGTGCCATCGATGTCACAGTTGCAAGACAGGGCGCCGTCGTTGAAGTTGGCCGTAAGCGAGAAAACAGAGTCGCGACAGAAGCCTTCCTCAGTGGTATTGATGTGGAAGTTATTGTTACCGCAGCGCTTGATGAATTCCTTGGTTTGATCGAATTGCTTCTTTCTGAGATATTCATCGCTGTAGAGGTCTGCTGGAATCACTAAGATGTAGTCGAGATAAATGCCTCGGTCGGAGTTGTCCTTGAGGGTTATAACGAAGTTGTCGGTCAATTGGAAGTTTTTGGTGCCGTCGGGCTGGCGCATGAGGCTGCGGCAGCCGGCGTTGCTCGGGCAATGGGTCATCGGTATCTTGGCTTCGTAAACTTTGCCATTCTGGACGATAACGTCGATGTCGAATTCAGGATAGTCCGGTTGATAGTACTTGATAACGAACACGTACTCGCCTGGCTGTTGCACCTTGGCAGGCACGTCCACCGAAGAGTCCCGCCCGTTCAGATAAATGAACTTGGAGCTGTTGTCGTAAATGCCCTCTGGCACGACGGGAACTTCGAGTAATTGATTATTCAGCTCCAACTCAACTTTTTTGGCATCCGGAGCTTCGGGAAACACTCCGCCGATGCAACTGCCTTCTTTGCGCACGCAAACGGATTTTGGATTGAGATAATCGATGGACCAGTCTTGCGCTGGAACGGCGACGATCGATTTGATCGCCACGTTGGCGTTTGGCTCGGCCTCGAGCACGATATTAACGAAATTGCTCGGGAAGTACATCTCGGCTATCTTTCCGTTGTCCTCGACGACTACTTGACGACAGACGCTGGTGTAGGGGCACGGATAGAGCGTCGCTTTACCCTGCTCTCCGCTGTCGGCCTTGATCACGACGTTCTGAACCGCTGAAATTTCTGGAGGCGGCGTGACGTAAGTGACAACTATCACGTGGGCTCCTGGCTTATTGATGGGTAGTTCGAAGTTGATCTTGTTCTGACGGTCGTTGACCAGTGGCATCTTGGTCTCGTCGATTTCGTCGAGTACCGCTGGCTCGGTGAGATATTCCGTGAGGGGATACCGGTTGCTGTCGGTGCCGGTGAAGCCGCTCGTGCCGAGTACCACGTCGAACGGCTGGAGACTCGGGTAAGCGTACTGGCGGCAGAGCCCTTTGTAACCGATGACGCAGGGCGTGCTAACTTCTTCCGTCAGAATGCTGGCTTCGTAATACTCGGCTGGCAAGAGAACGAAGTAGTCGAGGAAGAGATTTTTCTCGATACCGATCGTTACGGCCCAGTGGCCTGGATTCATAACCATGACCGATGCAAGAAGGCCTTGGGCACCTGTAAATTCATTCGAGTAACTATTTTAATTACGGCTCATTGATAATTGCTTTTAAATGAAGTGGTGCAACTTTACTGACCAGCGACCGTGACGAAGGTCGGATTTTTTCCAGTTGGTTTGAACTGAACCTCGAAGTGTTGCTCAGCTTCGGTGTGACTGTCCGGAGTGATGGTGACAGATCCAAGAATCGGTTCGCTATTCGGATTAACGTATCGCAAGACCATGCGGTATAGCGACGACTTTTGGATGTCGATCTCGTGGATGATTTTATTTTGCAGCGACGAAAACACGGCATATCCCTGCCAGCTGAAGCCTGGGAAAAGATCCTCGTCGAACTTGTAACGAACCGATCGATTGTTGGGCGTACGGCCCTCTTCGGCTTCATATTGGAACTGATGAAGCGTCGGGAAGTAATGAGCGCGCATCGGCTCGTCGCAAGTTCGGCCCTCGATGCGATGGCGACATTGACACTGACCGTTTTGTTTGTTACAGGTTTTCGAGAGGGAACCTCCGATGTCGCAGGCACAATCTGTGTTTCAAACTAATTATTAGTACGCGTACTAAATAGTTTTTTTTTTGCCAGAAATATTTCGTTGACTTACCAGTGCATCCAAAGAGATTTGTTTCTTGAAGGTTGTAAGTGCCGTCAACGCACATGGTACAGTCCCTACCGGTTACCGATGGCTTACAAATACAGTGACCAGTTTTACCATCGCATTCGCCGATGCTTCCAATAACACCGGGTATACTGCAGAAACATTCTAAAAGTGGCCGTGGGAATGGTTAATCGGTATGAATTCAACCATCGAGAGTAAGTGGTAAAAGAAAAAATAGTTTACCTTCGCAACCATCGGGATTGCTGGATTGTAGGTTCCAGAAGAGCTTTTTGCACTTGTTGCAAATTCGGCCTTCGACCCGTTCTTTGCACTGGCAAAGTTCGCCAACGGGTAAACTACCGCAGCCTTGGAAGGTACCAGCGATACCGGCAGGATCGCAGTTGCATCCCTCGCACGTTGGAAAATTGTAGTAATTTTCTTTGCACATGTCGCAGCGATCGCCGTCGAAATTTTCACGACAGTTACACTTGCCCTCGTGATCGCAGGAGACACCGATCGATCCGTGGCTGTCGCAGTTGCAGCCTGAAAAAATTAAGAAAAAATAACGACGAGGTTTTTACATTCCAGGATGTGAATTAATTCTACATAGGCGTTTATACTAACTGGTACAGTCGGGATAATTATAGTAGCCCGGAGCGCATTGGTTGCAGGTCTTGCCAACGAAATTCGACAGACAAGAGCACTTTCCAGTGGCGTCGCAGCTCGTCGCCGTGGAGCCGCTCTTGCTGCAGTTGCACGGTTCGCAATTGGGGAAGCCGAAGTAGCCTGGAAGACATTGGTCGCAGCGGGGTCCGCCGTAGCCTTCCTTGCAAAGACACTGGCCAGTCCCTTTGTCGCACACGCCTGGTTCCGTGCCACGATTGTCGCACTGGCAATCTGACGATGCGAGAAATACGATATTGTACAGATATTATTTCATAGAATCCCTCTCGTATTATTTTATACTTACACGTGCAATGAGGATAATTGTAATATCCGTCCTCGCACATGTCGCATTTGCGACCGCCGTAATTGTTTTTGCACGTGCAGTTTCCGGAAATGACGTCGCAAACGTTGTTGAGCGAGCCAGTTGGGTTACACTCGCAAGCTGAAATCGGAACAATTGATAACGATTGAATTTTCTGCCGAATAAATATGCTATTCATGTATAATAATATTGAAAGCGTGAAATTCTGTACCGAAACAATCGGGAAAGCCATAATATTCTTCGGCGCAGATGTCACAGTAATGGCCAGCGAAGTTATCTTTGCAAGAGCACACGCCGTTAATAGCTTCACATTGATCCCCATCGGTAGCGTTGAGAACGCAATCGCAGGGTCGGCAGTTGGGGAAGCCGTAGTAACCGTAGCTGCAGGAATCACAGTTGGGAGCTGTGTACTCCTTGGAGCACTCGCATTTGCCGTCTCCATCGAAGCAGTTACCGGTCGAGTTTGAGAAGTTACAGTTACAAGCTGAAAGATAATGTCAGTCTGACATTTTATCTGAAAAATTGACTTTTACTGTATCAGGTGGCTAGACTTACGCTGACAGACGTCGGTGGCGTTGATAGCTTTGTCATGAGGTCGATAAAACTTGGGTTTGCAGCGGTTGCAATTGATGCCCTCGGTGTTGTGTTTACAGTTCTTGCATCTACCACCGCCCTCGTAGTTACCGTGCATGTCAAGGGACAAATGTTTCTCATCGATTTCGGGATCGTACTCGCACTCGTCCGAATGGCCGAAGCAATTGCACGCTGTGAACAGGATAATCTTGTTACTGCGCGCACGATTCTCCGATTTTTTTAATTATATTTTTTCCTCTAACGTCAACACTCACGCTCGCAGACGAATTTTTTTGAGTAGGTCGACTGTCGCCACTTTTTCTGCTCGAATCCCTTGCAGCAGGTGTCGCACTGCGCTCCGCAAGTATTATGTTGACAGCGACAAAATAGTTCCTTGGGCGATTCTGGATTCAACGAGTCGCAGGTATCCGCATGGCCGTTACAGAAGCAACGACCCCCGATACTGATGTCTTTGATCGAGTAGAAGTACTGAAAAATGTTGATATCATACAATGATGTAAGTGAGCGTCGAGAACAAATGGAAAGAAAAACCTGCAACAGCTGCCTATACTCACGCGTCTGGTAACAGTTGGATCCTGACGTTTCACCGACATTAGATGGCCAAGAAGATTTTTTGTCTTCAAAAAACGGAATCTAACGTTCGTAGCCCTGGTCCACTCTTGAAGGATGGTCGAGTTGAAGTAGTGCTTGGCCGAGGGACGATTGTTGAGAATGGATACCGGTATCTCACCTCCCTCGAGCGGCACGATCTTGGAGTATTCTGTGGTGCAGATGACGGAATCATCGCGGCTTATCGGAGCGTGACTGTTGATGCCAAAGTATGTCTGACAATCGCTATCGGAGCCGGAAAAGTATTGCCACGGTGACCAAGTTTTACCAAAGTCTTTCGACTTTTCCAGAATCCATAAATCCGGCCGAGGGGAATTGCCCATGCGTATGTAAACGTAGGCAACGTGAAATTCCTATCAAAACATGACATCGATCAGTTATGCATTCGACTTATTTTTTCACACTTTGTGCCTCAAATTCATTATTTTTATGTAATCAAGAAAGGATCTAATTATTCCCTTTAGCTCTATTATTCAAAGATTTATTGTTTAAATAAAAATATTGTTTTACTAACATTAAATATAAATTCAAGTATTCGGGAAGCTGAAAAAAATTTCTTTTACTTCAGAAAAGTTGCAATGTCTTGGAAAAAAGTTGCTTCATGAGATATAGCGTGTGAATAACGAATTCACTTTCAAGACTTTGCCTTGAAGTAAAGCACGTGCGAAAGATCCGTAGTTAGCACTATTCATGCTTTCTCAAAGCTCGTGTGTTGAAAAAGTGCCTCGCTAACGAAATATGTTTGAGAATAATAGTTGGGACAGCTCGTTTAAAAGCTAAAATATCATTTTGCTATTTTACCGAATATTCTCTGAAATCAGAAAATGTGCACGGGTTAAACTAGCACGAGCGAATAAAGCGGAAATAAAAAATTTAATCATAGCAGTTTGCCCATTGGCTTCTGTATCGTTTCACAATATACATAGCTCAAGTGTAAGCGCTTAAAGCGTAAGCGCTCCATTTGAGTCTGAAAATAGATCTCGCGTTAAAACTCTAAAAATGATTTCCCATATCAATGAGCAGGCACACGTCCCTGTTCAACGATAGGCAGAACTTAGCCACCGCCTTAATCGAGACAAAGAACTATGCTCGGAAATACCCGACTCCCTCGTTTTTAGGTAATATAGAAGTAGACGCCTGTGTACGTATATACACGCACATTTTTTACTGCTGTCTCTCCCTCTCATCGCACCACATGTCTCGCAAACAGCAGCAGCTAAACGCAAAGCCCAAAGCTCTAGAGAGATGAAGGAATTTCGCTGAGATTTTCAAAGCTGTTTTATTTCGCAACAAGAGCTTACTTTGTTCGAGTACTATCGCATCGGCGAATGAAGCATTTCAATAAATTTTCATCGAAACGATTAAGATGCGCGAGAGGCTAAGAAGAAAATAAAGTCAACGATTTATCATTGTCGGTAGCATGAAGATATCGGCATTTATATAGAGGAGTAAACGCGTGTATACGTGCGCATGTGAAAAGGCGATTCGCTTCGCGATGAACCATCTATTCCGAGACGTAAGAGCGATAAAAGGGTTGAATACGATATCGGCCGCGCTTGGCTCGCATCCGTCCGCGATGGCTGTGAATGAAGATAAGACGACCCGCCGTCGCACAGGAAATCGTTAAGCTATTTTCGCGTTTCGTTACATGTTTTTACCGTAAAAGCTCCGATGAAAATTCCTGATAAATTCTGGATCATTTTTCAAATTCATGTAACGTTTGAATTACCTGTCCAAGATTAATGGTGAGGTTGACCTCCTCGTATCTTTTGCCTCTTGAGAGAGGTGGCGATTGCCACCAAGTCGGCAAGCCATCAACAGCATACTCCGCAGGATGTTTCTTTTCTTCGTCGTTTGGATCACAGTAGTCGCATTGCTGCAAGAAATCCATTTTTGTGTTAAATATGAAATTCATTTACTCATTTTGCAATACATTTTTGAATAAATTCAAAGAGAGTTCAACTTTTAAGAGGTCATGCTTTTCAAAACGAAAATTTATCGACAAGCTGTAAGATACACGGGAGAGATATTTTTGTCCCTCGTTTGCGCTATCATCAAATATCACGAGTGGCCAATCGGAGATGAGTGAAGAGCTCGTAGAATTGGAAATAATATTTCCATGTGTGCTTGCGATATTAGAGATGACGAAGAAATTGTGACAATCGCGAGTATTATATTACGCTGATAAATCAGCATTCTCTTTGAATACAAAAAGCAATAATTACACTCAGCAGGGCAACATTTTTTATACTGCTTATTCTCTTGTTATATTTCTATCGTTTATAACTGAGTTGAATATCAACATTAAATTGAATTTTATTTTATTTAAATTTTCGACGAAACTTTTTATTCTAATATTATAATAAATGAGAGAATTTTCAGATTTTTTCAAATGATATTTAAAACCCCTCCAAAAATATCCGATTGGCCATGAGTATGAATATATTTGAAAAAAAAAGTTATTGATGACAAATCAAGCACTACTATGAAATTTGTTCTGAAAATTAACTCTCATGGTGGGATATACATTGAGTCGATACAGGCGAGCTTCAAAAGTTCATGTGTTTCTTATTATAGACCGTCATAAATTTAGCGAAACTACGCGCTCAACACTTATGCTTTGTCTCACCACATGTGCAAGATCGCTTGATAGAACAAAGAAACTTTTTTCATTGCTTTTTTCATTGTGGCGAAAAAACATGAAAAAGTAAATATTTACAGAAAATTATGAATAAAAAACATACCTGTCCCTGAATAATGTTTTCATGGTGATTGGGTTCCTGGTCGGAGTTGGCACCAACGAGCTGACAGTACAACTCGGGTTCGGGGGTATCGACACCACAGGTTGCTGTGGCAAAGATCTCCTTACCCTCGGCCAAGTTGAAGTACGGCGGCGTCAAAATTTCTGCGTGCACTCGAGCGCATTGCAGCAACAGCAGAGCTGCTAAAATTTGCGTAGCTACTTTGCACCTCCCCATTCTCACGTGCGAATTATCTTTAATGTTTTTAGTCTACCATTCGCGAATCCAATGGTTGCAAAGATTTATTAAAAAAAAGATTATACAAAAAAAAATTAAGCTAACTGAATATTTGCGTCAATTTTCTTGGTCGCCGGCGCGTTGCGCGCTACGGGGAAGCGCTCGTTTTTGGCCGGCTCCTCGTGGCTCACTGATCAGACCATCCAGACCGGCAAACATCTAACTATTCGCCTACAGCAGTAGTCGCACATGTGTGTATGTGTGCGTGGATTCTTCTTCTCTCCCTCTTTTTGCTCTAAGTTAAAATGTGCGATGTAAGTAGTTGGCGCAACGAAGAGGGCAAAAGACCGAATATAATAGCTTTCGTGCCAATCTTTTCTCCAGCTCTTCTCTTTCTTTCCTTCTTCTCTATGTACAGAATCCCAAACATATAACAGTCGACCCACGATCGAATACATAACACATTTTCTTTGTGAATTCATTCAACTGGTTCAAAATTCAAAAAGTTTTGCACTCGAGTACATTCTTCACATATGATCATGTGAAGTATCAAAATTTTGAAAATACCGAAACGAGTATTTTAATATCTTTTTTGGGATTATGGGATTTCATTAAAATTTTAATAAATATTCATCGCAATAAATATCACTATTTTTTACTTGATAATAATTGTTCTTCATAATAGTTTTATTTCTGCCTTCACTGGGAAAAAATGAATGTTCGTCAATGGAAAAATATTGTCTTAAAAATATTTTATTTCAGTTATAAAAGTTTTCAATTTTGCATAGCTAGAATAAAAATAGTAATATTCTAACAACGAATAATATTTATTTTTATAAAAGGAGAAAGTTTTCCTTCGTTCCTATTTTTTTTTTTTTTTGTATCACAGCCACCAAAATTATTTAAAGCTAATAAAATTATATCTGTATTTACAATTATTACTTGCGGTTGTTGTTGAATTTTAACAATGAGTAGTGATGGCCAGTGTTATTTAATTCATTTGTATTGATATTTTCTAGTGAAGTGTGGATGAAAATTATTTTAAAAGATATCTAAAAAATAGTTGAATAGCTTGTTTAACCGACCTCTTATTCTATTTCCCAAGGGACCATAAGTAAGGTTTGTCATAATTTTTACTCAACATCGCATTAATTATTTACATGGAATCGAACTTAAATATCGGTTTTTGACATCTAAACTATACGTTTCAACTTTTTCTGTGGAAATTTCAATTTTTAATACTAATTATTGATTGAATATTCAAACAAGAGCGAAAATTGGGACGGAGTCCGTAGTACAAAATAATTTTGATTGTCTCACAGTCGGCGTGATACGACTAATGTGTAAACATATTGGTAACCAAGATTTTCAGTTTTTCTTTCTAATTAGATGGTCAAAATTTGCCATTTTTGTTTTATTATTGTTTTCAACATTATTTTAACAAAAAAGATAAATATTTCGTAGAGTATTTACAACAAAAAATTACGATTTTTAATCTTTTTTAAAATCGTAAAGTTTATAAGAAAAAAAGGTCAAAGAATCAAAAATTATAGACTTACTTAATTACATTTATTTCAATGCTTTGAAATCCTGTGTTTCAGTATTACTTATCTTGGCGAACGATTATTTAATTTTGCCGCGAGGCACCACTTCACTCACAGACACCAGTCTCACAACTTATAATTCAACGATCAGATGAATTTAATCGATACCAAAGAAATCGATGTTACCGATCATAATATAAACAGTCAATCTAGCGCGTAAACAAGTTTCTGATGTCAGTTCCTGCAGTTGCATGTATAAACTTGAAAATTTTTCATAAAAAATAAACGGAATTCGGCAAATAAAAAAGCTTTAATGAGTTTACTATTATGGCATTACGCAATAAAAAAAAGTCAGCTTGGGCTGATCAACGGAAAGAGCTTTTGTATGCGATGGATTGGGTAAGTTACTTTACTTTTAGATTTTTCATTGTTGCTATGTTTATTTACTATCAATATTTCTTTTTAAGAGTGATTACATGACAGCTAAAAAAGCCAAACTTGAAGAACAATTTCAAGAAGCAGCTCAATCTGAATTCGCTGAACCAACCTCCAACATTTTTAATGGAATAGCAATTTTTGTTAATGGATATACTAATCCTACGGCAGATGAATTAAAACGTTTGATGATGGACCATGGTGGAATTTATCATCATTATTTGAGATCTAAAACTACTACTCATATGATTGCTTCAAATTTACCTTACACAAAAATAGTATCTTACAGAAAAGCTCAAAATCCTTTGCCACTTTGCAAACCTGAATGGATAACAGACAGTATCAAGGCAGGAAAATTACTTGATTATAGAAAATATCTTCTTTATTCACAGTGTACAGAATCTCAACCATCACTTTTTCAAATGGCAAAGCAAACTAAAGTTCAGGACCATATCACCAACAATCCAAAATCATCTACTTCGACTTCTTACAATACCAAAACAAATTTAAAAGTAACAAACATTCATAACAAAATGTCAGATAATGTAGAAAAGTCTTCAGAAGAGGTAAATAGTACAAAAAATCCTGAGTTTATAACGGAATTTTACAATAACTCTCGTCTGCATCATATTGCTACCATGGGTGCAATGTTTAAAGATTACATTAATGAGTTAAGAGATGCCAGTGATGGAAAATTTCCAGGCTTAGAAGCTTTGAAAAAACAATCAAGTTGCAATAAAAATGATAAAGTTATTTTATATAATACATTAAATAATTCAGACTCTGAAGAAGATCTTTTTGATGATTACAGTAAACCTAAAATAAAATCTAAAGTATCATTATCTTCAAATACAATTACAACAATAATGCACATAGATATGGATTGTTTTTTTGTATCAGTAGGTTTACGCAAACACCCAGAATTAAAAGGATTTCCAATAGCTGTTGCCCATGCTAAAGGGAATAAGCAGGGTTCATCCAATGATGAAATTGAATCTATGTCAGAAGTAGCGTCATGTTCATATGAAGCTAGAAAAGCTGGTATCAAAAATGGAATGTTCTTAGGAAAAGCTTTAAAATTATGTCCAAATTTGAAAACTATTCGATATGATTTTGAAGCCTATAAAGAAGTTTCACAAATTTTATACAATACAATTGCGTCTTATACTTTAGATATAGAAGCTGTAAGCTGTGATGAAATGTATGTGGATTGTAGTAAAATTTTACAAGAAACAAATTTAACACCAATGGAATTTGCAACTGTGATAAGAAATCAAATAAAAGAAAAAACTGGTTGCACAGTTTCAACAGGTTTTGGAGAAAATAAACTACAAGCAAGAATCGCTACTAAAAAAGCTAAGCCTAATGGCCAATACTTTTTACATGGAAATGAAGTCAGATCTGTTATTCGAAACTTAAGTGTTAAAGATTTACCAGGTAAAATATCATTTTAATAATATGAAAATAGACTTGAATTTCTCTTATTTGAAAGTTTTTTTGTATAGGTGTGGGTTACTCAATAAGTGATAAACTTAGTCAATTGAATGTTAAAACTTGCGGAGATTTAGAAGTAATTCCTGTCCATGTATTACAAAAAGAGTTTGGAAAAAAAACTGGTCAACAATTATATAACATGTGTCGAGGAATAGATAACAGTAAATTAAATTTGGAACATGTAAGAAAGTCTGTTTCTGCTGAGGTAAATTATGGTATAAGATTTAAAGATACAAATTCAGCTCATACATTTCTTAAAAAACTGAGTGAAGAAGTCAGTGATAGATTGAAGAAAAATAATTGCAAAGGAAAATGTGTTACTTTAAAAGTAATGTTCAAATCAAAAGAGGCTCCAGAGCCAAGAAAATTCATGGGACATGGTATATGTGACACTTTTAACAAATCTAAGAATCTTATCGCACATACTGATGATTCTGTAATTATTGCAAGGTAAAATAAAAAACGTGCATACTATTTTTAAGTATATACTTTTATCTTTTAATCTATCAAACAAAAATGTTTTTATCTTAAACTTGGAACATTTCTAGAGAAACTATAAATCTTTGGAATCAATTTAATCAGAATCCTGAGGATGCAAGAGGTATAGGAATTCAAATTTCAAAACTTGAATCAAAACTAAAACCCAGTGGTCCTACTCTAGAAACATATTTCAATAAAATGGAAGTAAAAAATGTTCCTGCATCAACTTCTTTGAACCATAATAAATTGAGTAATAACAGTACATCAAAAATACAAAAAGTAAATATCAGGGAAGTTACTAATAATGAACACGAAACAAATAATACTAATACAAAATCTGATACAATAAAAGAACAACAAAAGTTCTTAGAAAAACAGATATTAAATAAAATGAACATGAACAGATGTAGTTATGAAAATCCAAACAAACAAGAGAAACAAGAAACCAAGTTGGAAAACATTGTTGCAACTAGGAATATCTCAGAGAATAAACCTGTAGCGAATTCAAGTTCAAATACTTCAAGTCAACTTAAACAAATGACTCACTTACAATATTTTAAACAAAAAAAACCAAATAATAAGGTTGGTAAAATGAAGTTACCAGATATTAAAGAAATTGATTTGAAAGTACTGATCGAATTACCAGTAGATATAAGAAATGAAATAATAGATCAATATAAAGAAAATAATGAAAATGAAAATTCTGATGAAATTTTACAACAGGAATCTACAATTCATGATTCAAAACAAAATGAAAATGTTGAATGTAATAATCCTAATGAAACTTTAATAATTAATAAGGATATTGGTTTTTCCCAAGTTGATCCAGAATACTTAGCAGCTTTACCAGATGATATTAAAAATGAAGTCAAATCATATTGCGATGCCAAAAAGAAATCGAAACTACCAGTTAAAAATGAAAAGCAAAACATGGTTCTTAAAAGATGGAATATATTCAAACCAGAAAAAAAACCTCTAAAAAATGCAAAAAGAAAAATTAATAATAAAACTAAAATGCAAGGAAAAGTTAAAAAAGAAACAAAATTAATTGTTGAATCATCCACGTCTAAAATATTAAATAAAAATGAAACAAATGCGGATATACCTCAACAGGAAAGTCAAACTTCAAAGTCAACTTTAAATGCAACTGTTTATTTTGATCCATCATATGGAATTAAAGAACATAATGAAATATTGACAGATCTTGTACGATGTCTACTTGATTTACCAATAGAAAATGTAAGTTTTAAACGGTTTCTTTGTTGAAAATATTTTAATAAAAATTTTAAATATTAAAATAATTTTCTTTCAGGTAAGAATGCAAATAAAACAGTGGGTAATTAGTAATTCAGAAATCAATGATGTGGATTTTTTATCTTTCACTACTTACCTAGGCACTTTACCAAAGAAAAAACGGCTTTCGGATCTTCATACTCTTCTAGAGTCATTACACATGTAATTTTCAATAATTTAAAATACCACCACAGAGCTATTTTTCATACCTTGTTGCTCGAAAATAACATTTTCCGTTCTGCACAGCGTCAGGAAAAAGCTACTTTTGAGTCATTAGTTAGTATTAAATATTATATTGCTGCCCTAGGTCATGAAAAAAAGAAAAGTTCTAGGGCATGTGTAATTATAATGGCTGAAGCAAAGCCGAGTTATCTAGCAGAGATATCCTTTTTCTATTTTTCTTGTTTTTGAATCGCAGCGGGAGGGTAAAGGTCACTTTCGGGCAGCTAGTATGAAAAATTATAGCTTAATTTATTCTTTATAATTAATTAATTAATACTAAAGGGTATTAAAAATTTGATTTAAATTCATTCCAGGTATATATCAAAATCGACTTTTTGCCAATGGCATAAGGCATATAAAAAAATGGTGAAGCATATTCAAGTCCGAATGTTATCTGAATATGGTTATCCTTTAATGGTACCTACCTACATTGACTGTATGAAGTGCACTTAATATAAATGTGATATTAGTATTTAGTTTTTATGAATAAGTGAAAATATTTTTAAAAAATTTTCTGTTCAATTTCGAACAATTTTCTAGAATTATCAAGGATTTTTTTAAGGAAAAAGTTGCAATACATTGAAAATAATAAAAGGTGCTACAATACAAATTTTAAAAATTTTATTTAAAAATTATCTTAAAATTTTTTCTGAACAGTTGGTCGAATTATTCAGCAACAAAAAAGTTTAAACATGATATTATATTTATTTTATTGCTTTTATTGAATTTCAAATTCAGTATGTGCAGCGCCGGATCGCCGATGCCAGCTTACTAGTGAGCAATCCTCCCCTCTTTCTCTCCCCCCCCCCCCCCCCCCCCCCCNCCCCCCCCGGTGTTTGAGCGAATACGATATAAACGATATATGTTGTCTGTTGGTTATACATACAGTACTTGTACACCTAGCCTATAATAAAAAAATTAGTTTTTTACTAGAATTCAGACAATCTGAGCGTGAACAGTATCATTACTATAATTTAATTCATCTGTATTGATTCAAAACCAAACATCGAAAACAATAATGGAAACTATTTTAGAACAAATGCGTCGTCGTCACGAAGAACGTGAACGTTTAACCGACGCTATGGTTAAAGAAAAGCTAAAGCTTCTGAAAAAACCTAGTCACAGAGAAACAATCAATTCGGAACATCGCTTAAAATTACTCCTCGACCAGTACATGGACAGCTCACAGAGCTTGTTAGAATTGTATGAAGACAAAGATGGGCAAAGGAAGGAAGAGGTAAAATGATTATTGTAATATTTGACACTAACTCAGCAGGCAAACATCTGACTTACACTGACATATTATTCATAAATTTTATTTTTTAATTATTATCAGTATACTGATTTTTATTTGCTTTAATTTTCAGATTCAAGCTCTCTCCGGACCAAATGAGTTTACAGAGTTTTACAATCGTCTGGAAAGTATCAAAGAGTTTCATCGCAAACACCCTAATGAAATTAGTGTACCCATGTCAGTAGAATTTGAAGAATTAGCTAGGCTTAGAGATAACCCAACTGAAGAAAATGCAAATCTTATAGACTTTACTGATGAAGAGGGATATGGAAAATATTTGGATCTACATGAGTGCTATGAAAAATACATCAATTTGAAGGGTGTTGAAAAAGTTGATTATATTACGTATTTAACAATATTTGATCATTTATTTGATATTCCTAAAGATAAGAAGAATGCAGAATACAAAAAATATGTTGAAGCTCTGCTTGAGTACCTCATGGACTTTTTAAGCAGAGTTAGACCTCTTCATGATGTAACCAATGACTTACAAGAAGCAAATAAAGAATTTTTATCGCAATGGGAACAAAATACTTTTCCTGGTTGGCCAAAAGAAGCTGAAAGTGCTTTAACAAATATTGGAGCACATTTAGATCTTTCAGCTTTTTCATCATGGGAAGAACTAGCATCTTTAGGTCTTGACAGATTGAAATCAGCACTGTTGGCTTTAGGTTTAAAATGTGGTGGTACATTGGAAGAAAGAGCTCAAAGGTTATTTAGCACTAAGGGAGAAGCATCTTTAGATCCGAATCTCTTGGCTAAAAAGAAGCAAAGACGACAAGGAAAAATGAAAAATGCGGAAAAACAAATGGAAATTGCATGCTTAGAAGCACAAGTGTATAAACTTGCTGAATTGGTTTCAAGCCAAAGAACAGCTACAAAAGAAAATGTGCAACGTAAACAAGCTCGTACAGAAGGAGAACGAGGTGATTCTGATGTTGAGGCCAGTGCAAGTGAGTCTGAAGAAGAAGATGATAGTGATATTCCCTACAATCCAAAGAATTTACCTCTAGGTTGGGATGGAAAACCTATTCCTTATTGGTTGTACAAATTGCATGGATTAAACATAAGCTACAATTGTGAAATTTGCGGTAACTTTATGTACAAAGGACCAAAAGCATTCCAGCGTCACTTTGCTGAATGGAGACATGCTCATGGCATGCGATGTCTAGGCATTCCTAATACTGCCCACTTTGCCAATGTGACACAAATTGAAGATGCTCTTGCATTGTGGGAAAAATTAAAATTACAAAAGCAAACTGAAAGGTGGCAACCAGAACAAGAAGAAGAATTTGAAGATTCTCTTGGTAATGTGGTCAATAGAAAAACATATGAAGATTTAAAAAGACAAGGACTATTGTAAATGTCATTTCATTAGACAGCAACTTATAATAATGTATTAAATAATATAAAAAAAAAATACCTCTTGAAATGCTCTTTTAAGGCAAGCAAGTTTAAGTTCATATAATTCTATTATTCAAGTTTTATTATTAAATAGAATTAAGGCGTTATAGCAAAAATAGTTGTAAATAGTATGACAATAAACTATAATCTTAATCATGATATTTTTCATCATTTTATTGCTCTATACAATTATGCAATTTAAAAATTAAGAATTATTGTACAAGGTATAATTATTTACATTTTGTACATTAATATCAAAACAAACACTTGAAGCTACAAAAAATTAGTTGAATATCTTGATTTATGCATCGTCTAGAACTGGTCTATTTGTTTCTTCTAATTTATTTTCAGATTTAGGAAGAAGAGCTTTTTGTACTTCACCAATTTGAAGTCGTTCTCTTGCTAAATCAGTTCTGCATTTTGTAAAATAACCAAAAGTTACAGCCATAAATGAAACAAAACCCACATGAGATGACATTTTAGGTTTGCTGGTAAATAAAAATGTGAGAAGGCTAACACCAACGTAAGATGATATAGAATATAAAAAAGTAGTTCTGAAGCACGGAATTTGGAAAAGATCTCGACCAAATATTACTAACGATGCCCGCTTCGGTTCTTCATCCAATGCACCTTCTGCAATTGAAAAATTTTTTTTACTGTGCAACATAATCTTTTATTCTTTATGCAGTTTATAAGGTTTGATCATCTACCTATTTTGATTGTATCAGATGGTTTGGCCATTTTTGAAAGAAAATTGATAAAACTTCTTGAAGGTTTCCTTATATTTTAAAGATTTATTTTGAGCGACTACTATATGTCGCGTGTAGCAGAAACCGCAATTATTCTATGTTCATATTATGATTATGGCGCAATTCTATCATTATTTTGCTCATATTGCGCAGATCAAGTATTTGTACTTTCAAAACAGCTGATTTTAGAGTTAAACTTCTATCAAAACTATGTGAAAGATTGATTAGCTTTTATTAAATTAGTATGAATAAGATTATTAATAAGTGTCATGAACGAAGTGTAATCTAAATTTAACTTTTTAACTAAAACAATTAATTTTAAAAACTACGTTGGATTTGAGTTTATCTGTATAATAAACATTTTTAACCTTAAAGAAATTTCAAAATTTTTGTTTATGTTGATGTGAAATTCATGAAAGTATCGTCAAAATAAAGATGCCTGATGAAGAAATAGAAAACAGAGCGGAGGTTGATGGAATTGTAGGACACGACACACCTACGGATCGTAAGTCAATATAAATAAACTGCCATCTAAATTTTTATTTTATGTTTATTTTTTACTTATTCATAATTAAGCTTTAAAAGTTTATTTTTACTCTACTTATTCAAGAACTTACAGAATATCAGTCAGAAGTTAATTGTATATTATGTACAAAACCATTGTGTTAAAACAAAGTACTTTATTTGATACATAAATGATTTTTCTGCTCAATATTTTGTATTCATAATTCATAATGCACAGCACTTATTTTACTTTTTGACTTGAAATACTAGATATTTATTTTTTGTTATACAATTATTTTCGTTTTATGTGCAGAAATTTTTTTCATGTATCTGAGACTCATGACTTAAAAAATTTAGATAAAGTTGCATTAAAAAATTATGTTTTTTATAATGTCTCTTATCTAACGTAATTCATAAATATTTGCATGCATGCTATCTTTTATAAAAAATAATATTTCTTATAAAAATCATTTTAAATCATAAAAAATTTGTTATAAAGTTGCCCAACTGGGAAATTCGTGTAATCCAAAGCTATATACTCCCCAAGTAGCAAATGTCCCCACTGTAAATATTGCTGTTATAATACTAGGTCCAAATCCAGCAATAATCAAGTTCTTTGTAGGAATTTTTCCAGCAGCACTAACAATTGCATTCGGTGGTGTACCTACTGGAAGATGAAATGAAAATGAACAGCCAAGTGTTGCAGGTACCATCAAATACAATGGATGGATTTTGATAGCAACACACTGTAATGTTACATTAATAAATCACTTGACTATTTATTACTTTCATTTGCTATCTCAAGCTGTTGCAAGAGATAGCATTTATATAAAAATATAAAAAATACATAGCTCACCATTTCTGCTAAGACAGGCAAAATAATATTAGCTACTGCTACATTTGATGTGAGTTCAGTAGCTGTTTCACAGAATATAAAAACAATTATCATGATCCAAATAGGATTCATACTTTTCAGTCCACTCAAGGCCTCTCCAAGCATTCTTGATAAACCAGAATTTTGACTACCAGCTGCTATGGCAAAACCACCCCCAAGAACAAACATTAATCCCCAGTGCATTTTTTCATTGATTATTTTCCAGCTGATCAAAGCTGGTGCAGGTTTGATAGGACGTCGATCTGGATCAGAACTGAAAGCCCGGAAAAAATCTAAGCGTGCTGGTATGATAAACAACAGAATTATCAAACCAATTGCCGCTGTTGAGTCTTTCACTTCTCTATAAAACAAAAAAAAACAATTTTATTAAAAGAAAAATATTAATGATAATTTTTTATTGTTGTTGAACGTACTGATTGGTAATAAAAATTGGCCAACCAAGAATAAAATCAGGTTTCCGGAAAAACCACAGTAACACTATCAAAATAAAAAGAAATGCGATAGATCCTTCATGCCAACTGACTGGTCCCAATTCTTTGTACTTGCTGTCGATGACTCGAGCAGCAATACGTTCGCCTTCCTCGCCAATGTTAACAGCCTTGGCATCTTTGCTATTTTTGCGAAACAGACCCATAAAAAGTACTTGCAGCCAAAGCCAGGTCAGTACGCCTATGACGAGCATCGCTGGCACTGCGTATACCATCCAAGCAGCGAAATTGAGACCTGGACCCTTAGAAAATCGTCTAATAAGAAGAAAAAAATGTCCTTAATTGAGATATTCAATCGCTATTGTCATGATAAAAGCGTCGATCTGTACTTACGCTTCGTATAATCCTTTCATTGTGAGGTTCGTACCACTACCCACAAGTGTACCGATTCCACCTATTGACGAGGCGTACGCTGCACCCATGTAGTACGACATTGTCAGCTTTGTTGGTTTCTTTTTTCTGTTGAAATGGATTGAATGTATAAAATGTCATTCTGACGATAAATTTATTATGATTTAAAATAATCATTTACTCACGGTTCCGATTCTTCTTCGTCCTTTTCTTCTTCGAACATTTTTCCTAACCCTTGCTGAAAATCACCGCGAAGAAAAGGTCATCGTTAATACGAATATCGGAATTTTTCATCAAATAAAGAAAAAACTACTCATTAATATATAAGTATCGTACTGTTTCCAATTCCGTAAGAACTTTTTTGACGATCGGCAGCATCATAGCCGTAGCAGCAGTGTTGGATATCCACATTGAAATAAACATTGTCACAACAAACAAGCCCAAACTCAATCTGTGTATAAAGTCATGTGAAAATAAAAAATACTGTATGTGGGTAATTTGGCGTGAAAAAAAACATACTTTCGATGACTGCAGCCAATAATCCTGATAATAATCAGGGCAACCCTCATGTGCACGCCAGAATGCTCGATCGCTACCGCGATTACCAGGCTTCCTACAAACATCATCGTTGTGTCGTTAATATAACATTTACACGTGTCCGACGTGCTCATTACACCCAAGAGCGGATAGAGGAAAATCGGTATGAGGCCGGTGACCGGTAATGGCAGAACCTCCGTGACCCAGTACATCGCCATCACGCCTACTGTGTATAAACATCGGTACATCTGTAAGTGTAGGCAATAAAAATATCATATAGGTAAATTCATTAAAATCAGCTGATTCCTTTACCGATTTACATGTGCATACATTTATCCACGTGCTTTTATGACTTGCATATATATGGCACGATATTTATCTTTTTAACTAAAGATAAAGTCAAGCATTTTTCTCAATAGATCGACTCCCAGTGCTATTCATATTGTTTAGACGAATCTATACGTAACATTGCGCGCAATTGAGCAGCGTATGTATATTATTACTCGCTGACCCTACATGTACTGACATGTGTTTTACAAGGAATTTTCTCATGCTTTACAACGTCGATCAAGATTATCTCTTGCGTCTGCGTGAATATATATGTTCGTGTGACGCGAAAGCAACTTGTGTTATACATGTTATGACTATATAGACGAGAAAAAAGACCATTTCAGAAGCCGAGCAATGAACGATCGTATCTCATTCTTTGTAAATTTTGGTATCTCAAACCTCACGACAAGCGAATGCATACAACGAGGCTGTTTTTTTTCATCCTAACGCGTACAATTTATGAAATTCCATTTAAATGCAGTATTTTTTATACTGTTTTTATTCAACAATAACACTCGATCGATAACAATAGCAATGAAAAATCGGCTCTAGATAAAAATTAACTGCATATCTGGTTTTTACCAACGTTTGTTTCTGAAATGCGGAAGTTAATACAATGATTCGTAATGCTTTAGTGTTACTGCAATGTTTTTAACAAAGAGTAATTGAAAGCAATCGTGCATTCAAGGAATGAATAAAAAATTTCCACTTCATATTAGTTAAAACTATTGCGATATTTACCGTGTGATCTGTGTATATTAGCAGTGGTAGCAAAACAATAGGCCATAGTACGATTATAATCGATTTCCAATAGATCATAACGAAGTTCCCCAATAACTCGAAGAAATTGGCATTTCTTGCTGTAATCCTTGGTGTCCTTTTATCGGTTCTAGCAATCCTTTAAAATATCACAAAAATGATGTATCAGTTGTCTTAAAAATAAGTTAAAATTTACTCAAAGTCCTTAATTATAATTGATACGATTTTTTTAAAGTACAGATCTTATCAGACAAATTAGATCTTTACAAAAAAGGTAAAATGAATGTTTAGCATCACTGAATTTTTAATTCACACTGTGAAATTGCCTAATCATTATTACTGATGCATAGTAATATCTAATTGTAACAGAATTGAATATGGAACATTTACTAACCCTTTTATATCCGATTCAACATCTACACTGATTCCATTAATTTGTTTTTGATCCATTTTTATCTCTTCTGGATCAGTCATTGTACCCTTAAATTGATATAAAGCCAAAGAGATCGGCATTTTTAATATAATGTGTTATTAATGTAGACTAAATTATCGAATATAGAGAAAAATGACGAAATTAATGGTAAATTAAGTTAGAATTTAAAATGAAGTATTATTTAACGCGGTACAATTATGAATTCGATGATTGAGGAATAAAGTTGGCATTGATGTGTGTAATACATGAATACAAGCTTCAAGACTCTTCCTTTTATTATTTCAAACACTAAAACATCTATGGGCAACGTATGTAAGCACTATCTGTAAATAATTGTGTCATTCATCACTTACGAGGTTTGATCGATGAATTGTATCTTTTGACAAGTTTTTCTGTTGCGGTAATAGTTATTTTTCATAAATATTTTCATTTCAATGATTTGCGACATTAAATTATCAAAATATATTAAGTTTGCATTCTATTAAACTATGTATAAACGCATTGAATATGAATAGAAATTTTGAATATAAAATAACCCGCATATTTACGTAGTAAAAAAGAAATTTCGTTCAAAAAACTCATCTACGATGTGACTTACCGTTACTAACATACTTGTACTAATTTTTTCGTCAGTGATCACTATTTTTTTTTCTTTAATACACACTTTTTAAACTATTTCCTCAAGGCACCGAAATTCACTGAATCAACAGGGTTTGTGCTTTCGAATTCTGGATTGATTTGATATATCCGTTTACCATACCAAATCGACCAATGTAAACCAAAAAATATGATTATGAAAGATATTTTAGATGAAAGAAAGTATAGAGAAGCTCGAATAGTGTGTTATTTGCGTATGTGTGCTTGTGTGTATGTCGCGGTATACAGCCTAAGAGCTTCGGTCGTTAAACTATGTGTTCGTTATACTCGTCGCCGGAGCATTGTATTCCGCGCGTAAAACGAACCACTGATGCGCGTACAGCGATCCCTACTACTATACTACTTGCTCATTCAAAGACGCATTACAATACCACTCACTTTCGTGCCTCTATGAACATATGACGATATACATGGCGTCAATTTAATTCGACTCTTAAAGTCGGCGAAACGTTCGACAGATACACCACTATTTATACATATTTGAATCTGTACCATTTATCTGAAAAATTATAGCTGGATTAACCCGCTTGAATGATATTTAATCTATGAAGGGACTTAAGGAAACATTATGTACCTCACAAGGCAAGAGCCTTGTGCGTCTGATATGTTATTTTACTTTGTTTTTGTTCTCTCTCTCTCTCTCTCTCTCTCAAGTAAGCTACATTATCAACAAATTACAATAATATCGTAATAAAAATGTATAGATTGAAGTAATTATTTGTTTGATAACAATGAGAATTCCTCGAAGTCGAGCCTCTATACGGTAATTAAGTGAATTTTTTTTCATTTTTAAAATTTGTCTTACATCATCGTTCGTGCTCATGATGAAGGCAGTGATAATTGCTTGATAAATTCTATCATATTATCGATCACATTCTCTCAATTACACGTCTGAAACTATATCTTCTTTGTGGACATTACCACACCGTGTGAAATTAACAAAAATATAACAATGTACATGATCCGAATTTACTGACTAGCGCAGCCATTAACATATTCATAGAATAGTGTACGTCACGCATCGTTCATAATGTAAATCCAAATGGAATCATGATAAGCTTGTAACGAAGATAAATACATAATATTTACTACGAATTTTCGAAATTATTGCTTTTATCGATTTACAACGTAATTGTTAAAGTTATAAATAAATATAATTCTGTTTCTAAATAACTCTAATAGGCATAAGATATCCATAAAGATGAAATGTTCACTTGACGCTTATTTTATTAATGAACGGAGCATAATACGATGATGACATGTTAGGAACGTCGCCAGAAATATATCGGATACGCTCAACGTTGATCGTATTAAATATGAACTCGACTTTTACCAACAATTTGACCAAGTTGACGAACTTGATATTGTTATATTTAGAAAGTAACAGGCTTTTACAGCAGCCTTCAATATCAGAATCTTAAAGGAGGACATTTGATTCGAGCTCCTTACACTTTTATCCTTGTAAGTGCTCACAAATGAAATTCAAGCAAAAGATGTTTACGTGTGGATGGGAACTGTCTTGGTATCCTTAACATACCGATGATGTAGGTTGTAGACTCTTTTACGAGGGTCTTTCGTTGCGACGCGTAATGCATTTTTGTCGATTCGATTGTGTGACTAAACTTTAACGAGCTTCGATGATGTTATTTAATTGCGATTTGATTCATTCAGAAGTTCAGGCGAGTAATTATCATTAATCTTATGAATAATGCATTAAAAAAATCGTAAGACAGGTTCTCTTAACATTTTTATGCTGGTAAATGCATTTGTTGAAATTGTCTCAAACGTAAATCTTTGCATTTACAATATTCTGTATAATTAAAAAGATAGTGACATTTGATTTAAAAACTTTTTACCATCTCGTTATGATTATTTACTAAGATGCTATTTTCGAAAGATCATTACACGATATGAAACATTCACTGAATTCATCGAAAATCTGGAATATTTAATAAAATTTAAGTTTATCAAAATTAATGTAAAAAAGCATCAAAAATAAAGTGAATGCAATTTTTGAATTAATTTATGATATGTTATAAAATTCGAGTACAAGAAAGCAAACTTTTTAAAATAAATACTCCATACCGTTTCATGAAATTTTTTGTGCGTTGATCAATCAAAGATAAACGGTGGTTTGAAAGTTAAAAAAAGTAAGATTATTATTATTTTTATTAAAACTCGAAACTAAACGCAATGAATGATGAGCATTGAATCAAAAATGAGTATAGTGTTATCCGATCACGCTCTTGCATCGTAAATCAAAACTGTTTGCCGTCGTGGAAACAAAATCCATCACATCTTACACAAAGTCGTTGATCATCGACGATCTATAACACTTGAAAGAACTCACGCGTCACAAATTTCACCAGCGAAAGAGTCGTCGATAGCGTGGAGCTTTAGCATCCCTTCGCGAGCTCGCGAGTCCAAACCTCATGTTAAATTATATTCGGCCTGTAATAAGCACTGCTTTTCGTTATGTATCAATCTCAATAAAAATGACTACGAAGGAAAAAAAGAGGTAAACGTCGCAAGAAAAACCGAGATGCAGCGCGCGCGAGACACAGACAGAGTGCAGCGCTGCGTATACAAAGGCATTCGCGCGCGCGCTCGTGAAAATCGTAAGCGGGCACCTATATTCGACGCCAAACGAATCTACATATACACACGTAGCGCGCATAATGCGTGAGGCTCGACTAGCAGCTAAGCTTTCGAATCCGTTTGCGAATTGCAAAACGAGAAGGGAGCGTGTATTTGTATATGCATTCGTACGCACACGTGCAGACTCGTGCCAGTGTCTGCGTAAGTCTGCGTGCAACGAATTCGACTTGTAATATTCTTGGCCGAAGCGGTGCATTGCCTATATATAATTGTGAGTGTACGCACGAGCTGAGCTTGCGTGCAAGTTTGTTGAATGTCTTTCGCTCTCCCTGTTAAAATGTTGCTGCTATTTCATCCGGCTCGTTCCGGATATACACTCATGGCGGTTCTACAATCCGGATCAAAAATAATTTCTTTTTCAAGTCGAATTTGCGCGTACTTCTCATATCTGCGTTTTGCACTTTTTTCTCATTATTCGTAAAACATTATCAATCTGCTTAACATTTAAATTCACGGTGTATATAGAATATTGGTAAAACATCCAATTCTTAATAAAACTCGCTTGTTGCTTCAGAACGATGCCGAATTTACGCCAGCATATCCTTCGCAGTACTGCTTCTAGGCGTCGGTTTGCCTCTTTGGTGGGAAACCACGGCTGTGCCCCGAGCTCCAGTTAATCATCGAGCCATAAGCGCGCTTCAAGGTGTTGATGTCAGGCTGCACATGCACGTGTTGTTCGGCTGCGCGACCAAAGAGCGCAGCGCCGATCTCGCCGTCGAATTCATGCGGAGGCTAACGCATTCCGGGTCGATCGGTAAGCAAAACTTGACGTTCATCGATTTGTCGCATGATATACGATTAAGTGCTCATTTAGAAAAATTTCAAATTGTTACAGACATTTACAAATTGACCCTAGAGCATTTTAGTTATCAAAATACTTCTATACTAAGAGCTAGATCAGTCGCTGATTTGGATCGATCTATTTCCACGTTCGATCTCAAGCCTGGAGATCTTATGATTTTAGAGGTAAAGCCAGAAGTTCTTGGTAAAGATATCGATGTGTGGGTCACCAACCATCGGGCCATTTATTATTCTGAAAAATCAGGTAAGCTATAAAAGATTCACTTTGAAAATTAGTTAAATTTAAAAATCTGTGCGTTTAAATTCTAGATCGCGGAGTCGTGGCCAAAGTAATTCGTCAATGGATTTATCGGGAACCATCGCTATCACTGACTCGAAATGCTATAATTGAGCCAGAAAAATTCAGCTTGAATCCGGAGAACCGTCAACGTTTTCCTGCTAGTCCAAACTACGATATTCTCCTCACTATCGTCAATCCTCAACCGGAAGAAATGAAAGTCAATTCAAGTATTGCCAACATTGTACCAAGTAAATATTATTTTCCTAATTAGTCGTCTTCATTGTGCTACTGTTTTTTCGTTCAATCGCAATTTTTTGTATAGATTACTTCGAGCCGTTTCTACAGGGATTGAAAGACATCGCTGATTTTTCTGTTAAATCACAATGGCTGTACCTGTTACCACTGGGCGTGAAACCAAAACAATTAGCCGATTCCAGCAAATGGGGTAAACATTATGCTTTGCCAGAAGATGTTTTGCCTCAGATTATTACTCCACTCGAAAAAAAACTCGGTGCGTATAAATTAAATATTTTTTAATGCTTCAAGTTTGCTGCTAAAATTAGGTGAATAATTCGTTAGAGCTTTTTAATCTATTGAGCATTTGGGCAATAGCCAATGTTCAAAATATCAACTAATAAATTCACTCACGGTAATTATTTCTCAAAGTGATCATTGATCTCTAAAGTGATCAACTGATGAAAGTACTCAAATAATTTGCAAAATAATATACAAATAATTAGAAATTCATTTTCAAAGTAAGTTACGATAATATATATAATTATTAATATTTAGTCGAACTTAAATTTGATTGCAGCTTCGCAAGTGAGTCTGCACCCTACGATAAATCTAGTCATGTACATTGTTCCATGTAGCGAAGCACCGCTGTATATATATGACCAAAATGGTCAACGACAAGACGTGGGATCGAGGGCTTTCCATTCACCAAGGTATTAATAATAATCATATAATTTACTTGGTAATTAAATGAAATCGCTAATATTAACGTTCATTTAGATGGGGTGGAATAGTATTAGTCAACCCGTCTTATGAATTTTGTACCAAAACCAAAACCGACAAAGTATTTACTCCAGATGAACTCTTTGTTACTGGAGTATTTTTGCAACATTTAAAACTTCTCATAGGTGTTACTGATAAGGTGCGTTAATGAATGATCAGTTTTTTTTTAAGTAAAGTACCGTTCCAAGTATAAATTCACGAATTTTGCGATTCTTTAGATGCCGATTCCACGAGTATACGTGGCTGATCCGTACGGATTGGAACTCCGCTTGTGGGAAATCGATGATATCTTGCGTATGAGAGCAATAGAGCAGCTGACCTCAGCCAAGCTAACTTTGCAATCATTATCAAAATTACTCAAGGAAATCAGTAATATTGTCATAACGGATACGGTAGGTAATAGAATTACTAGAGCCTTGGATTTGGTTAAAAAATCGGCTCAATTGTTGGACGAAGCAGATTTGGTAAATGGTTTTCTTACCAGTAAAGAAGCTTTCGTCGTCTCTGAAGCAGCTTTCTCCGACCCAAGTTTGCTTGCTTTGTTGTATTTTCCAGATGATCAAAAGTACGTTTTATGGCTGAAACAAATGTATGTATAATATTGTTTGATTACACGTTATACTCAAGCGAATTTTATTATTTACAGATATGCTGTGTATATTCCACTATTTTTACCAGTCATGATTCCTGTTCTCTTCTCACTCAAAAATATAAAAAATTATTTATTTTGTTCAGATTAAATTGTTAAAAATTCATCTCAGATAAATAAATGTAAAAAACGTAAAATAAGAATTTAAACCATCATATTAAATTAGGAACTATCATAAAATGCATGAAATTACAATCGATTTTGGACAACCGATACATTTATAAAAATTTATTAAGGCCTTATTCTCTGTATTGTGATAAATTATTGTGAATTAAAACATTAAATCACATTTTTTTACACTTTTCCCCTTTTCACATATTATTTTATGGATTTCCAATGTTAATTATTATTTAATTAATTTATGCAAGAATTAAGCTTTAAAAAATTTGAAAAAATTTGGTAAAAAAAATTAAAGGTATTTAGAAATAATTAAAATAAATCAACATTCCATTTTTGCAGATTAGGCTAACTAATAACCAGGAAAATATAAAAAATCCTTTAAAGTATAAACTGTAACGTTTTTTAGATGTGTACTGTAATCATAGAAATTTGTGTTGTTTATTAATTTTTTACTTTTTCCATAAAACTTGAATTACTTAGAATTTATAGAGTTTATCTCCATAAAGAAAAGGTACGAAGATAAGTAACCTGCAGTTGTAATAAAAAGTAAGAGTATTACGTGTCTAAAATTGATAATAATTTTACATTTCTTTGTATTTTTTTTGCTCATTATTACATTTCACTATACATTGTTAAATATTTTATCCGAATTTTTTTATACGCGTCGTACATAGTACATTTTTTTTGTTACATTTGTGTACAAAATAAAGAAATGCATATTCTTAAGTCACCGACTATTCTCATTTCTGATGAATTCAATGCATTCAAAAAATCGCACTCTACTTTTAAATGAAACCAACTCATGGCGGTTCGGTGCGTGAGCACCATGATTGCGATGATTGATGCGTCGTCTGTCGCATTTTTCATTCTGCTGAGCAGCCTGAGTTTGTTGTGCTTTTGATATTGACGCCATTGTCGTTGTGGCAGCTCAAAAGAAATACCAAATAAAATTTATCAGATTTACCTGTGAATATTGTTTATTAACTTATGATAATACTGTTCAGCAAGAAACAATTTTTTAAATCTCGAAAATGGCAGAACTTTTGCTCGACCCAAATATACGTGGTTGGGTATTTTTGCCAATAGTCGTGATAACCTTCCTAGTCGGTATTGTGAGGCATTACGTCTCAATATTGCTTTCAACGCAAAAAAAAGTTGAACTCACACAAGTTCAAGACAGGTAAGATGATCTTTTGTCTAATTAATATAATTTTGAAGTTTATTTGATTTTATGATTTTGATTGATTGTTTTTTAGTCAAATTATGATACGATCAAGGCTGCTCAGAGAAAATGGCCAATACATTCCAAAATCAGCTTTTCTAGCTAGGCGGCACTTTTTTAATAACGAGGAAACTGGATATTTTAAGACCCAACGCAGAGCTCCAGTAACTCAAAATCCTATGTCAGATCCAAACATGATTAGTGAGATGTTGAAAGGAAATCTTACCAATGTTATACCTATGGTATTAATTGGTGGTTGGATTAATTGGATGTTTTCTGGTTTTGTTACAAGTAAGTACTGCTTTTCAATTTTTTTATTATTGTTTATTTTTGGTAGTTCTATAAAAATTAATTATAATTTTTATTTTTCAGCAAAAGTACCATTCCCATTAACTTTACGTTTTAAGCCTATGTTGCAAAGAGGAATTGAACTGGTAACTCTTGATGCTGCTTGGGTATCATCCGCTTCTTGGTATTTTTTGAATGTTTTTGGACTTAGATCAATTTATACTTTGGTTCTCGGAGAGAACAATGCAGCTGACACTTCTAGGCATTTACAAGATCAAGTATCAGGAGCTGCTATGTCTATGCCTCCTGATCCAAAAGCTGCATTCAAATCAGAATGGGAAGCATTAGAAATTTGTGAACATAATTGGGCATTAAACGGTGTAGATGAAGATTTACTCGGATCAAAGTACAAAAATGTAGACGACATTGATATGTACTCCCAAAGTTCTTCTAGCTAATTTAAATCTATGACTTAATATTTTAATTTAAATTAATTATTAATTTATATTAGAAAAAAATGATATATTGATGTATTTAAGTATTTTGTCACTTTGAAAAAAACTGTTTATTAAAATTATCACAAAACCATTAAATTTGCGTTTTATAATATAAAAATATATATACAAGCTTAAGTTGAAAACTTAATTATGAAATTGTTTTTACATATTGCTCAGCTAATAATCACATTATTTTCATTTAATCAATAAAATTACTTATTACTAAATATTTATGACATAGAACATTCAATGTTTTAATGGTAAAATGGCAGGATACAAGTCTGTTCGTCTATGCTGTTCATTAGGCATGTTTCTTCTTACTTTATCAATTATATCTAAATCTATTTCAGCAACTGCTACGCCCTGTTTTTCCATACACTGAGCAATGATTGTTCCCCAAGGATCAATTATCTGAAGAAAGAATGAGTGGAATTTACTGTAGTTTTTATAACAATGATAAAAAAAAATTTTACCATACCATTGAATGACCCCAACTAACTCTTTTTTTATTATGTGTTCCTACTTGGGCAGCTGCTATAACATAGCATTGAGATTCAATTGCTCGGGCTCTCAATAAAACTTCCCAATGTGCTGCTCCTGTTTGGTATGTAAAAGCTGATGGAAATGTCAAAATTTGTGCTCCCATATTTCGAAGACAAATAGATAATTCAGGGAAGCGCATATCATAACACTATAACATTTTAATTATGAATTATTGATGTCATTGGATTAGAGTTGGAAAAATCAAAAAATTTATTGTCTTACAATACTCAAACCTATCCTACCAATGGGTGATGATACCGGAGTAACTATTTCACCACCTTTTTGAACATAATCTGACTCCATTAATCGAACACCAGTATCTTTATTTTCCATGTCAAAAAGATGGATTTTTCTATAAGTTGATACAACTTCTCCTTTGTTATTGATTATTATGTGTGAATTTTGGGTCTTTCCTTTGTCAGGTAACTATATTTATAAAACTCATTAATTTAATTGTTAATAAAATAAATTAAAACAGTAATTAAATGGTACAAACAGCTTCATGAACTCCTCCTAAAGACAACCACATATCTTCTTTTAGCGCTAATTCTTTATACCGCTTTATTGTAATGCCATCCAATGGTTCAGCCATTGATACAGCATCTGCTTTATTATCAGCCAAGTAGTCACACGCCTCAGGTAGAAATGCAATCTATAAGGAACAAAAAATATAAAAATTATCTGACAATTACAATTCTATATTGAATTTACTTACACATGCATTTCTCCTTTTAGCTTCAGCAACTAAGTGGCTAACAGCTTCAAAGTTTTTATCTTTATTTGATGTAGAAGTCATTTGACACACAGCAACTAGCGGGTTTGGCATGTTGCTCATACGTAATTTGGACATTTTAGGGCTAGATTCAGGAGAACAAAAAATAAATCAAGTTTATTATATGGAAATTTGTAAACTTTTGAAACGAGAAACGAATACAATTAAAAAGAATGGAAATTACTTCAAATTTTCACAGAGCGTAAACGACACCTTCTTCGAGCACGCCCTTATCATTTTCGTATCGCCAGACGTTTTGATAAAAATTATTTAACACTTTCTGTCTGGAAAAAATCTTGGATTGATGTTGTAAATAACACCAGAGAATGAACACTGTCTGCCGCTAACCTAAAAAATGTTCTATCATCATTGTTATTTATAAAGATTATTTTAATAAAACACCTATAGTGATTAGAAAAAAAAAGTCTCTTATGATCATTTCCACTTGATTCAATTATCATAACATTTTTTTTATCGTTTGAGTTAAAATTCAAGAATCTGCAAAAGCCTTTCGAATTTCCCTCTCACACCCATGATCATTGTTGCCAAACAGCATGATAAGTTAATAACATTGTTGCCATCAAAACTAAACTGTCAGAACCATACACACGTCAGCTCAGCTGCTGAATTGTCAAACTGACGCGAAAGAAATTCATCATTTTCAATACGATTGTAATATCGAAGTTTATTGCCTACGACTAGTGTGAAAAATAAAGACATTTGTCAATACAGCTGTGCTCTACAGGTAAACTCAACATATGAAAATGTCGAGCTCATCAGAATCTGCGTTGACTAAACCATTCCGAAGCATTTATCGATTCGTTGGAGCTATTGTTGATGCTGTTTATTTTTTGTGAGTTATCAATCATAAATGATTTCATTACAATAACCTTTTTTTGAATTGTATTAATGGCAATTTTTTATTCATTTCGATAAATTCTTTTGCACAATAGTTTTATTATAACTGTTCATGACTCTCTAGATTATTTACAAAAAGTTGTAACAATTAAATAAACAATTTTTAGCTTCTCAACCTTAATTAGCCCTGATCAAGGTAGATACAGCAATGGTAGATTAACAAAGTAAGTTTCAAAGCACTTAATATGCCGTGGAACGTTATAGGTTATGCATATCTAATAATTTAATTATTATTTTTAGTTCTGGAAATTCTGGACGCTCAAGTGGAACTGGATCAAATGTAAGAACTCTACGGCCTCATGGTTCAGGAGGAGGCAATGCTCCAAATATGAGCATTGGTGGATGTAGAACTTGTCAATAAGCAAAAAAAGTCATGCAATATTTTTTAAATATTAATGTGTATATCTTTACATCATAAAGTATGTTCATTTGTACCCAACTCGAGTATAGTTTATTAATACTTTTATAAGACTAATTATTGTTGCATTACATCGATGTATTTTTTAATGAAAAGTATAACATAAAATGGCTGAAATAAGTTATGTTAAAAAATAAAAATTAATTCCCGTTTTTAAATTCGATATTTTTGCATATTTAATGAAAAAGAAATTCCTTAGTGAAATAATTAAATCCTAAAATACAAAATTTCTTTTTTCATCTTTATCGATCGTAAAAAATGTTAACTCTAATTTAATATATTATTCCTTAAAATTGAAATAAAATTAAAACAAAATAAATACACATTTGCGTAAGCTTAAATTACTATCGGAAGGTAATTTTGATTCACGCAAGTTGCGCCAATTTCTGGGTATTTGTTATTATAGGGTTTTTATCATTACCTGGAAACTTCCGTAAAATCGCGCCTTTTTTCTACTAAGTAGTTGCATTTATATACTTGTTATTCAAATTCAATTCTAGAGAAATATATAAAATAATTTTGAACAGATAAATAATTTATTGAAAACATCATTGAAGGGGCGATAAATTACCCTAATAAAATGATTTTTTAATCGATATATTTTAATATATTTAACAAACTTCTCTGGACGTCAACAAACGAACATGCGTTGACGGTGCAAAATTTTCAATTCTACCAACTGAATAACCTTTAGAAAAGAGCATGACTAAGGCGCTGTAATATAGTTTTCCATGTGGTAGCGCCGGATGAGCCGCATCAGAATTCAGAACCTTTGTGTATAACATCGAATTCATAAGTTTGAGTACTTAGGTATACATAAAAAAAGAATCAAATCGTGGCAACGATATTTTTCAGTGTCTTTTAAAAGTCAAAAATATAAGTGAAAAGAGTGATTAATAGTTCAAACAACAAAATTATTTACAATGTAAAGTTTCAAAGATAATTTGCAGTTCACAATCATCAACTTTCTCTAGAAATTTCCCAAAGAAATTTTGGAGGAAATAGTTATTCTCATTCTTTATAAGTTTTTTTTGAGAGTACCTTATATTGGTGTTTATAAATCACTGTGCAATTATTTCATGTTTGAGCATTCAAATAATTCACCATAGTGAAATAAAAATAATTTTCAGTTATAAATATTTTGATATTTTAAAAATAATGGAGCACCAGTCAAATTCATTTCATCGTATACGAACAAATTCTAAAGATGTTGCAGTTTCAGAATGTGTTCGACAATTTGAGTTGCCTCGTCAGTTTCCCAGTACAGTTAATGAATTACGTACAATGAAATCTAAGAATAATCTTTCTCCAATGCAGTTTAAAAAACCATCAAATCTTACAACCTCAAATAATATCAAAGTCTCTGATGTTCAAACTTTAAAACCACTTCACCACCACCACCAACCACCATTTCAAAAAGTAAAACTCAAACTGCCTAATGGGCAAGAATTAGGAGAAGTTAAGATGATTTTGAGTTCAAACATCCAGTTCTCATCAAAGAAATCTGTAACAGTTAATAGAAATCTCAAACCGACTGTACTTAAAAGTCATAATAAACCTAGAATAAAAAGTATTACTAAATTAGTTGATAAAATTGATACAAGAAACATTCAGGTACAACCACAAACAAAATTGAAAGAGAAACAGTTATTATTTAATAACCTTCAACCCACTTCTAATTTGAACTGTAATAATCAACTTAAAAATCAATTAATTTTGGGCGTGAAAAGAAATTCACAAGAACCACAAATAATTTATTCAGAAATGATACCTGCTGCTAAATTGCAAAAAATTTCAACTAAAGATATTGGAGAATTCTCTTTTGAAAATCAACTTGATCAACCAGAAAGACAAAAACTGAGCCAAAATATGTCAATAAAAGCAATGAAAGTAGAAAATCATACTATTAGAGATTGTAATACAATCATAGATTATCAAAAAAGTCTTGATCAATTCAAAAAACAGAAACTGAACAAAAATGTATCAACAAAACAGATTAAATTGGAAAACTTTACCAATAGTAATTGTAGTAAATTCATAACTCCAATCTCTAAAGGAGTAAATACAACTAAATTTAAAACTCAAACTAATCAAAAGATTATTGTTGTTAAACCAGGTGATGTCATATCAGGAAGTTTTAGAATTGCAGAGAGAACTTCGCATAAAAGTGTAGAAATAAATTCAAAACCAACTGTGGAACCAATTGTAAAACCAACTACAGAAATAGCCATCAAATCCAGAAAACTTTTAATTAATAGTACTGCTATAAGTAGTAAAGATTTAATGGAAAAACTTACTTGCATTGAAAATTTAAATTCTCAAAATAAAGAAAGAGTGGAAAATGATAAAATGAATGTTCAAGAAAATCAAAATATAATAGAAACTGAACACGAAGTTCAAACTGAGTCAGAAGAAGAAGATTCTGATGAAGAAGTATCTAAACTTTGTGAAAAAATAGAAAGTTTTGTCAATTTAAAACATAGCTGCACATTCATTAACGAACCAATCAGTACTTTAAATTTCAATAATAATTCTGATAAAAATCCAGACACTGATAATCAAGGTGATGAAATTGGAAAGAAAGTTGAAGATTCTTTGCAAAATATATTCAAGACCAATAGAACTTATAATGAAGTGAATAAAATTTTTTCAAGAGCAAAAAAGTCTGATTTATATCAAATTTCAGAAATATTACAATCAGATTTTAAATCAAATATTAGCTTTAATTCCTGTGGTTTATTAGGCATTCATGACGCAGTTATAAGAAATAACTTACTCCAAGTGAAACAGCATATTGCAACATTAAAGATGATGGGTAAAAGTATTGATGTTTCCACACAAGATGAAAAAACAAGTCTTGAAATTGCTATAGAATATGATATAAATCCAAAAATAATAAAAGTCCTTCTGAAAGCTGGCGCTCAACCTGTGCAAAGTAAACCATCTCATGATTCTGCTATGATTATAGCAGCAAAAAATTCATCTAAAAATTTACCTATATTATGTAAGTATATAGACCAGAATAACAAAACTGGAGTTAATTTAAAAGGAAAAGAAGGTTTAGCTGCAATTCATTATTGTGCCATTCATGGGAATTTGCAAGGAATAACTGAACTTCTCAAATGTGGAGCAGATGTAAACCTACAAGATGATAGATCAGGAAGAACCGCATTATTTTATGCCATGGAAACAAGAAATTCTAATAAAATTCAAGACATTTATTTTGACATAGCCTTTAAACTTCTAGAGCATGGAGCCATCTCAAATATTCATACTTTTTCCAAGCATTCTGTCCTAAATTTAATAGAAGACATTAAAAGTTTCAAACTCAAAATGGCCATAAATAGAGCTGTGCTATGAAAAAATACGATTGTAAATATTGTAAATAAAGGTGTATGCTTGAAATACAATTTGAAATAGATTATATTTTATATGTAGATAACAAAACAATATACAAAGATCTTACATATAATAGTATAAAGTATTATCAATATTTTTTTTTTTAATTTATTTCATTAAAGTGAATGAAAATAATTCAAAACTTAGTTTTTCAATTTTGTAAAATATATTAAAAAATCAACACATTCCATTTTACTAATACATCAGCTATGAACACCGCCAATATAGAACTTAAGAAAATAAATTTTTCATACAATTTTTGTAACAAGTCCAGCAGCAATGGTTGTACCATCAACTCTCAACATAACTCTACCTAACTGTTTTACATCTTTATGTAGTTCTACACAAATTGGTCTTTGAGTAGTTATTTGAACAATAGCACTTGTATTTTTAATTAAACACCTTGGCTTTTTTTTAATAACTTCACCTGAGCTCCGATTTAATTGAGCAACAAGTTTAGTTATAACAGCAGGCTCAACAAGAGACTGTTGATGTAGCACTACAGACATGCCATTAGTTACAGGCATTTTGATTTGAAATACTACAATATGAGCTTGAAAACATGTTGTGGTTGGCACTGGATAAGCTAAACTGCAAACTATATCACCAATTGCCAAATTTTGTTGATCAATTCCTGATAGACTAAGACAAACTTGATCACCAGCAAAGGCATGAGTTATGTTTGCATCATCCGCTTGAATGCCTATCAAAAATTGTTATAGATAAATAAACTAACATTTCAAATGATGTTACAGATAATAATAAAAATACCTTTTATAACAGCAGGCTCATTGCGTGGTAAGACAAGAACTTTGTCACCAACAGATACCATACCAGTTTCCATATGTCCAGAAATACTAAAACCAGAGCCAATATTTTTGAAAATATCATTAACAGAAAACCTTAAAGGTTTATCAACAGGTCGTTCTGGGCACTTGAAGTTATCAATTACTTCAACTAAGGTTGGACCAGTGTACCTAAAAAATTATATTGATTTAAATTGATAAATTGTAAAATTTATAAAATAAAAAGCTTTTGCAATACACAAAATATGTTTTTACTAACCAATTAGATAATCCTTCAGCTTTTGGTTTAGTCACAATATTTTCTCCGGATAAACCACTGCAAGGAACACAGGTGACTGTTTCTTTAAAACCTGCTTGCTTCAGAAAGACACTGATTTTATTTACTATTTCATTGAATCTTTCTTTTGACCAATTAACTGTATCTAATTTATTAACTACAACGGCTAGTTGAGATACTCCTAAAACATATACAGATCAAAGTTTAGATTTAAAAAATATAAAATATACAGCATCCACTACATAAATTCAGCTTCTCTATTATTGTTTTATGAATTATGTAATATGATAACAAGAATCGTGAAAGTTCATAATAGCTTTTTTAAACTTTTAAAAATGTTTGTAAACTTTAGTGACAGATTGTGTGGACTCATAAAAATTTATAAAAGGTTTAAATTATTTTTTGTTACTTTCTTCTTTGAAAAAATATTATCGATTTTTGTGAGTACAAAACAAAAACCTTATGAAAAAGTCCTACAGAAAATCCTGCATATTCTATAAGATATTCTATAACACTTTTTCTTAACGGAATTATGTATAAAAAATGTATAAAGGTATTAAAGATTTTATGAAAGCATATAAGGTATACGCCTCTATTTTCGGTCAATAATTAAAATTAACAACTTAATTGTACGTAAGAAAATTTTTTTTAATAATTGGCTGAATGAATGGAACATCTTGAACAGAAATATATTATTCAAATTCAGATATCAAGTTTCAATCCTATATAAAAAATTAATTCAAAGTTGACCGAAATTAGGGCCTAACTGACCGAAAATAGGGGCATATATCTTAAAGGTTTATAAAAGTTTAATTTTTTGTTGTTAAAAAATCATTGATATGTTTTTTGTGAATTTCAGATGGTTTTGAGCATGAAAAAAATCGATAATAATTGTGTTGATGTAGCACGAAGTACATCATGAAACCAACTTTCAAAAAGCCTTATAAATACTTGAAAATTTTCATAAATTTTTATAAACTTCTGTACTAGACCGAAATTTGACCTTTTATTAAAGTTACATAAAAGTTCTCTAAAGATTTCCGTTGCGATTAATATGCACTGTATGTTACAATATATGAATATATACGCATAATTGTATATGTATATATATATAATATATATATGCATCATCCAACCCACGTTCAGTTTTGCGATTCGCGAACGATTTGTATTACAGCGTATCGCCGAACTTTTGTCTACGTTTTCTCATAGTATATTTGATGATTATCTATGTATAAGAATATCATTATGTTTATGTTTACAATTGGAAGAAATAGCAAGACCTGGCACTTTCAACGTTAAATTGACGAATCATCGTCAATCAATTTTGATCATGCCAAAGAAAAACAAGGTCTAACCTTCATTACCATGTTTATTCGTGTCATATATTTTTTAGTATTTCTTATTTTATTGTCATCGTTTTTTTTAAGTACAAGGTGTTACTTTAAAAAATTCTTTCATTCATATTTTTAGTCAGCCAAGATGTGGACCGCATCGGACAAAATTTGTGGCAACGACCTGAGAGATGCTGATAGTAAGTAACGACAAAATTATCCGATAAAAATCGAGAGGTTTCGAATTAGTTATTTTACTACTTTATAATTGGTGATTCGATGTTTCTTTTGATTGATAATTTTTTTATCTTATTGATAAAATCATTACATGCATATTTTATTTTCATAAAAAATGATGAATTAATTTCATCACAATTATTATATTATCATTTTTTTCAAAGGAGTATGCTTGAAAAAATAATAGAAAATATTATAATCATTCGAATACTACCTATTTAAAACAAATGAAAATATGATTTTTTAGCTGTTACTTCAAGCAGTTATACACCTTATTGGTGTCTATCAAAGAAGGAGAAAAATGAACGCATGAATGAAAGAATTGCAAAATTTTTGAAAGAACTAATCATTAAACATAGAATTGCAACTAAAGAAGACAATAATAATGATGATTTAAATAATGCATCTCTTAAGCAATTATGGGACATAGAGGGACAATATCACGGAACCAGTGAAGTTGGTAAGAATGATTGATCATATTAATTTTTATAATTACAAGAGTTGAGAGCGCAAGAAATATTGATAATGATATTTTACTTTCAGATAAGAAAATCAGAATTGATTCTCTGAATACTTTATCAAGGTTAGAAGAGTTTGGGATAATCATGGAAGACTGGGAAAAAAATCGATCACTCATTCCACCTGATGTAAATGATTTGTTAGAGAAACCACAGCTATTACTTCATTACATACTTACCAAGAGACCTTAAGAGTAATGCATGTTCTCTTGTTTGACCTCCGCTATCAAAACCTGTTTCGAATTCTCCTCTGGTTGCATCAACAACAAGTAGAGCAACATCTGCTTGTGTAGCACCAATTATCATGTTTGGTATAAAATCTTTATGACCAGGAGCATCCAACAGGGTGATAGCCTTTGTTGAAGTTTCAAATTTGGATTGTCCTACATCCATTGTGATACCCCGCTCTCTAAAATAGTATGTGTATTTTTGTATAATTGTAATATAACTGTAATCTTAATGCTTTCAATTTCTTTTATATATTTTTACAAGGAGGTATTATTTAATTCAATAAGGTTTTAAGTAAAACTTGATTTTGTTATTTATTGAAAAATATCCTACCTTTCTTCACCTGTTTCATCAAGGACCCAGGCATAAGCAAAAGATTGTTTTCCAATTTTTTTACTTTCTTGTTGATACTTATGCATAAGTTTAGATGATACTTGACCTAAATCACACAGCAATCTACCTAGTAAGGTACTTTTTCCTGCATCCACATGGCCAACACATATAAGATGCAGTTGTTCTTTACATCCAGCTCGTTTACTTCGATAAATTGCTAAAGCATCTCTTTTATCTTCAGCAATTCGTCCTTCATCAATTACAGCTGGAGATTGACTTCGTGATGAAGTAGATTTATTCTGATTTATAATACATTATCAAATTAATTATTGTAAAAATGTTTTGCAGCGAGTCATTTAAAAAAATTACAAACCAAAACTGATAGAGCCGTCTGTTTCTTTTCTCTCCTGCTAAAACTACTATCATCCCGTGTCAATGGATCTGGTGAATTTCGACCTGAACATGGACTTTGAGAGCGCGATGTTCCAAGTGATTCTATATTTTCATTGGTTCCACAAACATCAAAACCCTTTGTAATACTTCTGGCAGCTGCTGCAGGTATTACTTTTACTGTTGGCTGAGACACTTGAGAAGCCAGTTTAGGTACTATTTTACTTGAAGTTGTAAAATCTATAAGTTTTTTAGATTTAAAATTTCATGATTGCAAAAATATAAAAAATATATATGCTTAAATCAAGTATATAAGTATGAGATGAAAATAAGTAAGATAAAAAATTTAAATATGTAAATTAATCAAGAATAATGAGTTTATACTTAAGTTGGATTTTTGAGTTTTGAAGTCAATTCGTTTTAAAATAGATTTTGTCAAAATAGTTATTTAATTGAACAACTACATTCTTAATTCTTAAAAATAATGAAGTTTTATTAATCTTTGAATGAGTGGATATATGTAAACATTATAGCAGATGAATGAGTAAAAACAAGGTAAAAATTTTGAAGTGCATATTCTTCATTAATATAGAAATATATAATACATAAAAATATAATTTTTGTACAATATTTTGAGTTTAACATTACCAAAAAGCTTTTCATACAATTTGGATGTTAATAAGGAGTTTTAGTTAACAGAATTATTGGACAATGTATAATGTCTACATTTATGGCAAAATATTTTATCGTTAAGTTTTTCTTCCTAACCTTGTTAGTATAATGTTATCAGGAGAGGGACTAGAAAAATCGAATGGTTCAATGTCAAGGTTTACTTTTTGAGAACAAATTATTCTTTGGTAGGGTATGAATCTTCTGTAAGTTTTACAAAGTACTTTACCAAATTTTGAGGCTTGCTTTTTAAGAGATCGCGCACTATCAATTTTGCTTAAATTAAACATAGATTCTTTTTTCAAAGCGATTACTGTAGAATCAAGTATTTTAAAATTGGTATTTCTAGATTCAGATTCAATTTTTACATTATTTACTACTTCATTACTTAAATTTAAATTTTTGATGTTCTCCAAAATTGGGAGAAGAATTTTTGAATGATTATGTTCTAAAACATTTTTCTTCTTTTCTATTTCATGTGAAGTTAAAGTAACAGAAATTTCTGACATTATATTTGCAATGGGATTATCCGTTGAGATTGTATTATCAGAAGGAGGAAACGAATTTTTCAATGGAATATTACTGTTTGAAATTTTGAGATGATGAGCAGTTAAATCAGCAAGTGAATTGAAGCTTGGTGCAGTTGGAAATTGGAAATCAGATGCTGAATTTTTTTGATTGCTATTTGATAAGCTCAAGTGATGAGCACTTGAATCAGCAAGTGAACCAAATGAAAAAGATGGGCTTGTATTTACAGATGATGGTTTCAACGATTTGTTAAAATTCAGTTTTGGAATTGAAAAGTTAGAAGGGAGTTTCGTTTTTTTTTCCTCTGATATATTTAAATTGTGTGCTGTTAAATCAGCAAGAGAACTAAACGTTGATCTTAATTTTGCATTAGTTGCAGTTTTAACGATTTGATCACAGGTTTTTGGAGTACTTTTATCAAGAGTTTGTATTTTTGATACATTGGCAACTAAATCATTGATTTTAAAAATAGAATCTACATCAGATTTAGAACCTTACCTCACCAACAAAATAAATCACATCATGAAAAAGAAAACATAACATATTATTTTTTAATTTTTCATCTCATCTTAAATTATTGATAGAATCATGTTTTAAAAGCTTACCTGGGCGCAAATTATCAATATCTTTCTCAGTTGTTGGCTTATCTAAAATAAAAAATTTTCTTTTATTATATTGCATACCATAAAAAACAAAATAGACAAAATTCAAGCCATACTTGTTATCTTTTTTGAAGATTCCTCATTAAGAATCGAATTGAGAACAGCTTCTGTATTGAAATTGAATTCTATAATTTTTTTGTTTAATTCAGATTCAGGATGTGTATCTCCTATAACATTTTTGATGGCTTCAATACAAGACATAAGTTTAGCTGCATCTAAATCTGACAACTGTGGTAGTTTATAACTTGAAGGTATGTCTTCAATTTCTTCGTTATCTTCTTGGATATCCGGTTCAGTGAAAAATGATGATATGTTGGGTTGCTTACTGCGATCAAACATAAATTGTTCAGCTGTAACAAAAAATTATTTCAATCAAAGTTTATTGACAATTCTAATAATAATGAAATGAATCAAGCAGATCACAGTAAAAAAATTATGTTTTTCAAAATCAGACTTACCACTTGGCGATACACAGTAATCATCTTCGACGGAATGCCCGTAAACGTCATCGTATCCATCATATTCTAAATGTTAAAGCAGACATTCGTCATTAAAATGTTCTTTGTAGTTCATATTAAATAAAACAAGAGTCTGCGAACATTCACTTACCATCTGAATAATTCATAGAACGTACATCTCTATGTCGCGACATTTTTTACTAACTTGGGTTGCTTGCTAGGAGAACACTATTACTACTAGGAGTAGTTACTAGGAAAACACATGAAATTTATGAAAACTGAAAGAATCTTATTGAAACCAACAAGCAAGATATAAAGCAGCGTGATTTTTGTTGGTATTAAGGTCATTCTACAATGTACATAATCGTTTGCGGACGTAAGGGCCACTGACACTGATATTACACAGTGCCGTCTGCGACGAGGATACAATTAGATTCAAAATTGATACGCTACTACAATAGGCTGTTTTCACAGTCATCAGTGACGGTCACAAATCGACCAGCTGATTTGCCTGGAGGCCAAACAAAGCGACTGCCCGTATACTTTACATATTAAAGTTGGTTGGTTAAAGTATTTCGGCTTTTTTGTCTGTGATATTGTCAATAAACTCTAATAAAATAGTTATTAAAAGTGGTTTTATAGGTTGCAATACAAACTCTTAAGCGGGGAAGTTTTTATTTTTTCAAATTACTAGCGAAAACCCAAGAAACAATCGTAATAAAGAATATTATCTTTCCACCAACAGTAGACTTGGGTTGGAAGACGATTGCGAGATCATTTTCATAATTTTTCGAAATTACGATTGTTTCTTGGTTTTTCGTTGGTCATTTGGAAAAATAAAAACTTCCTCGGTTGAGAGTTTGTATTGCAACCTAAAAAACCACTTTTAATAACTATTTTATTAGAGTTTATTGTTAACATCACAGATAAAAAAGCCGAAATTTCAATATTTTTTTCATTTATAAACTAAAGACTGTAACTAAAAACCGCTTCGATATTTCGATCCACGAGGATTTCCTCTTTCTCCAGATATTTTTTGTTTATTTTTTTACTGCACTTTAAACTAATTACAAGTACTTTAACCAACCAACTTTAATATAAAAAGTATTAATATGAAAATCCTCAGGGAGTTTTGAAGAAGTTCTTGAGAATTTTCTGTGGCTAAATTTACACCGCATAATTCTGCAGGATTAATTCTTATAGAAATAATAATCAAGTTTCCAAGAAAAAATTTTGATTATTTCGACCAAAGATAATTTGGTCCAATTTTAATTAGTAACGGGATTCCTGTAGAATTCGTGAATAAACATATTGAAATTCGTACAAATTGTAAATTATCCTTCAATAAAATGATTGGTTTATTTTCCACGGTAGTTTCAATTTATAAACATTTTTTTTCAAACTCAAACGTAAACTTTTGTAACACTTGTTAAACCGAAAAATGCATGAAGTTGGTGCGTTATAACTTTTAAAAAACTATTAATAATTAACACGCTAAATCCCAAAGAGTAACTTTCGAGCCTCTAAAGAGTATACAGAATGCTCTTTTCAAAAGAGTAACAAAAACGTAGATTACTCCTTTTAGAAAATACTACTTCACACAGAATGTTAAAATATATTTTTTATGGTAAAATACGTTCATACTATCCTGGATTGTCAAAAAAACGTCCATCCAAGCTCTGAAATCACAATTATATTGCTTTTTTCAAAATACTAAATGTTGTGATCGAATTGACTGACCACGTAATTCTGACGTGAGTTTTTCATCAATTTGTGTGAAGTAGTATTTTCTAAAAAGAGTAATCTGGGCGAATTACTCTTTTTAAAAGAGTATTCTGCGTACATTACTTTTTTTCAGAGGTTCAAAAGATACTCTTTCAGGTTTCAGTGTGAATTAGTTTAAAATTTTACAAATTTATCAGAAAAATACGGGTAAGTTACAAAATATAATCCATGAATATTCTATAGAGCCGATCTAATACCCTCTTTAAATATATTTGTTGTTCAAGAACTTGTCGACTTTTTTAAAAATATTTAATTGCTACAATAAGAAAATTTATTAATGCAAGTATTCTTGAAATAAAATTGAAAATGACTGATGCAATGATCGTGTTTTCCAATCAAAAACTACCGTATGTACAATCTTTTAAGGGTCTATGAAGCATGGGTGATTAAGTCATATTTCATTAAATCGTTTGTAAGTAGCGCATTACTTGCAACAATAACAGCAGAGAATAATCATAATTAATTGAGTGAGCTTTATAAAATTAAAATATTATGAATTTGAAACTTTGGAATCATGAAAAAAAAACTAACGTATGCATTAGAGTGTTTGTTATTTTCCAAACGTTAAAAATCCTTGCTCCAGAAGTTTAGATCACTTCTTTGTGATATAAAAACATGATTTGTACGGTTTATAACCCATAGGCACACGTTAAAATTAAAATGCCTTAAAATTAAAATCGATATTTACATTTAACCCATTAACTCTTAGGATGTAGAGATTTAAAGTGGGATTTTTCCATGTTTTGAGTTTTAGAAAAACTTTGCAATTATATAATTTGATGTAGAATGTAATGCCCTTTCCAATATCGGGCTCAGATTTGAGATCCAATGCGTAGTTCAAAAGTTATGATCGTTTAAACAAAAAAAATATGTGCAAAGATGTTTTTATATCACAAAGAAGTGATCTAAACTTCTGGAGCAAGGATTTTTAACGTTTGGGACACCCTAGTATGCATGGTAAAAATCGTACAAGGGAGCTTACGTGCAATGTGGAAATGTACAGTATGAGTCATGCGTAGTTTATAGAAATCTATATAGCAGCAACAACATCCAGAAAGTCGATGTCCGCATTTACATCCGCGTTGATACTTTAAGCGGTGATGATATTTTACGCGCGTCTTGTACTGCGTGCCAGCTATGACGGTGGTGGTGCAGCAGACGTGATAATAAATATGCGTAATCCGGATATTCGTGCTATGTAGCTCACTTTTTTACCAATGTAGTGAGAATTGATTAACAAAAAAAGTGAATCAATTTCTTAACCCTTCATTTTGCTCAATGTATCGCACTATAAACATTAAAAAATATAACGACTATGATGAATAATGTTTCCATCGAAAAAATTAATTTATTTGCAATCGTCATCATCATTAACATCATCATATCAGGATGCAATTGATGATTTTCATGATTATTATTCAATACTGTTTTCTATTATTATAGAAATTAGAAAAAACAGCTATTTTTTGTGTAACATTAAATTCTTAATTTATACGGAAAAATAAAATATTTAATTACTATAAGAATGCTTGGTGTACGTTTTATTTATTTTATATAACTGTCGAAAACGATTTTATACATAATTTGAATAAAAAAATTATTGAAAATTTTATAATTAAATTACACTCCTAATATAATCAATAATGAATAATTCGTGTGTTACAGCATCCTGAATTTCTATTATAGGCCTTTGTCAAAAAGAAGATTGATCTGAAGCTTATACAAAATTAAGGATAAGATCCTTTTGAATGGTATGAAAATCAACTGAGGTAAATACCCAAAATTTTGATATTATTTTGAAAATTGATAACATGTTAACATGTAATCTTATTGTAGACAGTACAAAGAAGTTAATAAATTTCAAATAAAAATTTGTAAATGAATTATTAGATTTCGATAGATAATTGAACTTTTATAAGTTTTTAAGAAAAATTTTAATGGGAATATAATAATATCCATCGCAATTAATATTCATTAACATAAAATACTTTATATCATTCGAAAAATTTTATGATACAAGATATGACTTTGTAATAAAACACAGTAGTAAATTAATAAGCGTTTGAATTTGAAAATTAAGTGAATAGTATTTTATTTGTGAATGGAAAGTTACTTTACGTTATAAAAAATTTCGAATCGTGGCAATAACTATAAAAAAAATATAAGCAATTAATTTTTGCTTTCAATGAATTGAATCAAATATTTATTGTATTGCTTAAAATGAGAATTCTGATGATTAATATTAACAAATGAAAATAATACAAGAAAAATGTAATCATCGTGGCATAAATGAAGTCATAATTCTGAATAGTCTAGTTGCATGATCATTCAACGCAAAAAATATAATTTATTTGAAAATGTAAGTAAATTAATTTAGTTCAATAAATAAATAGTTACACAAAAAATGATATTGTTATAATACATTGTGTGTTTTAATAACCAATCATTTTATTCACAATTTGTAGTAAAGACTTGGATAAAATATCGATACCCAATCATAATAAATTTTCTATAAATAAAATATTGTGATATAATTTTCAAGCATGATTTGAAAACATTTTTCTTGTCTTAATTTTTCATGTATGATTTGACAGAACATTTTTATTTAAAATTAAAAGATTAATAAACGTATTGATTGTTGCATGATCACTTTCAAACCACAATTGAAAAGATTACTTCGTAGTTTGTGTAGCGAATGATCAATTAATTGCGATTATGTCGTTGGTCTCGAAGAAAGATGATGTCAATTCTGAAAATAAAAATGAGCGACATTTTTTAAATTGTATAAATATGTTTAATCATTGTACTGGTCAGTTTTGATCGGGTTTTTTTTTATGATTTTAAGTTTACGTAATCATAATGTATTCAATTAATACGCTTGTTCAAAGATTTTTTTAATTATAAAAATGAAAATAAGAAGATTATTTTACATTATTATGTAAATTACGTTGACTGGCTGAACTTTCGTTGCAGTGTGAAAATTAAAAAGATTTTTAATGATTGTACAATTTGTTAATGACAAATACTGAACAAAATTCAAGTCATCAAATATTTTTTAAATATTTCTATCAATAAAGTACAAAATTTATTTGATTATTTTTATGAAAATATTGTTACACAAAAAAATTACATTACTTTCATTTTAAATATTAAGGTAACTGAATAAAACTAATTTTCAATCTTGTTCGATACATCATCGATCAATAAATGTTTCGTAAATAAGAACTGTTGCTTGAATATATTCGCCCCCGCGTCATCATCGCTGTGATTAAACCTAATGAATACGAAAAAATATAACGCACGTGATTATATTTAAACTATGACAGGTTTTTTTCTGTATCTAAATATAAATTTTATCGTGCTGCGTTTGGCATTTTTTTTCGTCAATGGCTCAAAATATAAATGAAATTTTTTTTTATTCCCTCAGCTACCCTTGAAGTTTAGTCACACGATGAAAATACTTTTATGTTGGCGAGTTAAAGAGGTTCCTGATTTTAAATTTTACCAATGATGATTAGAAATAGTCTTGATATTTTCTACATTGTAATGGTTGCGAAAAAATATCAATCTTTTTGAAATATGCATGACTTTTTATACGATGAATCCGTGCACTTTATTTTATATGGACACGTACACCGTGCATAGTAAGTATGGTATTTTTACCACTTGTCATAAGAATTTGACGTCATTTGAATATATCATCGCTTATCAATCCTGTGTAGAAATAAGTTGTCCCTATGGTCAATTGTTGTGTTAGATGACGTACTGAATAATTTTATAAATTGGTCATTTGCAAAAAGTATAGTATTAGAAAAAATTGAAAGTCATTAAGATATTAAACTCTGACAGATCAATCTAGAACAGCATCGTGTCATCTCTGGATACTGTATATTTGTATGGTAATGGACTCGATGCAAAGTAAAAAATGCCATCAAGTCATGAAATTAACTTTCATTTGATTTCAAGTTGCTCGTACAAGTGCGAGCCAATGAAGATAAAAAGCTGCGCCAACATCTTTTGTATACTTATAGTTTACGCGCGTGCGGTCGGCTGGCCGACGATGGCACTTTCCGCGCGCAGCACGTGCGCCTACGCGCTCGATATTATTATTTTGCATCCACGACGTTACCCACGAGCTACTTGAGTGCGGGAGTTCACGCGTAAGACAAAAAATTGTTTATAGTCATGAGATCATAAATCAAAAATAACGTTCTACGTATTAGGGTGTCGAGGGTCAAGTTCACGAGCAACTTCCACACACAAATCAACTTAGGTATTACCGATCGACATTGTAGAAGAAACGTTTTTTTATTCGTAGATCATTGAACAACAAAAACATTTTCACCACCGTGTATATATTTTTCGTTGAATAAAGTAAAGACAATTGATTTTACAACTTGAACAGTGGTTGCTTATCTACATGATTTTTACGCGTGTGATACACCGCATTTTATAATAATTTACTGGCTCGAACGAAAAGTATTGATAATTGGTGCAATAGGTGACAATAAGTAGTGGAATCATTTCCGATGCATATAAGATGGGTATTTTTCCACGAGTTGCGGGATACACTTTTTATAGTATCCGTCAGAATCGCGAAACGTTTTTGAAAGAACCAAATGAGTATATTTATTAAATTACTTGTCCGAGCTGAAGAAAGCTTAGATGGATTTAAACGAAAAATGAACGATTCATGCGATGCCTGCGCCTAGGGCACTGTTCAAACTCTACAAGTGAGAACCGTTCAGTCTACGGAAACTGTTGTTGTTGGTTATAGTGTTGAAAGAAATTATAAATAATGTGTATAATATATACAAGAGGAAAAAAATGATCGATGCTACTTCAGCGATAGCTGCGAGTAATCCTTTTGTTTATACTGGCAGTAATCGCAGTCTCGGACGCGCATGAAAGTAAAGAACGACAATAATGGAAGAAAAAGTCGGAATGTAGCATAGTTATTATAAGGGCTCGCGAGTCTCGAGTCACAATGGCATACGATTTGCATGGGTCGCCGCGGCCATAGCACTTGGCAGTAGTGGTGATCGGTATACGCGCCACTATACGCTGCTACGCCGCACACGCACAGTGACATCACGTTTCATTGTTGGAGCTTTACGTCATGCGACTCCGAGTTGCCTGCACAGCACACGACTCGACCGTCACTCGTACACATTATACTTATTTCTTAAAGCCTTGGTTCGTGACGTTTCTCTCTCTCTCTCTCTCTATCTATCTCCCGCCAAGCGACTCGCGAGCACGCGATTTCGCTTCCATATGCACTGCGATTGCCGACGTGAAGATCGAGATATCCGCGCTCGGCTGTAGCAGCGAGCTTTTCGTGTCGCGTATTCAGTCTATACTTAATATCGCGACTGTCTTTCTCGCGCGGAGCACCGAAATAAACGTCAAAACAATGTTGTTTAAGTACGTCATTTGTCGAAATCTCATCGGATATCTGCTCGCAACTTTTGACGAAATTGCTTGACATATTCTGTGCCTACAGCTGCACTACTCTGAGATCGTGCGACTGTTACATTTAAACAAAACGGTCATATAAAAATGGTCCATACGAACAAAACGCTATGCTGTCTATGTGCGTTATGAAATAACCTAAAGCTCTCTATGTATATAAAGCAGTATATGTTGGCACATTTTTCAATTGCTCGTCGGACTCTCATGAGCGATAATATCATAACTTTTTTCTCTCATTGTTTATTGGTTATTATTAACAAAATTGTGAATTAATCAATCGGATCGACGACAGGTTATGTGCTAATCTAATTCATCTACGTGTTGCACAAACGACCGAACCATTAAATACGGATGAAAACAAACAAATCGAATCATTGATTGAGGAGGTGAGTTGACAATGTTTTCACACTTTGTTGTTTTCACGATCGTTGATAGCCACAACGTTATTGATCTTGCTCACACACACGCATAGTAACACCAAACCAAGCTAGGTTATGAATGACCGAGCTATGCAAAAAACGTATTTACGCAAAACAGTCGACGTAAATATGTAAATACATAGCGCGAGTGTGTAAGCAACATACATTATACATCCTGCACATTTGTGCGGTGTCTTTTAGCCTCCGACTTTGATAAAGAATATTAATTAGCTCGCGAGATGGTCTTCGATATTTCATTCGATCAATTTAATTTAACAACCTGTTGTGCAACAATATCGTCAAAAAAAAAATAACAATCGAAGCAAGATAACTTGAGTCGTTTTGCAGAGCGCGTCGCTGTTTTTTTCCAATCAAAAGTCTAACGAGAATACTCGGTTAACGCGAGCGAAGCTCTTAATTTCAATAGAGAGCTATACTAGTGTTCATTAACCTTGGAGCTAAAACATGTGGGGTTTGCACTTCTTATACACGGCACATCTCACACGCGCTATCGAGGTCGACGTGAAATTCATATTTTTAAATTCAAATCGAAGAAGTTGGTAATGATGAGTTTAGACATTTGAGCTCCGCTACTATTAAACGGCGACATGTACGTGGTTTCATCTAGAGGAGATTGTGCTGATCGGCTCAAAATCGAATTTTGCAATGACCTTTTAATAAACGTCACTTGAAAAAGGTACTTGTGTCTTGCTAAATTACTCCGCATACGTTTAAAAGTTGTAAATCATTTTTAAATAAAATTTTCCTAATTTACATAATATTTTGTTACGTGTATCTGCCTATAACAATGTCGCAATAAGATTTTATGTATTCTTTTTATTAAGTTCTTTTCGTCATTTTAGCATTTAACTCGATTGTAAATCAAGTAAACAATTTCTCGATCAGTTGGAACAAATCTTGAATCTTTAAACAATGACAAAAAATATCGTCATGAATACGTTTCGATACTATTTATGAATCACTTAAGAAAAAACCATTTGTCATTTACCGGTCTCAATCAATCGCTTTATATAAAAAAAAAAAAAAAATACTCGCGACAAATTGAGAGTTTTCTTAGAAGCATCAAAATTGCTTTAATTTTTATGTTGATAATGTGAATTGGGGTACACAAAATTTTAGGAAACCTAGCTTAACAGTAAAAAAAAATTCTTGAAGCGGCAATGAATCACAGACATTTTTACAACGTGCCGCAAGTAACCCTATTATATTATAGTCAAGATAATTTCGATCGCTCGAAACATCGATGCGAGTACTGGGAAGTAGGAACCCGATGCAAGACTCTAGATCGTTGCTCGCGTTATCGTATGCATCTGCTGCGCGAATAATGTATGTTCGAATGAGAAAAGCTCCAAGCGCAGGAATAAAAAAGCGTATCCGTCCGCATAGCTTGTCGTGCCGTTTTCGTGTGCTATACTACTGTCTTTGCTAAAAAGTATATCAATATTTACGTTGAGGTGCGCAAAGTCGCAGTATTTGCGCGAACGCGCTATACGTAAATTATACGCGAGCAAAAAGAGCGATGTGTAGCTAAATGCGCTTGCCCGCAATACGGAACTCGATATACAATTTATAAATAATAAACACGTATGCGATGTGTACATCGATCTCCGTTTGGGTTCGCGACGACGCTACGTAAACGATCGGCAACAGCATTAGCACGTTGTTTTGTGTCGCTCGAATCTTTATTCGAGCGTGTCGGGCCGAACGACGTCATCAAATAATAGCGACGCGCGGCCCGACTCGGCGCGACCGCGAAAACCGAATGGTAGCTAATTACAAAAGTGACGCCGAGAAAGAAAGGTATTCAAGTATCTCTCTGCATGTGTGCGCGCTTAGCTCGAGTGAAATTGCTTATATTCCATGTGTTGGTATCGTGTGAGCGTCGAACGACGCGTCGCCGCGGCCGCCACCGTTCCTGGCTTTTTCTCATCGTTTCAAATATAACGACGCGGTATAAATAAGTATGAGCAATAGCGAATGATCTACCTATATGTATATTCGACTGTTGTTGTCATGTATGCCGATCTCTCTCATTCTCTTGTGTCTGTGTTTTTTTTTGTCTCTTCTCGCTATGCCGTTGACGTAAATATGTATATGCGCGCGCGTTATAAACCGGAGCGGATGGCATGCATACAAAGCATACAGCTCGCTCGCAGTTGGATGATTATCATCATTTTCCCACATAGACATGTATACTCGGTGGCACGTGCTCGCGGATGAAGATTCATCGGGCATCGGTTATGGATGTGGGGGCGGCGACGACCGCAGCCGGGACCACCGGAATACGATGACCCTGAATTGAGAAAGAGAAAGAGCTTCAGCTCGATGGGGGGAGCGAGTCAACATTGCAAAGTAAAAGAGAGAGAGAGAGACACGTTGTCGAGATGTATAGGCAGACACTTTTGCTCCGATATATAAGCTCTTTCGCTTAGAATTCGCGCGATCAGTTCGAGCGCGGAGGCTGGCCGGGATAGGTAGATCGCCAGCCGTGTTTATTATATATATTACATTTACTTTAAAAGATCGCATAGTGCGTGGCACGCGTTGGATCGTAGCCTCTTATTTTAGATCATTGTGTCAGGTGTGAGTGAGCACGACATCTCCTCTTTTATTTATATGCGACGTATACAATATATGTGCTTCTTTGTGTGGTTTTTATAAGGCGATGATTGTTCATCTAGCCTAATTACTTATTGTAAATACAGTGCTACAAGTTGATTAGAATGTGTTTAAAGTGGGTTCGATAGTGCGATATATACATGTACGTATACATTGATATAGGTTGTTTGTTTTTTTCTGTGGATACTCGTTTTTGATGCAAGATACATCGACTTAACCATCGATTTTTATTTTACCAAAAAGAACATTTAAAGTACATGCATAAGTATACCGCTGTATAAGACTGATTATTTTGGTAAGAATTAAAGCTACCTTTCGTGCATAAATTATTCAATATTTTTTCCGATCTTCCTTTAATACCATTCCTTATCCAAAAAAAACGTCATCAATAAAATACATCGCAATAACTCTGCATATTGTTTGGTGAATACATAATTACTGATAAGTAAATAATAGGGTTGATTTGATCTAATTAGGCATTTCAAAATTACATTTTGAAACATCTATCGATCATATTTTAACTGTAGACATGCGTGTGCAAACTCATCCATTGTTGAAATTTCATTTATGAACTGCAATAGAGAGTAACGCACTTTCACTGGACACTATTCACACGGGCACTCGGTTATAGACATTAGACTTGTTACAGATAGCATCTTCGACATTTTTTGTTCAATCGAATTGATCTATTTACTATATTTAAAAACATTTCAGCTTCTATTATATAATTACTCGAGTTTAACTTGAATAGTTGATATTTTAATAATATATGGCCTTGAAGAGCAGCTACTTCCTAACGCTTATTAGTTTTCTTCATTCAATGCGATCGGTACAGTTGTAGAGTAATGTCTTTTGGAGTAACGAATTTTGGTGGGGTTAATTTGCGATCAAATCGCATCAACACTGAGATTATGAGATAAATACATAAGAAGTCAATACCGTACGTTTTTATCAGTCCTCGTGTAGTCCATTTTCCCACGACGTATTGGAAAAAAGTTACTAATCGTTTGAGTCATTCAGCGCAGGTGCATGACGTTTTCGTAAAGAAAAACAACTTGGCCACAATAACAAACCGTACGATTAGATTGTAAACAATTTGATTTTTTTGATGCAATTGTTTTTTATTATTAAGATTTATAAACACAAAAACGGAACCTTACAAAAATCTTTTACTATATGTGCTCCACAATTCTTATAAACTATATTTCAGATATTAAAAGTTGCATCTCACATATGGTTCTTATCTTTCTTATCAACCTGACGCTTGATATAATTACGTGAGAAAAAATATAATTCCAAATTGAAATTCGCTTTCGTAAAGAATTATTTGTTTAAAAACTTACAATAAACCTAATGAATTTTTGTAAGTTCTTCGAAATCATCTTATAGGGTTGTTTTTTTGTAGCAAAGATTCTGTGATGATTCAGCTTTACGTTACCTTTGTTTCATTGATATTTCATAAAACTCATGATCGATTTCTTTCACTTTTTTCATTTGTTCTGAATTCTAAAACGAAGAAATCTTACTTGTAGCTTATGCCTCGATTGATGCGATTTAAAAAATGTATTAATGAAAATTAATAAATTGAAAATTAATGAATTGAATAATTGTTTATTTATTATCTATAAATATTATCAAGTTCATTAAAAAGTATGTCTCGCATTGATTAGTTCAACTTTTATTGAAGTTAAATTATAAAAGGAAAAAAAAGTATATCAATGTTGCCTATTTCAAATTTGCCTAATTTTTTGTTTCAGTAAGTGATTTTAAAACTTGATATAGTGATTTAAAAAATCAAGTTAAAAAATGCCGCACATAACGGAAGATTCAGTGCAGATAAAAAAAGAATCAGACTCTATGTACAAAGAAATGTTGCTAATGACCAAAGAAATGGCCTGTGTCTACTTCGTACAAAAGTAAGTACTCAATATTTGAAGTGAAATTAAATTACTCCAAATGTTTCGTCTATAAAATTGTATTAGTCTTATGACATGTCTATAATTAAAACTTTATACTACATTTTAAGATATTGTGTCATCAACATGAAAAATGTTTGTGATTTATGACTCTGAAAGTTTACTCGCGAATATAAAAGACAGATTACTCCTACTACACTCATAATAATTCAAAATTCAAGCAGTATATTACAAATAAAAGCGAGAAATTTCAATAAAATTAATAATGATAGTAAATTGCAGAGTAATTTTTAAAATGGACCAATAAACTTTTATGTTTTGGATAAATTTAAACTTGCCATATTTTTACGATGTTGATGAAACTTACTAAAACTAAGAAATTTCTAGGGTCAAAAACTATTTTTTTAATCAATGATTTTTTCTTAAAATATAGAAAAGACTCTAATATTTCAAATAACAAAAAAAATTTGATAACAATTAGGCAGTTCGTACGTGAGATGTTCTGAAAATGGTTAAAATTGTTTTAAAATTTACTAAACATAAAATTCTCTTCTCCTATATGATGTAATCTAAATGAGCTCAATGTTATTTAAAAATATAATTAAAAAATCGTATGAGAGAATTTTATTTTTGGAGATTGTTCATCAAAAATCTGTACTACAAGATTGTAATTGAATACATGAAAATCGTCAAAATTCATATGATCTCCCAACTGAACAGAGCATGTTTCTGGTCTCTCTGTTGCAGGTGAGGGAGCATCAAGGCTTTGAACGTTCATGATTGAGTGTACCTCAAGAAACATGCTCAAACACGGACAAATTTTTAAGTCTGTTACAGAATCAGATGTTCGAAAGTACGTCTGGCTAATGCAAAATTTTTTTCCTTTTTTTTGCCGTGATAGTTTTCAAGACTATATTTAAAACATTTAATCAAATTCAATAATCTATTTAAGCATATATTATATGTTTGCTTATTGCAATCTTTATTACATGTGCTTTACAAGGCTATTAAGTGTGCATTTGTAACTAATGTTACTGATTATTAATGTTTTTTTAACGATATCTGCTTTTTTAAAGATATTTCCATGTGTAAAAATAAAAAAATTACGAAGAAGTGTGAAATATTAGTGCTAGAAAAATGCGATGTTTCTGCTTGTATTATTTGATTGGAACTTTTAATATCTAAACATTATGAAAATATTTAGTTCATTTTGCTAATCAAATGAAAAATGCAGAAAAAAATATCAATAGAACTTCCAAATTTTACATAATCAATCTATCTAATAGTGTGAATATAAAATAGCGCGTATTTTTGCTAAGTTTCATTTGCGTCAATTGTAAATTCATTAAGTTGATGTAAAATGGATCATATTACAGACTAAAAAATATAAGTCGATTCTTTCTTGTAACTTCAAACTATCACCGGTAACTGAAACTTGTATAGTTTCTATCACTACTTGGCTATAAATAAAAACTTTTTTTCTGTAATAAAGTATCTGATTGTCCATTTGTTAAAGACTCGGGTGCTTGAAAAAAAATTGTATTCAATTTTTGGAAAAATGATTATTTTTCACTGGGTTTATGATAATTCCGTGAGCCTTTTTTGTGTAATTTTCGTTTTAATTTTTTTTTTTTGCATTTTTTAGTGTTTAATGTTTTTAAAAATACGTTTCACTTGTTGCTTCTTATTAGATTCGTAGGTTACTCTGCAAAAACACGTGAGCTTAGTTTTTTTTTATTTTACATTTTCTTTTTATTATTTCCGTCATGAATCTACTGATTCAGAGCCATTTATGGGTTCGATCACTTAGCCCGAGGTAGTGACCGTTAGCATTGATATTGCAAAGAAGTATACACCTCTCAGGTGCAGCTCAAACGATTCGCTCCTAAAGTTACGGCAAATGATGATTCCTTTACAAAAATTGAATGAAAATTTTTTTGATTCAAGCTCTCTTTAACCCGCAACAGAATCTCAAAACAAGGATTTTTGCACATTTCGTTATATTTCTTATAATTAATTATGTGTGATTTTTGAAAGAAAAAGTAGATAAATTTAAAATGAGTAGATTCGAGTTGATGGATTCCATCAATATAATTGTAATGAAGAATATTCCAATATTCAAGTTTTGTGAATTAAAATGCACTTAAAGATAAAATATCAAGCTTGCTTATTGTTTACTTATTTTAAACCCTCAGCGCAGTTTATTTTTTAATATATTCACTAATGGCTTCGAGTATTTTCAAGCAGATAGAAATAAATAAAATTTTGAAAATAATTTGAAGTAAGGAAAGTCTGTTATTTTTTTATTTCAGTGAAACGTATCAGTTGAATTGGCATGACAATTGGCTATTGACTCCAGTCAGGAAGAGAAAACGATCGAGTGAGTATACTTATTGCGAGCTTCTCATTACAATAACGTGGCTCATTGAAAATCGTTTGTCTTCGTTACTTGGCAGTGCCTAGCTACGAAGTATTTCTCGGTGGTTCGTGTAATCCAACTACCTGGCGAAAAGATATCGTGATTCCAGTTTTGAGCAAACACAATATCAGCTTCTACAATCCTGTAAGCATATAATACGAAAAACGATAAACTTTTTTATCGCCCATCATTCGCTCGACTATTTATAACGATTTATGTGATCTCGGAATTGTGCCGCATAGCAAGTGGACGACTGGAATCCGACCCTAGTGAAATTCGAAGCTAGTGCAAAGCAAGATGCAAAGCTGCTTTTGTTCGTCATTGACGACACCACTCGCAATTGTGCAGGGATAGTCGAGGCTTCTGCGCTTGCCGCCTCGAGAACCCAACAAACAGTCCTCGTTCTCAAGTATCATCAACGGGGTCAGACTATCAACGGGGAGGTGATCTCCGATCGGTATGTACCTCTTCGATTCTATATTAAAACGAATCAAATATACTTTTCTCGGTTTAGATGATATGTATCTTTAGTCGTTAATTTTATTATAGTAAATCCTAAAAAAATCCCGACTTTCTCCGAAATTTTTTTCCAAAAAATAGGAAAATTTTCACTAATAATATAATACTAGCGTCATTCCTCGCTCACTAACGCTCGCTCGTAAATAACTAAAAAATGACCAAAAATCCTTTCTTCTATCTTACAAGAGTATAACTATATCTTTTGACGCATCATTATTTTACCGTACGTTCCAAATGTATTTTTATGCACTTTTGAATCATTTTTTTTAAATGTCCATAAAAAAATGATTTTTCAACGTAATTTTTTTCTACATCTTGTGGGAGCATGATCATGTCTTATGACGCATCTTTTTTTAGCTTTATGCCTTTAGGCATTTTTCCAATTTTGATAAAGTAACGATTTTGAACTGAATTTTTTCTTATTAATGTATTGATTTCAGGAAAAAATTAATGAAAAGCTACCTTTAATTGGAATTATATGTCTAATGAATTTTCCTATTTCATATATTATAAATGTATAAAATTATTGTAAAATTCTTGTTCCCCTAAAATTTCTTACAAAAACTCCTAACAACTGAGCGAGCGAGCGAAGGTGAGAAATCGAGGTATAAAGTTAGTTTATATTAATATTTTTTGCGTTCTAGAGAGCATTATGAATTGGTAAACGCAATGGCGATATTGGAATATTTGTATGCCAACCGCAAAGGTGATCCAACGTATAGCATCGAAATGGGCCTCCAAAAAGTCATTTGGGTAAGATGGATTTACTTTTTTAATTAGAAAAATATTTTTTCAATTCCTTGCCAATGGGTTGGCAACAGTTCATTTCATATCGGTGTTGTAATTTATAGAAATTACGTGGTGATACTGGCATTGAAGATGTACCTGATCCCCAAGCACACTTGCACAAAATAGATTTAAATGCTCCGGAACATGATTTTATGTAAGCTCACATTATTTTCAGAGCCAATAATCATATTTGAAACTTTTTTATTGAATTTTATTTATTTATTTAGAGCAATGAATGCTGCTTTCGGTGACCTAAGGATAAATGAAGCTAATTGTAAGATGGATGCGAAAAAAGTAAGTTGTTTTATTTTCAAGTCTTAGATTCTCGTGTGATTTTTACAAAGATACATTTAATTATGTATTTTAGGCTTTTTTAAAATTAATGGAAGTTATAGGCATCCCACAAGTCGATCTGCAAAATCCACGAGATGATGAAATGAAAGTACTAGGTTTGTTGCTTTTTCTACAATTCATTGATTTAATAACATCAACTCAGAGTAGTAAAATACATTACTTACTAAATTTTTTTTTAATTTATACGCAGACGAGACGTACGCGTTAAGAAGATTTGCATCAGTTTTTATGAACAAAAGTATAAAAGAAAAATTGAGTTATGAGCAAATATTTGCCTTTACAAGTTATTGGTTGCGTTGGATACGGAAAGATGCTGTCAGCAGTCTACGCGATGGTAAGAGCAATTTTTTAATATTTTGACTTAAGTCTTTACCGATCTCTAAATTTCTCTATAATTGCATAGACTGGATGGATAATATTTTTGATACTACGTCGAATCGAGACTTGTACCTAGGATTTTTCCAAACTGAAAATGATTATTGGCACAATAACGATGCATCGATAAAATTAGTCGAGTGAGTTAATTTGCAAAAAAACTAAAATACCTAATTCTCCCTTTAAAAACTGCTCAAAATATTGAATACTTACTTTAATAGAGCTAGTGGTTTCTCTTTTTACCGTCCTTGTACGGATGAATTCAATTCTTTGATCATGCCTTTGGAGTACTTACGTATGGAGAAGTCTGCAGTCGTCGTTCTGGAAATTCCACAGGATCAACGTGCTCTTGCAACAATGGCTGTCGTTGCACATCTAATTGAACTAGTCAAACCTGTAGTCATTAGTTTTCAAAATATCTCCATGAGTACAAGCTCCCTCGCCAATGGCGAAAAGGTAATACACGAGTCAAAAGTTTCGTTTAACGAAACCATCAGATTTCTGTGAATTATTTTGTTCAATTTTCAGCTTACCGAGACGGCTAGAAAAGATTATAATCGAGGTCGAGCATATCTAATGGATATGATTCAAGATAAAGCAAAGACAACTGCTAAAGCTAACGTATTTTTATGTACAAATGTGGAAGAAGCATTGGGGAAAGCTATCAGCTTAGTGAAAGAAGATTTTTAATCAGGACTCTTTTATTCCAATGACTCTCAATAATCAATTGAATTATTCAATATTCGTACGAAAATGAAAAAATACATTGAGATATACTTTATTAAAAGCTTTTTTGAAGCTTGTGGATACTAGATACATCATATTAAAAAAAATCATCATCCTGCTGTTACCATAATTTTGAGTTTATTTCCATTTATAAATTCTAGTATGAACAATTTTTTTTATAATAAGGACACTTTTTTATTGAAAAAATTTGCTATAAATGTTGATATTAAAAATGACATTTTTAATAATGAAATGTTTATTATAGATTGATGTCATTTTTAATGAGAGTAATAAATAAGAAAGATCTCGTTGATTAGTTGAAAATATCATTTATAATCATAAGTCATAATTTTATGTTTTTGTACATAGACTTTAGATTAAGAAAGATAGAATTATGCGTGTTCAATCCAATCTAATCAATGTCATGAATCATTTCATGACTGATTAGTGCACATTTTAAAGATGAAATACTGTAATCTCAAATATATTTTTGTTAACGTAATAAATTTATAGTTTTGTAAATGTTATTTTTAAATGTTATAAAATTTTATATTTCATTAATTCGTGCTTTATTTAAGGTTGTAATATTGATTCAATATCAATGGCATTCAAATGATAATTATTTCATATTATTTATCATTCATAGTCTATTTAACGTATTTAATTATAAAAACTACGGCATTTATTATGAATTAATAATATTATATTAATATGAATCAAAATAAGTACATATACTTCAAATTTAATGAATGTTCGCGTTTCAATGATGTAGAACATTTTCCGTGAGATTATTTTATAGCCCCTCCGTAAATAACAATAAATAGTTTGATTGACTCATTTTTTTCATTTGAAACATTAATATTATAAACTGAATGCGCGCAATAATGTACAGTAGTTTTTTTGTTACAGAATGTATAAAAATATTTAAAAAATGTGTATTATTTAATATACCAATTAAAACATTTTTCAAACAAAGGATTCATTATCATTATAGAAATTAAATTTTTTGTTATACAAACAATGTGTTGATCAATAGTCAATATTGCACTTGTTTAGACTTTGGATAATCGATTCATGCGATGTTCAAATCATTAATCGAGAAACATTTTATAACTAGTATCGAATCATTAGAAGCGCGATGCATGTCTTTGATGTACACGATTTTATTTAAAGGCAGATGAATGAATATTTTATTAAATATACTGAAGTCCAGAAATATATTTTATACTTTCAAGCCAGGTACTTATATACATTATCTTACATTCACTTATATTAAATTTTTCTTAATCCATTCGATTGTTTGTACAAAATTCAATTTTTCGAACAATATTTAATGTTTAAAACTTCAATAATTATTTCTGGCTTCATCGTTGTTACGATTGCGATCACGCCGTTGACGACCTCCCCAATCTTGCCTATTGAAGTTATTACGCTCGCGGAAGTTTCCTTGGTTTCGGAAGTTTCCTGTAAAATAATAATGTTTTGATGAATTAAGAAAAAAATATTCAATTTTTATAAAATGTATCTACTGACCTTGTTTCATCTCAAAAATGCGTTCGTTTGAATCGACAAAGTTGTTGACTTTGTCTGTGAGCTGCAAAGCCAAAGATTGTAAACGACTTGGTTCACTGCGGTGCATCACGACAGCCTCGGAAGGTTCATCCAACGAAGCCATCAGCTCTTCGTTGATAATCATTTTACTTATAATTGAATGAACAGTTGCCCTTTCTAACTCGAACATAAGGGCTAAAGTTGGCATCGATATGGAATCATAAACATGAGAATAAGTAAAAAGGTATGTTCTCAGAGCCTCCTCTTTAATGAGCTTGGTCAGCATTGCTCTAACTTTATCGGCTTGATAAAATAGATCCCAAACCTGAAAATTAAGATCATTTAAATAAAACCATTCAGGTAAAGAATTAACGAATAATTATTGGATACAATTGAGACTAACTTTTCCATTCATTTTTTCATTGATAATAAAATTATTGCAAGCAGCCCAGTTTCCATTACGCATAGCTTTTGAAGCAGCCACAACATGTTCTCTCATGGATTCTGGAGGTCCGACTAGCGACTGACGTTCGCTCGATCTTAGTTGCTGGTAATAGGTCTTGGAAATCATTCTTCTCCTAGCATCAAACTCATGAGCTGAAAAGGAAATGCAATAGCTCAAGAAAAGATTTCCCAAACTTATATTTTTGGCTATTTAAATACTTACCAGCCATATACGGAATTTCAATGAGCATAGCCGAAACCAGATACACACACTCGAGTACTTCCAAATTTATGTGCATGTGGAAGGGCATTTGACGTTGTTTCTCAATTTTTTCTTGCTCTTTGCTGCGCTCATGTTGTCTTTGAGGCATCAAACCTTGAGCCAAGAGTTCCTTTACTTTGCCAGTCATCATTAAATCAAGAAGGCAATTGTGAGCATCTTTAATGTTTGCATGACGAAATGCGCAGAGCCCGAGATGAGCAACGGCTCGATTGTACAAAATCTGTGTGGCTGGATCAGAATGATGAATGTTTTCTTGCAAATGTGACATGAGGAATAAGTCACGGGCTTTAAACCAATTATCATGAATGGAGTGGTGATAAATATGAGACAAAATAGCCCTAGTCCTGAGGCGATCAGTTTCATCATGGCTATAAATGTATTTACACATTTTATCCATAACTTTTACAGAGGTGAGAGCATCAGCTGGAATTTCACCCTGAAATGAAAACATTACCACAAAATTTAAATTCTTGCAACAGTTAATTATAATTTTAATATTGCAATTATTTACATCTTTTTGCTTCAAAACAGTTGGATCAAATTTATAATACAAATGCTCTATTTTACGAATGTAAATACGGCAAAGTTCTGATGGAGTTCCTTGTCTCTCCAGGTACTCTTCCACTTTGTCAATAATAGTGCAAACTTGATTTTCGTCCTTTAGTCTAAAATATTTGAATTGTTAGAAAAGAAAAACTACCCTATTATAGATAGTTAAAATTTTACCTTTCAACATATTCATTGCTGTGGGGGTCGCATTCTTTGAGAAGTTTGATAAATTCTTCATCTAATCTTTCTGCTAAAGTGAGTACACAGCCATGCAGTTTAAAAGGAGATTTTTCATACTCTTCCTCATCTTCAGGGATAGATTTAGCCAAGACAATATCATTAGTACTCAAAAGTAACGTTAACATTTCAGAAATGCGCTCTAAAATTCTGTAATTGGTAAATTTTAGATTTTAAATAATTTAAAAAAATTTGTAATAGCTAAACAGCACAAAACTTACTTTGACCAATATTCTGGTTTCATAGCATCAGATACCTTTGGATTATAATCAAAGATAGATGAAACAATGCAAAACTTTATTTTAACTAATGCAGCATTAAGATTGTGATTTTCAGCAATCGCTTGCAGCTCATGTAAAAGTTCAATTTTTTCTCTTCTATCCGTTCTTTTTTTGCCACGGGCAGCTATGATTTCATTTAATTTTTTCAAAACACTAGCAGTATTAATTTCGGCATCTTTAGCAAACATTTTAGGCTTTTCTGATGGTATGGCCACTCCACCTTTTACAGTCTCCCATTCTCCTTCACCATCATCTTCTTCACGTTTCTTTTTTCTATCCTTTTCTTTACGGTCTTTACGGTGTTCTTTTTTGACCTGTTTTTGTTCATCATCTCCATCTTTTTGTGTTTTTCTGAAGTAATCAGCAGCATGAGGTTTATCATCATCAGAGCTACTGGAGCTTTCATCTTCAGAGCTTGAACCCCAGTCTGAATCACTATCACTACCATCGACATCTGCTCCTTTCTATAAATATGATAGGGTGTAAGAATTCATTTCTAGGGGAAAGTAGAACCTAATGTTAAAAATATAAATGATTTTTACCTTGAACTTAGAAACATCTGGAACAAGTTCTTGCTTCTTGAAATCACTTATCTGATTTTCATCATCATCTTCATCATCAGAATTAACTTCATCAACTAAAAATTATTGAAATGAATTTTGTTTTCAACATTTTTTTGATAAAAAAATTAAAAATATACCTTTTTCTTCTTCTTCATCATCATCTTTAGGTGGATTTTCTCTGAAGGCTTCAATTTCTTTTTCAAAATCTTTGTTATACTTTCTCAATTTTTGGCGAAAAGATGATAATGCTCTAGAGTTTATTTTTGACATGCTTTTACGTCCCTCTTTATCTTCCCAAACTTCTTTGATAAAGTCATCAAGTTCAACCAGACATCTTAAATAAAAATTAGGAGTTTTTCCGTTTTCTTCCTTAGATATAACAGACGAGGCTTTGTTATAAGCCTTGACCAATTCTTCAAAAGCTGCAACAAAAAAAAATGTTTAGTTCCTTTACAATATTAAATTTTCAAGTAATTAAAATTTTTGTTGAACTTACTACTGAGCACAGAGTTAATATCTTTGATCTTTTTTTGATTTCTAATAAGTTTAATGGCATTAGTGATCTCCTCGTATCTCTTTTCTTTAGCCGAACGAACAACTCGTTTGGTATCCTCTTCATCATCACTGAACTACTCAACATAGTGTTTATTATTAATAAAATCTATTAATAATTTTTGTTAAAGAAAAGCATTGATAAAAAAGTATTCTTACAGTGAAGGCAGCAGTAGGTGCTCTTTGAACCTGCTCCTCCTCAGAAGAGGTTTCCGATTCAGAATCAGAACCAGTGGCAAAAAATCGACTCATCCTTGCTGAACTATATGAAAATATGATTAATTTTTGTTAAATTTAGTCTTTAATTAACTAACATTAAACAATTAAAAAATATTGAATTTCTCATTGAGCATTATTATAAAAAAGAAAAAAATTGAAACAGAATAGATCTGTGCAAATGGAAACACATGGTTAATAACGTTCTTTTGAGATAATAAAACAAGTATTTTATAAAAAATTAACTGTCTACTATTGACACTTAAAAAAAACGATTAATTTGTTACTAACTTGAATTGTATTTTTCAGTATTTTAATATTTTATATTAATATATAATTTAACATATGAAGCAAACCAACTTTATTGCAAAGTATGAATAATTTTCAGGTTAGCACGAATCATCATCCATAAATTCGTGCGGCTGCCGCTTGCTTTATAATTATTATAGATTATATTATATATATACATATATATAGCCTGGTGTTATCGACTGAGTGTTGCGCTTAACGCTGAAAATTGTTGCCAATACATTAGCAAAGGCACCTACTTCATCACGATCGTCGATCATTCATAATCATTCAGGTTTATGTAGCAGGGGCGAAAGAGCCTCCTTTGAAAATCATTGCTGTCTAGGATTTGATTTGAATTATGCTACAATACTAATTAAATAAGACGTTGTTCCAATGATGTCTGAGAAATGAAAAAATCGATAAAACTAAAATCGAAAACCAACCATATTTTATTTTCAGAATGTAAATTTTGAAATATTTAACAGATTTAACAGATTCCTACAGTTTTGTTCTTCGATCCAAGTTTAACCGATCTTTTGTAGCACGAACTGTAGAAGCTTATATCAACCCATCAATAAAACGAAAAGTATATAATTTTTTAAAAATTAAAAATAAAATTCTTTCTAAGAATGTAATTTTGAAAATAATATACGAATCCTCGCGTTATTGCTCTTAAATAAATTAGCTGCTCTTTTTTCATAATCACTGCACAAACATTCAAAAATCGAAGAACCTAGAAAGAAATTGAAAAAAACAACAAATTTCGCAAAAAATCAGAAAACCAGGCATTTTGAAAGCTTAACACGATACTCTTTATTCGATTTTTTTTTATTGAAATAATTTGAATCGGTGAAATTTTTGGAGATCTTCCTGGAAAATAAACTTGTCTTTCAAAGCAATTTTTCGGCAAGGAAAAAGGTTTTCGAAAAAAAAACGATGGTAACCATCAAAAAGATCAAGCAAAAATCGATCCGTAAAATATTTTTCTTAAGTCACTGGAAGTTTTAATTAAAAAGTTGCGATCGGGGCAAAAATGCTGTGTAGGAAAACTGCCAATGAAGCCGATTTAAATGGTATAAATAATTTTATCATCAATAATAAATGATATATTTTAAATTTTGTTCAGTTGCTTATTCTGAACATAGATCTGTAATTCATGATCTTTTCACAATAAATGTTTTTTGTAAACAAATAATTTAAAGCTTATACTTACACAATACATTTTACTTGTGATATAAATAAAACCAAAAAATGTTATATTTTTAAGATATTTTTTGTAACAAGTATAATTAATTCAAATTAACATTACTAAGTGTTACAAATTTGTACTTTCATTCTAGGAACTTGTAACAAGCTATGTTATAATTGTATTTTACTTATACAGAATTGTTTACAGAGATTCAACGATGCAATACTTATTATAAAATATAGACTGTAGTGCAATCTCAGTAATATTGTTGTACATAATTATCTATGAATAATAAAAAAATTTTATCTTTTTTCACAGCCTAAGAAAATATACTCAATACATCTAGATAATATTTTTGTAGTTTTAAGTAGATGATAAATGTTTTTTTGGTTTGTAACCAGTCCATTGCCTGTACGTTGAATTCATTGTTTTTTCTACAAATTCATCAATAGGATGAATAATAAAAGGAATAGATACCAAACCTACAATGGTTGAAATCCAAGGACTTCGCAACAATGGTCTTGCAGTAGTTTTATTTTGAATGAAATGTGTCAGTGCACAAATTCTATTAATTGTAAGCCCGGGAATAATAACTGATGCAAAACCTTGCCATATTAAAGTGTCTGATGTTGATAGCACAACCTTTTTAATTTGGTTTGGTGATTTTTCATTCTAAAAAGATATATAATAATTAATGTTGTGTGAGTTAAATTGTTTATATTGACAAAATAAAAAACATTTACCTGATAGGTGTGATAACCTTTGTGTAAAGTATCAGCAAGAACATAACCACATGCAGCAATGTAACTTGACCATACAACTGACTTAGGAACAATACTGCGAAATGCTTCTCCAACTTCATTTGAATAACCTGCAATATTTCAATTTTTTTAAAACAATAAATATTATTGTTTTGAATTTGATAAACTTGAATGAAATTTATTTACTTAGGAGGTATTGATTCGAAAAAAATCCATACAAAAAGTTCAAAGATGAATAGAAAATTTCATGAAAAATATAGAAGTTAAAGAAAAAAATTACAACAGATTGAAGTTTATAACAATAACACTGACGGTGAAGTTATATAATTGACCCTTTGAACATTTTTACGTTAATTTTTCAGTTACGTGAATAGTTAAATATTGCTCACCTAGGTATCTAACGTTTGTATCGCGAAATATGTCAATTTCATCATTGCTAATTGAATCGTCGCTCATGTTAACAATGTTCGTGAACCAAACTTTAACTATATACTGTTGCATAAACACAACTATTTTTATAATGAAATATATTGCTATTTTCTATTAATTGTTATATTATTGTCTTCGTTACAAATGGACTGTTTCCAGTTCAATGTTATGAATAAGTGTAGTAATGTAATTGAAGATCCACTGTGTTCAATATTATAGCAGAATACTTCGGATTACATGTCATTGGAACGCAAACGCGCGCACTTCAGTTTTGTAGATTTTTATTAGCAGAAGTAGATCTTAGAATAACATTGTCAAAACATTGAAATTTGAAACGCACGCATTAAAAAAGGGTGAGGCTACTGTTATCTTTAGACATTCAGCTTTCTTTAAATTATAAAAAAATAATTTTCATGTTACGGTAAATGGTTGACGTCTATTAAGTTGAAACATTTTTTGTAGATGTTTTTGAACGATAACTAGTATGGATATTATAACATTTTGTATAAATGCGTAAGAACTGACAAGGATGAAAGTGTTTCACAACTATTAAATGGTACTTTTACTTCCGTTATAATTCGATTTTTTTTCTATATATTCCGAATCATCAATGTAAATGTGATATTCATATAGCGCGCCATGTCGAATTTGTCTCAAAGTTATGGATGTTCCAGAAATGCGCGCCAAAAATTCCACAATAATGTACATATAATTATAAGAAGCTTATATAAAAATAACTAAATATAAAATATAGGTACTACTTTCATTTAGAATTTTCATTAATTGAGAACAGAGAATTCTGAACAAAATAAAAGTAATAAAAAGTTGACTTGATAATTTTCGCAAGTGTAATACGGACGATTTTTGCATAGTCAGTTCACTTCGTTTCGCTTGCGTCGCTGGCGAAATGGTTGTGTTTTCCCGTACTCGCCCACGTGAAGCAGACGTCAGCTAAGCGTGCTTAGTCACATCTGCGTATTCGAATTGTTAAAAAGTTGTGAGGTAAATAATGATCGAAATTCTTGTAAGCGTTTTCAAATTAAAAATTCCCTAATAGATTTTTTGATTGACAGTTAGTTATTACCTTATTGAATTGAGCTCAGGGGCTTCATTAGGAAAATGGCAAAAAGAGTACAACCAGCTTGGAATCCTCCAGAGCGAAAGAATGTCCCGGTTTTGAAACTTTATAATAGTTTAACGAGACAAAAAGAAGAGTTTGTGCCTCAATATGGAAATAGAGTTTTGTGGTACAGCTGTGGGCCAACAGTTTATGATGCTTCTCACATGGGTCATGCACGGTAAGCTTGAAATATGCTTACCTGTCACTTACATTTGTTTGAATAAAAATTGCATCATCTTTGTTGAACCTCTTGGTGTATGCTTGTTATAAATGAGTAATTATAATTCATATTTTAGATCATACATATCATTTGATATAATGCGAAGAATTCTTCAAGAGTACTTCAATTATGATGTATTGTATGTTATGAATATCACAGACATAGATGATAAAATAATTAAAAGAGCCAGGCAAAATCATTTATATGATACCTATATCAATGAAAATAATAGTCTTGAACAAATAACAAAGGATGTTGCAGAAGTCATGCTTAATTTTGAAGAAAAAATTAGGAAAACAACAGATCCTGATAAAAAATGTATGTTGGAAAAAATGCAAGTAGTGTTGCAAGAGTCTATAAAAAAACTAGATTCTGTTATTGATCAAAAGAATAATGAATTTAATAGAGAATTTAAAGAGGTATACAAATTAAATTACAATTTTTGCCAATTTATTAAGCAGATAATCTAACTTTTATAAATATATTTTTAGACTCTATTAAAAGATATCAAAGATCCACTTTCTGATTGGTTAGATAGCAAAAAAGGAGATACAGTTGATGAACATTCTATTTTCAATAAACTTTCACAAAAGTGGGAAGAAGATTATCATGAAGATATGAATGCCCTAAATGTATAATTAATTAAAAATTGTTCCATGTATATATTTAATCTAACATATCACTAATCTTTCAGGTTTTAAAACCCAATGTTTTAACGAGGGTTAGCGAATATGTTCCTGAAATAGTTGCATTTATTGAAAAAATAATAGCTAATGGTTTTGCGTATGAAAGTAATGGCTCAGTATACTTTGATGTTAAAGCTTTCGATAAAAAAGAAAAACATTACTATGCTAAACTAGTACCTGAAGCATATGGTGACACTTCTTCATTACAAGAAGGAGAAGGTATGGATGATATATTTAATTGATCAAATTCAGACAATTTTTATGGTGACTTAATCACTTTAATTTTTTTATTATAATTCATTCAATCAATCTTTATATCTGAATTACAGTTTTGCATAAGGACAAAAAGCGTTGATTTTATTCATGAATCATATATTTTAATTAAAATAATTAAAAACTTTTTCTTATTTTAGGTGATTTAAGTGTTTCGGCAGAACGATTATCGGAAAAACATTCAATAACTGACTTTGCATTATGGAAAAGCTCAAAAGCTGGTGAGCCTTGGTGGAATTCACCTTGGGGTAAAGGTAGACCTGGTTGGCATATTGAGTGCTCTGTTATGGCATCTGCAATTTGTGGTGGGAGCTTGGATATTCATACTGGTGGTGTAGATCTCAAATTTCCTCACCATGACAATGAACTTGCCCAAGCTGAAGCTTATTTTGATAACTCGCATTGGGTCAGGTGTGAAAATTGTCTTACTTAAAATTTTTGTATTATGATTCGTTTTGATAGCAAGGAAAACTTATTTTTGTAGGTATTTTTTGCACTCAGGACACCTCACAATTTCTGGTTGTAAAATGTCCAAATCATTGAAGAATTTTATAACAATTAAAGAAGCACTGAAAAAACACACTTCTAGACAATTGAGACTAGCCTTCTTGTTACATTCTTGGAAAGATACATTGGATTATGGAGATGCTACTATGGAAATGGCTGTACAGTACGAAAAGTTTTTAAATGAATTTTTTTTGAATGTAAAGTGTCGTATTAGAAAAATTAACCATGGAAAAACCATTGAAATATTTGATAAATGGAGTGAAATGGAATTAGACATGAATAATAAATTCTTTACTGCTAAAGATAATATTCATGCTGCTCTATGTGGTTAGTTTATTTTATTTTTTTTTTAAATCAAATTCATTCAAAGATTCAGTATTCATAATTTTCTTTCTATCAGATAACATTGATACGAGAACGGCTCTTGATGTTATTAGAGAATTAGTGACGAACTGTAATATTTACCTGAAAGACTGTCCCAAACCAAATACACTATTACTGCGTGATATTTCCGTTTATATAACGAAAATATTAACTATTTTTGGAGCCATCTCTGAACATGATTCAATTGGGTTTCCTAATGAAGGAGATATATCAAGTGCAAACGTAAGTAATTGTGATTTTTTAATTCATATAAACCTAAATTAAAATCATGAAATTCTTGATTTCATAGCTCGAAGAGAAAGTAATGCCGTATCTCGAAATTCTTTCTGATTTTCGAGAAAAAGTTCGAACTCACGCGCGCACATTGAAAGCAAACGATATTTTGACCGAGTGCGATCGTTTGCGAGATGATACTTTGCCGAATCTCGGTGTGCGATTGGAAGATGACAGCGGCTCAGGAGCTCAGATAAAGTTGGTCGATCGTGAATTATTGTTGCGTGAGCGTGAAGCTAAGAAAAAAATTGAAAACGCAAAAGCCGCCGAAAAAGAGAGGAAAAAAATTGAAGCTGAAAAAGCAGCAGCTATAAAAGATGCACAAAGAAAGATTCCACCAGAAGAAATGTTTCGAAACGAAGAGGATAAATATTCGCAATGGGATGATAAGGTATCATCATCAGTAGTTTTTAAGTGTGATTGTAAAATCCTTTGGTTGTTATTATAATGTTTTAATTAATTGACTAATTTTAGGGTCTTCCTACACATGATGCTAAAGGCCAAGAAATTAGCAAAGGTCTTTCCAAAAAATTGCAAAAGTTACAGCAACAGCAAGCAAAAAAATACCAAGAGTATATTGAACAAATGAAGAATCTTGCTTTAAATGAAGGTAAATGAAGTGAAAAAAGAATATTGTTAGTGACATCTATGACTAAAGATTTATGTAAATTTTTATAATCATTAACAATATATAACAGTGTTAAGTCGAATGAACTGATGCAAAGTTAATGTAACTTTTTCACATGAAAGTATTTTAGATAGTCTTGTATAAAAATATTGAAATTATTTTAGATAATTTTCCAAGACCCACATAAGGAATAAAAACTCACTAATCTAGAAATTTTTTTTTGATTTTATTAAAACCCTATCATTTAAAAAAAGCTCATGCCAATATGATAAATTAGAACTTTATTATTCTGAGATATTTCTTATATTGTTCTTTGGCAAGTAAAAAATAATTTTTGAAAGAATTTTCATTATTGAAAAGTATATAAACATGATCATTTGTTCAAGTATCATTTATGGATGGCCCTAAAATATTTTCTTTTTACTCTCCCGACAAATTATCTGTAACGAAATAATTTTGTGCATACCTAGTATACAAGCTAATGCATTCAGCCAATAGATTGTGCAAATTACACGTCATAATCATGGACGCATTTATGATTACCACGAACTTTATAACAGCGACCAGCGTCTTCATGCCGATTGGTCTTACTGTCGGATTTGCGTTTCTATTGGTCCGTCAAAACAAAAAAAAGGTAGCGAACGATGACAAAGAAAGGCAATGAATAAATCGACCATTTTTCATGAGATTCAGACTGCAAGCGCCTCTTGCTAATTGCGATCTCTAGTACTTTGATTTAGTGAATGTAGTGTGTTCATTAATCATTATTATATTAATATCAGTTATTTTGTTATTAACACCGACAACAAATCTTCTATCTTTATACTTTGATTCGGAATACTGGACTCAAACAATTTTGGATAACACAACCTGCCCAATTTTTATTGATGTTACTAAGTTTACCTTGTGTAAGTCGAAAAAATTGTTAAGAAAATAAAGATATGTTCATATTAAAAAGTTTTCTAATCATGGTTATCGATCATCTTAAATAGAAATAACTCCGGTAAACACATTTCTGTGTTTCAGATTTTTAAGTTTTAAGAAAAAAAATTGTTTCAACAATGCTTTATAATCCCAAAGACATCCGGGCTTTGGCTCATGATAAGCGTCTTCATCACAACCAACAAAGTCAGCTGACAAGAGGGAGCATTTTTAAAATGCTGGAAACGGGTGTTTTGCATGATGAAAATGAATTGGTAAGTTAGTACTTCATGATAAGTTTCAAAAATATTTCTTAAAGTATTAGAATTGGATTAGATGAGATGATGAAAATTGAATGTTTTTCAGAACTTCACGATAAGATTGAGTCGATATTATGTGGATGAGGGTATTCCGCACCTTGTTTACATTGATTTTGATATAGATGTTTTCAACACTATATTTTCAAAACAAGACGAAATAATGCATTATTTTAGACAAGGTGTTACCAGAACGATTTGTCAAAAAAAAAATATTCAAGTTTTTATTGTTGCGCATGCTTCAAAAACAGGATTCTTAATTTGCTTTCATGATATTCAAACTAAATTCCGAGTGTACATAACTGGTTCTACATTTGAAGTATTGATTAGCACTCGTTTTGATGTATATTCTGAATACAATAAGTTTTTAAGAGGTGATTTTGATGGGTGTACTGGCAATTCGTACACAACTTATAATTCGTACGACTATGACTCATCTGATAGTGACTATTATTAGCTGCTGGATAATTAAAATCATTATTTGTATGATTTCTTAATTTTTCAATTTTTTAATAAAATGTAACATTACAAATACTATTAAGAATAAATACATGCAAATTGGGTGGAACATAATATGTCATTCTTTGAGGCTTTATTTAAATTTAATTGATCAAGTGATCATATCTAAAATGTACGTCATATTTTATCATATCATATTTTAAAATGTATGTCATAAAAAAAATCAAAAGAAATACAAGTGTATCAATTTTTCAATATTTTAGGAAATGGTACATTTTATTTTTGAAGTTAACGTATCATGCAAAAACATAAAAATATAATAATTGCATACCTAAAAATTGTCATTTAATGGTTTAAAGTAGTTGATCACTGAATAAAGGTACCATATATTGAATCAAAAATTTATAAATTCATTACTTTCATGCAACGCATGTAAATTTATTTACGTACAAGATCAAAATTACTTTTTATGATAAAGATAAATGATATTTTAATTTAAACCTGAACTTATTCTTATTAATGAATTAAATTTGCATCATAGGTTACTTGACTTAACTAAAAACTAAAAAAAATTATTAATATCGTTTTGTTAAGATTAAATAGGAGTTAACATGGGCAAAATAGAGAGATTCTGAGTTTGATTGGACCATGTAGCCGCTCCAAGGCCACTGATGCCTGCAAAAATGCGTGTATTTTGTAGCTTACATGCATTTTTCAAAACTGAAAATTTGTTAAAACTTATTTAGTTTGCTTGATAAATTTAACTTAGAGTCTTTAGTTAGTCCTTTTTTGCGTTCATTTTACAAAACTTAGTGCTCAATTATTTATGATTGTTATTCTAATATATAAAAGATGCTAGCTTAGCGGTTAGAATGTTTAAACGCAATTATTATCATATACTGATTTCGAATTTAAAAAAAAAATTATTTGTCAATCTATTAAGTGCATTTTTAGTACTCTTACGTTTAATGATAATAAGTATTCATTCATTGAACAACTCTGCATTCAAAATTTTCGTATTTTTCATGTATCAGTATTCAAGTTTTCAAGAGGGCACTAGTGCGTTTCTCGATAATATGCAGTTATTGTTACACTTAGTATCCTGGAAGTTATGCCAATAAAAGCTATACTAAACGTAAACGTAAATTGTTTTAGATAAAAATAAAGTGTTCTTTCAACAACCCTGTCCTGACCGAGTTGCTGAAAAAATCTATAGATTAAAATGAATTTTATACAAGCATATTCCTCGCGCCGAATACACTAAAGCCGAATGATAATGCTTTGTTTTAATAACAGATCATAAAATGTCTGTAAATAAGCAACGCGAGTATTACATTTCAATACCACAAGAAAACATTTTTCTGCGTATATCTCATCTTGCAAATAAATTAGTAGGTATATATTTACAGTTTATAGAGACAAAATACACGGTACTTAGTTCACGATCCTCCCGTACCGATATTTTGGCGCCATTTTCTCATGCATGATGCATTTTATAATATTGTACCGACATCTTTTGTTATGTATCATAAAGATGAACTAATAAAAATCTACAAAAATGAAACTGTATCATCTATGTTATCTATATGATACTTTACCGTTCGTAATTTTAACTTGGATTGGATTTCCATGGGTATTCCCATTATCCGCATTGAAATAGAATTATGTTTTTTGATCTATTTTAATTTCAATAAGTATAATCTGATTTTTAACCATAGGGTCAAAAAACAATTTTAGTTTCATACAATTTTATTAATACAGGAAATACGAGTAAGCGACTAACAAAATATATATACGATTGTGAATATTGTTATTCTCTTATTCTATAACTTTACTAGTGTAATTTACCAGTTAAAAATCGTATAATTCATACAGGTTTTTAGAAAATGATGAGCTTTGACCCAGAAAATTATATAGATGAAGAAAAAAAACTTGATCGCTATATTCAGTTTACCTTGACAGGTAATCAAGGTTATAAAATGTTGACCATTGGTTTTCTTGAAGATGATGATGATGAATGGGTACGTTATACATTATTAATGCTAAGTTAATTCTATTATCAACTGATATGAATAAGAACAAATATTTTTTAATTATTTTCAATTGTTCGAATTGCAAGAAATCAAATAATAACAAATTTTTTAGTGGTTCACATTAAGACTTACTCGATATAGATCAAGAAAGGATCAAGTTGATTTTATGGATTTCAGTATTGAGGCATATTATAAAATATTAAATACGAAGGAAAAAATTTTTTACTGCTTACAGAATGAAATAATAAAAACTATTTGTCAAAAAGATGACCTACAAATAATGATTGTTAAGGATGAAACTCAAGATAAATGTTTAGTTTGTTTTCACGATGTATCTACCTCTTTAAGACTGCATATGACGGAACGTACTTTGAATTCCTTTATTAATTTAAGAAGTGAAGTAGATCAAAAATATGTTGAATTTCAAGAAGACTTTGATGATTTATCTGACAATGACTCTGAATATAACTCTGAATATAACTCTGAAAATTCACCTGATTATTACTATTAATTTTTAACAATATTTAAAAATAGCGGTTTACAATTTTTATAATATTCATGTTATGTATTTGCCATATAATTTACCTGTTTAAAATGTATAGTTATAGTAATAATGTAAGAGTTACCTAAAGGAAAGCTTTTTTGGTTTACTTATAAAAAACTTGAAATAATACAAAAATTATATATTTTTCATTTTTAATTTATGAAACATAAGTAATACATTAATCACAAGTTTTTATTTTCAATTTCTGATTTATGATATTCTGATACACAATATTTTTCTTGTATTAATAGTGATTTCAATAAATTGAATAGTTAACTATTAAGCAGCTTTATAACATATATTTTTTATAGTTCATTTAGATGAATTGCAATCTAGGAGCAACTTGAATGCAAATTTATTGATTGGTCAATAAAAAACTGTTTCAAATCCAGATTATTGAAATTATAAGTAATTATTCTAACGAACAACTATATTTTCATCTGCTTTATATTTTTCAATCTGGAAATCATACTGCTACAAAAAAATTTACATGCCAACTAGAATAGTGAGAAAGTTACTTACATAAATTCTTGAATTGTCTATCACACATAATGTCAAACATCATGATCAGTACAGCTTGATCAAAAGTATAAATAAAAAATTTTAACAATTCAAATCATCATTTCAGAATCATTTAATAATTTTTATACTCTGTTTATTTCATTGACGTACAATATTATTTTTTTGTTAAAAATTTTTTATCATAAATGTGTATTAAATTTTAACAAAAATAAAATAGGGTCTCACAAATGCTGCATGAACATCTTTGATTATGTCAACCATTTCATAAGTAGTAATTTGTACTCTTTGTTGCAAATTCAAATAAGAGTTACTTAGGTGACTTAGGTCTATGTAAGGAGAACAAAATCAAACTTTAATTACGAGAAGACCATGCGATGCGATGTAAAAGTGTTGACAAGGTTTCGATTTTCTCTTAAAATTTGATGTAATAATTGTTAAAGAACCGAATTAAAAAATGAATCATTTTTTGCATGGCAGATTTGCGCGAAAAAAAAGGTATTATTTGATAAGTGTACGCGAGGCTCGTTGGAAAAGAAAAAAAAGTTTAGAGACATGGGTGGAGCGGCTTCCTTGCGGAGAGCATCAGACAGTCGAAATCCCTACAGATAAAAAAGGTCCAGTGGCACCCCGAGAGCTTTTATCTGAATCACCCGCGCATGCACAAACTGTGTACAGTAGAGAGAACGCGTGTATACGTATACGAATGAATCTTATACTTCACCCCAGAGAATTTTTTTTCTCTCTGCGCCCTTCTGTGCCGAGGAAAAAAGTGCGGGGTAGGCCAGCGAGCGAGCGAGCGAGAGAATCCTTTCGTTTCTCCCTTGGCTTTTTTTTCGTTTCTCTTACCCCTAGCGGCGATGCGCGAAAAAAAGGGCTACGGTGCGCATATTATACATGCGAGTATGAAAGTTCGGGCAGGCGCTTGCATACATTGTGCTGTTGCGTCAAGGTGTATAAGGGCAGGCGCATTATGCGATGCCGCAACACAAGGAACAAGCAGAAGAAGAAGAGAGGGAGTCAAGAAGAGACAGAGAGCAGATCCGCGTCTGCCTCGTTCTTTTTATTTTGCGTGCTTTTATTTCTCGCCTCGCTAGCACCGATACTTACGTATTCTTTTATTTTTCAAAATAAGCTGGTCGACACTCTCATGGTAAAATATGGCCAAGTTGGACTAGCCGTTCATCGTTGAGACAATTTTTCGTATTTGTCGCGTATTTCGTAGGAGCGCGCGAGCGAATTGCAGCCATTGCCAGAACGTAGAATCACGTTCGAGAGTCGATGGCAGACGCAAGAGCGCGAGACATTGTCCACATGCAGCATCAAAGCTATATATGATTTTAGCTTCGTTGCAGTCGAGCTGCGCACACCGATGAATCAAATTGGCCGTGAGACACATACTCGTGGCACAGTGCGCGATCGGGACGGCAAATATATATAGCAGTGCTGCACTCGCAGCAGATAAGGCGCGATAGTCGCGTCCGTGGACAAATTACAAGCCGCGCAAAGTCATGCCTCGGACGAGGACCATCGACGCTCCCGCGTTCGAGGAGCAATTGGAGAGGAACAAGGAGCTGAAGCGCGCCGACGTCGAGCTGCTGAGGGAATGGTGCTCGAAGAATCCACACCTGCCGAGCGACATCAGCGACAACGAGCTGGCCCTCTTTCTGCACAGCAATTACTACGAGGTCGAGCCAGCCAAGGCGAGCATCGACACCTTCTACACGTTCAGAAGCCACGTGCCGGAATTTTTCGCCGATCGAGACCCCGTCGAATCGAGGGCGCTGCGAAAAATGTTCGATACCTTGTAAGCAAAGTCGTTCGGGCGAACGTCCGAGTCTATCTATTGCGCACTAATTTAAGATCGATCGCATGCACGCATAGGTGTATGATAACGCTGCAAGGGACGACGCCCGAAGGCTACGCGGTCATGTTCGGCAAGCTGCTCGACCGCAACTCGGGCAATTACAACTACGACGACAACATCCGCTACTTTGGCATGAGCGTGGACGTGCTGATGCACGAGAAGGGCAGCCTGAGCCCGGGCCTCGTCATAGTGTTCGACGTGGAGGGCGCGAGTCTGGGCCACGCGGCCCACTTCAGCCCCTCGTCCTTCAAGAAGTTCCTCTTCTACCTGACCAAGGCTCTGCCGGTGCGTCTCAAGGCCCTGCACTACATCAACACGAGCTCGGTCATGGACTTTATGCTCACGCTCATGAAGCCTTTCATGAACAAGAGCTTGATGGATCTCGTGAGTATTCCTTGCCGATTTTCAGCCCGACCATCGATCTCGCTATATGTCCACGATGGCCATTATGAAATGCGCGACCTTACATCAAGCCACGCATCAACTATGTGACTGCGCGGCGATATTAATTTACAAATTGCAAGGTTATTCGTTCATACTGCCTCGTCATGCATAACGCGACGAATAGCTGCTGTATCTCGACCGAGTTGCCGTTGCTAGTGTGCGTATGTGTGCGTATGTGTGCGTGTCCGTGCGAGCGCGCTAGAGTGCCACAACGGCCGTGGTCAGCATTACCGATCTCGCAACGGCTCTTGTGTGTTGGCGATGTGTGAGTTGGAAAATTATGCACTCAGCACCGAGCACGACTTCGCGAGTACATTATTGTAGCCATTAACTTCGAGGCACGCGCACACAAAGACGAGCGATGCTAAGAATCCTTTCGAGTCAAGCGCACATTTAGATCGCTATCAAATTATAACGTCATTGACCGTTTATGGCTCACATTACAGTTGCATCTACACTCGTCGCCAGAGAGCCTCGACAAATTCGTCCCTCTGCATATATTACCGAACGAGTACGGAGGAAAGGCCGGAGCGCTGCTCGACTTGCACAAAGCCCAGATAGCCAAACTCGAGGCCTACAGGGACTGGTTCCTCGAGGACGAGCGGAGCGGACGAGTCGACGAGAGCAAACGCATCGGCGAGCCCATGAATCCGACCAAACTCTACGGGGGATCGCGCGCTAAAGCCAATTTACAAAAACTCGACATCGATTAAAACCTCGTCATCGGCCGCCAGCGACTTTCAACGCATTACGTAATCCGATCGACGCGCGGCTATTTATACGCGACTTTTTCAAACTGGAAATCGTTCACGCGACCAAATTCACTTTGGAATCAAAAATTTTGCGACGCGATGATAAAATTTACTCGAGCCGAGGGGTTTCGTCGAAACGCGACAATGGCATTTGCGAAGAAAAATCCATGGCCTACGTATTTCGTGGACACGCCAGATAGCGTCGAGCAGTGACAGAGTGGTGGTGGCTCTTTTTTAATTAGCATCGGCCCGAGAGAAATGTATAGTTCGACGACGCGATACGCACTCCGCCTCGGTGTTTCCTTACTCGAGGGGCGCGGCTCGCTTTTCCTTCTTTACGAGTCGCAGTGGAGTGTCTTGCGGAGGGTGCGCTGCACCTACCCCATAGGCACGCGGATTAATGACTCGCTCGTCCGCCAGCCGCGCGTCCATTTCGCTGCTCGCAACAGCAGAAAACTGTGCGCGTGCACTATACCTTACGATGTCGAGCGAGAAGAAAACCCTTTTCAACTCTGCCGCGAGGGCAAGAGCGAACAACAACGAGACAACCGAACTGATATTCAACAACGTATATTGCCTAGCCATTCGACGGGGGAATGTACAAGGAGCATCTCTCGTTCCAAAGCAGACGCCAAGGTGAATTTCTAATGCGTTGTTCATGAAGCAATGCTGCTGCCGACTTTGACACGAGCTATTTTCATATTTTTATATAATTTGTTACACTTGACCCGTGTATACTTGAACAATGGAATAAAATTATATTTTCCTCATTCAGGCAAAGTAAAATTTATGTGCTGAAACCCGTTTTTTTTGCATAACAATCTTTGATCCGAATGCTGTGTTCTTTAATTTTTGGTAAATTTTCGCGAAGGCAGGTACCGCGTAGCCTTATCGCAAAAACTTTCTTGAAGATATCCAAATGAATAATCTACCAGTAATGACTCTCTCTCTTCTTCTCTTTCTCTTCATTCCAGCGAACGAAATTACCAACATGCCTTTTTAAAAAAATGTACCCTCATTTTTCTTGCAATCGCCACTATACATAGAGAAGAAGAAAAGGCTTTGAAAAGTTTTCCTCGACGACATATTTTCTCTCGCTTTGGAAATCGCATTGGCTGCGCAAATTAGCTTGGAACAAAGAATAGAGCGCGTGCAAGTTTTTCGCGCAAAGCTCCTCTGATAAATAAGCAATCATAGCAGAGGGGTGGGTTGATTGATGCCCAGCCTATATAGATTTAAAAGTACTGCTGCCACACAGCATTATTTATAGGCATGCGTGCATATCGTATTTATAGCTGCGATAGGATTTGTATGCGAGGGATGAGACAGACGAGATCCTTTAGGATTCGAGATGCAAAAAAGGATCGGTGTAAAAATTCGACCGTGACCCGAAATGCAACGGGTAAAGTTTAGTAAAGAGCTCTTGAAAAAACACAAGCCAAGTTGAAATAAGAATAAAAAGTAAAAAACAAAAGTAGCGCGTTGAACCTGTCAAAGCCTTGCATACGCGAGAGTCAGATCTCTCTTTTTTTCTCTCTCTCTCCCTCACTCGTGTGCGTAATTTCGCTTAAAAACACAATTAGCCTTTCAGAAGGGGTATATAAAGCTACAGCACGCGCGCAATAATGTGGATCGTAAGGCTTTCCCCGGGGTAGCAAGGGTGATGCACAAGACTGCTTAAAAAAATCGTTACGGTGCTACTTTTTTTGTGTCAGGGGTGGTGCGCTCAGGCAGCCCCTTGGTCCTCCGCTTCTTTCTTTTTTTTCTCAACACGCTCGCGGGCTTTAAAACGAAGACGTGTCTCCGGTTGATATTGCTTCTCTCGCGGGGTGCGTAAGCAAAAGAGAGAGAGAGAGAGAGCAAAGTCAGAGTCGAGAAAAAGAATAATCTCTCGTCCTATGCTTATACACGAAGCGCGTTAGAAGTTTTAATGTAATTACTTTCTCGCTCGGCTCGCGATATGTATACATGGCCATGGTCGAGCCTACGGTTGCTACGTTGCACTGCCAGTCTGGATAAGAATGGGTGATTCATCGAAAAATTTATTGTTTAGAAAGAATGAAGCTGCGTTTGCACTCATGATCATCATCTTGATAGGCGTTATAATCGAAAGAGGGGTTCGTGGCCAGACTTACTTTTAGCGAGGGCTTCTTTTTTAATCCCCAACTCGAGCCTTCATTTATTGTTCAAAGCTTCCGTGACAAATAATATGTAAACTTAATTTTGCTATTGAATGATCAGTAACGTTTTTCTCTTAGTGTGTTGAGATATTTTTTGAGTTATCACTTACCCTTTCAATTTTTATTAATACTAATGTTAATGAGGATACCCAAAATGACGACTTCCAAAACAAAATTATAATGTAAAACACAGTATCATCTTTTTATAAATCTGACTTTCCAAGGAATTAATTTTACAATATAACAATTTTTCTGTTTTCGAATCAGTCATAGTTTTACGAATCGCCTTGGTCGTTATTTTAAATTCAATTTTCAACCGACATTTTCATTTGTTTCGTTATTCATCTGCAACAATACGGTGACTTATTTTCATCAAGCCTATTGTTGTAAAAAATAATATAATCAATATAGTATTTCAATCATTTTATTTTCAAGAAAAATTTTATTTACAATTTGTTCCCTTTTTTATTAATGTTTACTATCGCAATAATTAGTCAAAATGTAAAATAACAAAATATATATAACTAAAATGAAAAACTCAAATATCTCAACGTTTTACTGTAAAGTGATAAAAAATGTCATTATAAAAAAAGTTTTTTTTACAAACTTGCGAAAAAACAAACTTTTTTCATGATCAATTTTATTCAACAAAATTTTATTGCAAGTAAATACAGTATCACTCAGTACTTGAGATAAGATTAAATTCAAATAAGTAAACATTAACGATCATAATTTCAAAATATGCATTGCATTTCAAAAATGCATTGATAGCGAATGTAAATAAACAAGTCATACTTTAACGAATAAACTCAAGGTTTCATTTAATTTCGAGATTCGAATCGAAGGCGTAAAGATTCCATTTAAAACGGGAAAAGGAAGTAGAATTGTAGAGAAGCAGACACACGCGTAGTGTCGCGTGCCAACGAGCTCGCTTGCTGCTGATTATTGGCCCCTGCAGCAGGGCACGATACCATACTCTAGCGCTAAATCGTCCACAGCTGCGTGTACGTCTTGTGCACCTATACACAACAGTATGTATATATAGTATATGAGTATTATAAAGATCGCTAAGAGACTCGTGTCTCACTCCCTCAATTTTTTTCATGTTTTAAAGGTAGCCCGCGGCGCATATAGTGTGATTTCGATCGCACAGGTTTTTTCTTTCATTGTACCGTTTCTGAGTTTATATTTACAAGAATATCTATCCAAGTTCTTTTTTATAATATTGTTTTTGCTAAGTAATTGTCATATAAATATATTTTTTCAATTATTTTTCGATCATCATAGCAGATCAGTCAATGCATATCAGTTTTCGATCATCGACTCAGCATAAAAACTTTATCAAGATGCTTATAATTCAGGATAATCTCATTAAAATTGTTTAAAATACTAACTGGATTTTAACTAAGAAGTGTCAATGATCAGTCAAACCATCATTAGTTTAATAGTTATATAGTCAAAATATACTTTTGATCCATGATATCTGTGTCGTTGATCGCGAGGATCGCGTTCTTTAGCTTTTTTCTTTCATTGCTAAAGATCATTACTCGCATGTCTTTGGAGAGCTTGCATATATGTTTTATAGACTCTCTCTCCTTCTCTTTTTCTCTCGAGTACGTAGCAATGAAAATAAAAGCAGTTTGAATCTTTTTTTTCGTGCTTGCGCGCGCTTTGTAGAATCTATAGAGACAGAATCTTTTTTTTATTATTTTCTTTCGCGCTTCGAGCTCGTTAAAACCCCGTGTATTGGGCGTGTCCTTTTTACCTTCTCTCTCTCTCTCTCTCTCTCTCTCTCTCTCTCTCTCTCTCTTTCTACTTTGAATTAAACATCCCACCCGCCCGCGAGCTTCAATCAAGCTGCGAGAAGCGGCGCGCGCACGAGCGCAAACTTCGTTTTCTCGAAGCACCGGCAATGTCTCGAGCTCCCAACTCACCCCCTTCTTTTTTAGAGCGGCTATATATATTAGTTTGAGAGGGAAGGGCGAATAAATGAGAGAAAACGCTAGACGACGCTCGAGCCCGGGAAGAAATTTTTTTTTAACTTTCTTTTGCTGTAGAAGAAAGAGAGAGAGAAAGAGAAAACAGCTGAGCTTTTCTTTTAAAATCTTATATCGAAAGAGGAGAGTCATTCGAATTAAGAGTACTGTGAAAATCATGTCGAGGGTTACGAGCACAACATGCCTTGGCTCGAATCGATATCTATTCGCAATCAGTGCGGAATAGTCAATTGGAATAATTTGATGGGGTTTTAGAATACCAAGTAATAGTTTATAATTGAAGAAAATTGATGCAAAAAATTATTCCTCTTGCTAAGAAAAAGTCATATAATTATAGGTAGTCGTTGCTTCGAGAAGGAGCGTCTCAACTATGCTTTGCTCGAGGAAATTTGCACAAAAGAGCCCGAGCGATAGCTAGCTTCATTGGAAGGAGGCGAGAGAAGAAAAAAATCTCTCTGAAAACGAGCGCCACGAGGAGCGAGAGAGTTTAATTCAAAAGAAAAGAGTGCGTATATACATATATATGGGGGGTGTGTGTCTGCTGTATATCTATACGAATTGCGTAAGGGGTTGCTGAGAAGTACACACACACACACACACACACACACACACACACACACACACACACACACACACACATACACATACAGGGAAGATGAAGAGAGAAGAAAAAGAAGAGTTTTTACTCGCTCTCCATCTTAGAGAAGCGGGAAATGGAAAAGAGAAACCTCGCTCGCTGATGAGGGTGAGTGCTTGCTTGTCTGACTTTATACATATACGTAGGCGCGCACACAGAAGCGAGAGAAAAGGGGTGTGCGGCATTACGTCGTGAAATTTTTCCATCTCTTCTTGCCCCTCTTTCTCTCTCTCTCTCTCTCTCTCCTTGCCCTTACCTTCTCTTTCTTTACGCTCGCGCGACTTTTCTCTCGAGCCAAGCAAGAGAGCGAGAGAGAAGATCTATTTCTTCGTATAAATACGTAATCAGCAGCTACCCAACCCTATATACGAGAGCAGCTCCTTCTTGTATATATAATACGTACAACATATACGTATATATAGTATATGTATAATAGCGTCGATTTTTTCCTATTACTTTTAATGCCTTGCAGTCTGATGGCTCCTCTCTCCTTGAGCGCGATCACAGCTAGTCTCGGCGACGACGATGACGATGAAAGCCAACGATTTATTTGGGATGCCAGGCAAACTTTATAAATATATACGCGTGTCGTGTAAGAGGGGTGAGTTTAATGCCTGACCCAAACTTTGTTTATTTATATCATTTGTAGAGAGTCGCAAGAGCAGCTACAAGCCGTTGATCTGATTATAGGACAGAACGTGGATTTTCGTCACTGGAAAATAGCTGCGCGCGAGCGAGTATCCAATAATCATCGGTGGATGTCACAACGCATAGACGAGTATCGAGTAGCGTGCATTCGCCAAGTCGATCTATCGAACCGTCGAGCTGTTTCGCTCGCACTATGTAACGTAATTACGAGCCAGAAAAATCGTTTTCGGCGATCTGCGACTCGTGCTGATCGCGTCGAATGCGACAATTTCTCTCTCGCTCATTCGTGAATACATACGCATGTAGACGAAATAGTTAGGCGAACTCT